GTGATGTATTAAAGTAATAGAGGATGAATTAAATGTATCAAATAAGATGCATTGCATAGGCTTTTTGCAGAAGCAAAGTCACACACACATACATTTGATATTTGATATTGTGTTAAAGCCTCTTTCATGACAAAAGTTTCATTAAATTATTAGAGAAAGAAGATGATTCGTTGTTATATTCTCGACTCTAAAATAATCCTTGTCTGAATTCAGTTTTCCCCCGCTCGCGCGTTGCGCGTTGCGCGTAATTTTCGGACGCTTCATTAAATTATGAGAGAAAGAAGACCATTCGTTGTACCATTCTCGACTCTTAATCCTTGTTTGAATTCAGTCTTTCCCCTCCCCGCGCGAAGCGCGGCAGCTTTGACGTTTCATTAAATTATTAGAGAAAGAAGAGGATTCGTTGTACCATTCTCGAATCTCGATCTCGATCCTTGTCTGAATTCAGTTCCCCCCTCCCGTGCGAAGCGCGGAAGCTTTGACTTCTCATAGTTTAATGATATTGTTAGAGGAAGAAGATGATTGGTTGTTCCATTCTCGACTCTTAAAGGCACACTGTCCTACTTGTAGCTACTTGCTCCCTCTATATAGAAAACTTCCCCAATCGGCGTCTGTTGGTCCCCCATGATCCTCTTTTTCTTATGTTAAATGAGAGCTGAGTTAATGAGATAGCCACCTATCACAGTGACCTCCAGTGTGGAAAGTCAGTACGGGCCGGATTTTGTGTATTACGGGCCGGACTTTGTTGCGTGAAAAGTTACCCTTTATCGGCTTTCCCGGAGTGGGAGGGAGGGGGGGGGGGGGGGCTTTCTTTTTTTCTTTTCTCCTTTTTTCTCTCTTTCTGCTTCTTTTCTCTTCTTTCTTTTCTCTTCGCTTTTCTTTTTTTTCCTTTTTTTGCGCCGCCAATAGGGGGGCCGCGGCCGTTTCGGCCCCCCCCTGGATCCGCCACTGTAATTAGGCACAAATTTGCACAAGCCGTCCACCGTTGGCAGAAGATCACCCTTGTCTAGAACATTTGGAGAAAATCCTCCTTCCCACATTATAGGAGAAAGAGGTGAACAAATGAGGGCCCCAAGTTGAAAGTTAAAAGCTTTTTTTGAATTATAGTATTTTCTCCTTTCCATATAAGAACAACAGGAATTAACAATTCTATGTCAAAATTATCATACAAAATCGTAATAAAAGAGAGGGAAAGAAGACAATCCTAAGTATATAGGCGCCTCATAGGGAGCCGGGCCTAGGGGCCTCCCCCCCCCCCCCCCCCCACGCCAAAAAAAGAGAGAGAGAGAGAGAGAGAGAGAGAGAGAAGGAAATGAAGGGAAAGGGTAAGAGGAGAGAAAAGTGAAGAAAGGAGAGGATTGTAATTACTAATTTAGCCCCCACCCACCTACTTTGAAAAACTTTCAGCGGGGCCTGCATGTAAGAGTGGTGGCGATGCAATTTTTTCTACCCCCCCCCCCCCCACTCTCAAACGTTTTTGCTCGTTACGCCACTGCTGGTCACCATTACGTACCAATATTTGGCTCGCACGATTTCAAATTTGGCCCCCTCCCCGAAATTTCGCTCAGAGTGGGGGGGGGGGGGGCAATTTCTCCACCACAATTTGAATATCGCGCCGACCATTATTTCGCTCAGTGGGGGGGGGGGGGGGGAGGATATTTTTTCTTTTCCTTTTGCCCCAAAAATTTGAAAATTGCACCGACCAATATTTCGTTCAGTGGGGGAGGGGGCGGTGGGGGGTAAGCACTAATTTTTTTTAAATCAACATTCACCCCCCCCCCCCTTGCAAAAGAACCAAACAAAAAATGATTTTTGTTTAAAAAGGTAAACTTTACGTTTTTTTACCTGTTTTTTTTTTTGCCAGGGGAGTCCGGGCCCGTCGCCCACCCCCGTGGACCCGCCTGCCGCCCCCCCCCCCATTGGATAACTGCTAACATTCTCAACTCAAGAAATATACTGAATAAGTAAGTTGACCTGGCTGCAAAATTAGAGTATAGTTTAACAAGCTCAGGTGGAAAGGTAAACGAATCTTAATTAAAGGTAAAGACCAGTTATGGTCATGCGATTGCATTAATTGTGAAAGAAACGTTGTGGAATCGATCAGAAAAGGTTGATCATCTAGCATCTAGCATCTGCAAGGTTCTGGAAAGGTTAAGAAATTTGGCCCTTTCTTCGTAAAGTTACAAGCACTATACACAGAAAGATGTATATGGGACTACCCTATATCTCTCACAGACCATGAGAGAAACAAATTTACCAAATATATGAATTAGTAGGCGGTTTCCCGGCAAATTTTTTTATAATCATGTATTAGTCAAAACATATTCTTTCACAATGATTGGTAATAAGAGCTTCCATTTCATTTTTTGAAATTGGGGCGTTTCCAATACTGGTCTCCATTTGTAATCCCAGCTTTTTCATTATTTCTAATGGCCCTTTTCTTTTCCTCGTCCCTATATAATAATATAATTCAAAATGGTTTTCTTCATCTTTTCTTAAGTTGGTAGGCCTACTTAATTTCCCCCACCCCTGATCTTGACATTATTAACATACCTCACCATGAAAATTAAAGTATTACAGATATTTATTCTATATATGAACTACTTGTCACAAATATATCTCGCCACTCTAAATTTTTAATTGTATCTAACTCGAAAAGTTTACTAAAGCCTGCCATATCCTTTTGAAAATTTTGAAACATGGTTTACTTCAAGAAATGAATCCGCCAAAATGACCTTTAAAAATGGGTAGGGGTTTCGAGGCTTCAGCGGCACACCCCCGTCCAAACCAAATCTGAGTACCCCCCCCCCCCCCTTGGGGATTTCCTGTTGAACTCGATTTATTCGGACGGGTCATATTTCAGCCAAGGCTTAATTTGGACATTATTTTTTATATTCTTTCGGAAAATAAAGTTCAAATTGAGAAATTCTTTAATATATTAAAAAAAAAATCATGATGTCACAGTCGATCGGTACTCTATGTCGCTAGGGGTTATTGTGAACCCTAATTCCTAAACAGTAAAGTGGATGCATCATGGTCACGGTCATCCCCACTTTATAACATAATAGTGATTCTCAATCTATCTGAGAATATTTGGCTGGCTGGATCAGTCGCCTGTGCCAGTAATTTGACATTGATGATGACATTATGATATTTAACATCCTATATTGAATGTAGTTATGAAAATCGATTTGGGGTTGAAACTGAATAGAAGACTACGTACACGATGATCCTGCCTTCTCTTCACCGAGTTGTTGCACGCCTCTGGAACTCCCTCGCAAATCGCAAATAAAGTTTGTACTATTTTCTCGACCAGTTTGCTTACAAATCTCAAATTATTTCTTTTCTTTTCCACAATATTTTGTTTTCCTCTTAAATTACCGAGAGAGAAAAAAAAGGAGGATATAGTAAAAAAAAAAAAAAAAAAAAAAAAGAGAAAAAAAAAAAGAGAAAAAAAAATATATATAAAAAGAGAAAGAGCTAGAAAACACCTACTACCCCACGCCCCACACAACATTTAAACACATAACAAGTACAACAGTATACAAAACACACACCACGATAGAACGAACAAACAAACAAAGGAAAAAGAAAAGAAGAGAAAAAAGAAGGAAAAAAAATAAAATAAAGCAAAGGTAGAGAAGAGATGAGGGTCTGGAAGTTGTATATTGAGAAAATTAAAAACAGAAAACATTTATTCTAAACTTAAATTAATTGAAAGGGTCACGGTGTCTCTTTTTAATGAAAGTTTTTTTCTCTTCATTTCTATTTTCCAATAATCTCTTCTATTTCTTTTGCTTTTGCAGGGTTTCCCTTCTCTCTACTGTGGAAAATCATAAATTTAATCAAAATCAAAATGTGGTTCAATAATGGCTCTGTTTTTAAAGTACTGTCATCTATTCCTATATGAATTTCTTTCCAGGATAATTTCTTCATAATTGTTAAATTAAGTCTATCTGCACATTTCCCCAAACTTCCTTAATTGTATTACATTCAAAGAATACATGTTGATAAGTTTCTTCAAAAATTTTGCAAAATGAACACAACCCATTTTCATGGAACCTGAATCTATGTAAATGATGATGATTTGTATATAAAATATTATGCAACAGTTTGAACTGAAATTCTCTCAGTTTACACTTAAGGTACACATCTTTGTTTGAACAAATATCTTATACTTCTTTTCTTGAAATATCATAAAGTGACATTAAATTGCCGCCTGCCGAGTTTGTTTCTACATTCTTTTTAATTTGACTCTTATATACTATTTTTGCAGTTAAATCTTCAAATGTAAACACTTTCTTTGAAAAAATATTCTAAACTAAAGTCAGTGTGAATTGACTTTCTTAAAGGTTGAACATTTTGTTTCTATTCATAAGGGGCTAATTTATAAATTTCCACTCTGCTCAAACCTAACATTATGAAATGAGCTTCAGGTTTCGATTCTCCATTTTCATCACAAAAGTGAATATTTTTTTTTTTAAACAAAGTTTCCTCAAATAAGGTTTGACCTTCTAGTTGAATAAAATTATTATTATACAATATTTCATTCCCTCTGTATCTCTTCTGTTTTAACATATTCTTTCATATCTATCGCTTTCAGAAGATTCTGATAAGGAAGGTAACATGAGTTTCACCAATCGCGTAGCCAGGATTCCCCCACCGCCCCCGCCCCCCCCCCCCCCCCTTGACTACGCGCCTGAGTTTCACTGTTGGTATCTCTCCAATAATTGCAATAATTGGGATAAATATTCGATTTTGATAATCGAACTGACCTAGAGTATAGAGTCCGCGACGAGTGTTTAGTAAAATCTTGACCAAGTATATCTATAATGCATTAGGCCTACACTCAAAGTATATCTAGAAGATTGAGATTAGATATTAATTCAAAATAGACCTGTGCCGACATAATTATTATTACTTTCTGAAAACCATGCAAAAAGTAATGGTACTAGGCATGATGTCCAGAGCAGAGGCAGCAGAGGTCCTATGCCTAAAATTAGAGTCACTAAAATGATGTCATTTATCACGTGATCTCAGACGCCAATCAAAGTTCAAAGCAACGCTTATCCGGTGTAATGGCAACCTTCTCGAAACCCTGGTAAAGTGGTAAGTGCGTTACAAAGTATGATTTTTTTTAATGTGATTCGTTGTGTGTTTTAATAAGATGCGTGATAACTGCAATAAAGTATGGAAGTTATGTAATTGTGAATTTATTACCGTATGCATTTCATACACTTAAGTTACTGATGTAACAGTAAAATATAATATAAAGACAGATTAACCCGTTTCACAGCGGCGCAGCTCATCGCGCTCAGCTCAGCTCAGTAGCTAAAGAAGTAGCCTGGCTCTAGGGCTAGGCGAGTAGGAGCGACTGACGGGTGCGTGTGTTTTGTATGGGAAAATGGTAGACCTAGACTCTCGCGTGACTCTACTGACTGTGTAACTTGAAATGCAAATGTAAGTTATATTTGCTTGTTATATTACTCTGGGTATTATAGTATGATTATGAAGGGGTGACAAAGTTCGCGGAGATTTTGACAACATAAGCGTGTCTGAACGATTTTTCAATTTTCAATTTGGAATCGTTTTTCACCATTTTTGTTTGATATCAGATATTTTAGGAGCTTGTTCAGAAACCTATCCAAAATTTGACCCGTAACTCCGGCGTGGAGATACCCTACTAAAACATACCCAAAATGAAGTAAATCTTTATTAAATGTCCAAATAAAGATCATGACTTAAAGATAAAAGTTGTTGGGTTTATTACCTGTTTTGTGTCAATTTTCTTGTTATTTTGGGAGTATTTTCGAAAAAAAGATGATAGACCATTAGTAGTCTAGACCCCCTAAACAATTTTTCTCAGGTTTCATGGCAAACCGCTGCACAGTACAAGTGCATACCGATGGTGGGTTGTGGGAGGGCACCCGCCTGTGCAGTGAGCTGTGTGAAGTTATCTACTGTAATGAGGATCTGAGACATTATGGTAGATAACTTCACACAGCTCACTGCACAGGCGCGCACCCGCCCGCAACCCACCATCAGTATGCCCTTGTATGGTGCAGCGGTTTGTCGTGAAACCTGTGAAAAAGTGTATACTAATATCATTGCTTTTCCTAAAAATACTCCAAAAATAACAAGAAAATTGACACAAAGCAGGTAATAAACATAATGACTTTTACCTCATGATCTTTATTTGGACATTTAATGAATATTTACTTCATTTTGGGTATGTTTTAGTAGGGTATCTCCCCGCCGGTGTGAAGGTCAAATTTTGGATAGGTTTCTGAACAAGCGCCGATATTTGAATATAAAATGTAATCAGAATAATACATTTCAAATTTCAAGTCTCATCAATGTTTCTATCAAAAGATACAGCCCCTCCAAAACGCTGCAATATTCATAGCATTTTGGTCAGAATCGACGAAAAAGACGTACACGCAGAGTTGTGTTGTTTTGCTAAATTTAGCCAAACAGCTGTATCGCCGAATTGCAAGTGTGTGCAAAGCATACACATGTTGCTAAGCTGAATACGCAATTTGAGTACTTTGTCTACAACTATGTCCACTTCCTGGTTTGAGCGCGAAAGGCAAGCCATACCTCCATTGACTATAACGTGCATTCACTTCCAGGTTTGCTCGCCTAATACACATACGCGGTCCGAATACATATGCATGGGCATTTTTTACGTGTTGTCACCATGGTGTGGACTGAGCGGAGCGCACCCCTCGCTAATTAGCTAATTCAACAAATGGGGGGAAGGTTATTTTCAAACTTATCGCGTGTGATCTCTTGGGGCCAGCGAAAAAATAAGTGCATATATATTTTCCTTCCATCTAGCCTGCCATAAGCCTGGGGGAGCGCTTTAGGAAAGTGGCAAATTTTGGAGCTACATGTAGGATACAAAAAACATTTCAATCGCTGTTTTGACCAAGATATTTTTAGAATTCCGGGGGTATGGAGAAAAACCTGCTCTTTCATATGACACCTTATTTATTGAGTTTCACCTTCAGGATCACGAGCGATAAAGGTTCGAATTTCAATTTGTTCATAAAATCGTTGACCAATTTTGCATGGTCGCGCAATGCACGTACATGTAAACTGCATAGGGATGCGTGCAATCTCTTTGGGAAGGATTTTAGCACACAACATCGGGTGAGCGATCAGACACCCTAACATTATAATTAAAATGTGATATTCGATCTAGACTAGTCTAGACTATTGATTTCTCCAGAAATTTATTTATTTTTTATTATTAATAAATGGACGCCAAAGTTTTTGGTGTTAGTGTAGTTTCGTGTCCATTTATTTACCCGTAACTCCTGCGTGGAGAAACCTTATTAAAACATACCAAAAATCAACTAAATCTTCATCAATTGTTTAAATATTTTGGTCAAGATTTAAAAGTCATTATGTTTCTTACCTGTTTCGTGTCAATTTTCTTATCTTTTTTTGGAGTATTTTTCCTAAAAACAAAGACTTATAATATACACTTTTTCACGGGATTCACGGCAAACTGCTGCATAATACAAATACAATTACATACGCATATTGTACTGACAGTGGGGTGCGGGCACGCACGTTACTGAAGTTAGCGACCTAATGATGAATTGCTCAAATTGATTTCAGCAATTTAATATTTATCATTAGGTTTGCTAATTTCAGGCACGCGCACCCGCACCTTAAGGGGAAATCACTTATAATTTGAATACGTACCTCCTTTATTTGGCAATCTACCCATCAAAAGAAATGAAAATTGGTCCTGTAACATGCTTTTAAAGTCACTTAAAATATAGAATGATGCTAAGCAAAATATTTCTTTGAGAAGAAGGAGCAGTTTTCTGCCCAGTATTCGGTCGCGCCGCCTAGAATTCGGTCACACGATTTTTCGTGGTATCTCCGTTGACAAGGAGCGAAGCGTATTTGCACACAATTTTTACAAAATTGAGCGACAAAGACCCCAATGTCAGTGCGTTGACCGAATACTGGAGTAGCACCACCGCATGGCAAGGGTTATGTATAAATACCTCTTGCACGTCGGTAGGTGCGTCATTTTCAAATTTGCTGTGATGGAGTGAACACGGAAGAGCTACTCTTCACACACATACCAAATTCATTGCATAAAGTATTTTATATAAATAGTTTTATTAAAATTCACATTTTTCATGATTTACCGGGTAACTGAAAAAAATTACTCTATATTTGTGCATCCACATAAAAAAATATTACTATCAGTATAACTTGGATGCTGGTGTTAGGAAAAAAGATTCTTAGGGTAAAAAAAAAAAAATTAGTAGATACAGTAAGTGTGCCAATGATGGCACAGACTCATGTCATCAAAATTTCATAACTTTCTTATTACCGGTAGTTATCCGACTTTGCTCAAACTTTTTTTGATTGGTTTGTATGATTTTTCTGCTTCTATTGAAAGTAACTTATTTTTGGAGTGGACTTGTCCTTTAAGCTCCCTTTTAGACCACGCCCTGTTCAAATGCCAAAGGCATCAGACCCGTAACTAATACCCCTTTCAAAGTGCTTCTACTGGAGTCTAAGGCTGCGACGAGTACTCAAAAATGCAAGTACTCGCACTGTTGACAACTCCTGTAAATCTCCGTGTATTTTATTTTTTTAAAGACTCCGTAGGCAGCAAGCCAGGTCTGTTAAAAAAAACCCATGCGGGGAAGGACCTTTATTTTACTGCGAGGTGCAGTTGAAGGTGCCGATTTGTGCTTGTGAACTTGTCAAAAATAATTGTCACAATGTCGTTTTTAAAACTAAAGATGACAGACAAATTTTCCTCAAAGAGTCCAAGTCCAAACAGAAATTTGACCATACAGGTAGTGTTGTTCTAGTTTCCGAGTGGTGAGTCAACACACCGTGTATGACTGAGCTGGGAGACATTGCCAGGTGGAGGGGCATAAATTGACACTTTTTTTTTTCTTTTTGTGTGTGCGTACCCGTGCACAAGACGTACCCCCGACTTTTGAAATTTCTATTGGCGGGAAAAAGTGCATTTTATACACAGAGATTTTGGGTATATCTCTTCTTTTCATTGGCTATTCTATTGGCTTTTTCTCCTCTGTACCATTCATAGTGTCCGTTTCATCAGATGTGTCCGGATGCATCCGATGAAAATCAGGCCAGTTTGAAAGGGGTATTTGAGAGTACTGCATCTGTCCCCCGCCCCCCTCCCGCTGGTGACAAGACGTATTAAAAAAAGATTTATTGCGAATTGATTGGCCATGTCAGTCAGTCAGGCCACCTAAAAAATACCCCAAAAGCTTCCAGCTTCATCCCATGCCGCATCTGTTTTCCTATTTTGATGTTCAAAATTGTATCTAAAACTTGTTTTGCAGACAGAAAAATGCAAAATTTTTCCCTACCTTCAAAGGGGGAACAGCCAACACCCCCCCCCCCCTTCCCAGACCCTCCCTCGTTCAGGCGCTTTGCACCCTCGAAAGGGTCCACCTCATATAACGTCTGCATCTCCTCCCCCTCCCCCTACTTACGGGCCTGGGCATCACTGTGTTTCCAACTTTCCACCCCTTAAAACCTAAAATCGCCCCTAATCCTTCCCAGCTGACGCCCATGTTCTTTTTAAAAACTATTACTTACATGTAGGTATGAGTCGGTACTGTAAATAATGAAATAGATAAGAAATTGCAGTATTGCCCACCACAAAAATTCATTCACCTTAAAACTTTTTTTAAAGTATTTAATTTTTAAAACCAATTTGTATTTATATTCTAGCTGATCCTGAATCGATCCGAACTGCCAATATAAAACTGTTGAGCAGTTCGCTGTTCACGGCATGGGGTTCTTATTGCCAGTGTAGCTAGCTACATGTAGCTAGCTATACTGGCCGTGGCGCTGGGTCTCGGCAGGATAAATAAATCAGGTTGAAAATCACTAATGTTAGAATAATAAAATGGTTTTCTAAAAAATTCTGCTTTACAACATACCAATCATATGATATTTTAAAGAAAAAATAAATATTTTTCTCTCACATTAAACACAGCATGCTTCTTTTAAAAGCTGATAATCACTTAGTAATCCCAACAAGTCTCAATACTGATACAGTAGCTGTTGCAAGGCAAGTTCGGACTAGTCACGTAAGAACTGTGCAAACACTTCATTAGCTGTAATGCGTGCCGTAAGGAACCCAAACAACTATACATGGTTGTACCAAAATCATTCAAAAATATGAGAGCACAATTGTAAAACAACAACTACGTCCCGACTCGGACCTATTTTTAGTTATATACATGCACATTTTAGAATCAAATGTTGCTACCACATTGATGTAACGTTGGGCTGTTTACAGACCTCTGCTTCATCGGCGATGCCGTCTTGCAAATTGACGACGCTGACGATGTTGTTGATCTGTCAACATCAGTTTTTTCTACTTATTCTATGTTTTCTAAGCGGTTTCATGCATTAGAACTAACTTGCAGTCTTCAGTGAATCATATTTGAACTTGCGTTTCTGAAAGCTCTCGGTACCTCAAAGCACGACTCCTTCCTTGCAGCCTCAATTTTAGAGCGATAAAATGACATATGTCAACTGAAACAATATCCATTTATTTCTAAAGCATATTTAATTCATTTTAAATTTAAGTTTGTACATGTAAATTGTATATTTCAAGTCTTTTATAGCAAAATATCAGTGTTAAATTACATTTGAAAAACCCGAAAGTCAAATATTCCAACCTGGGTTACAGCGTGACGGTCTGGGACCGGGCGGGGAACCGTTTCGACTCAGGACTAACATGTACATTGTAGGTATTGAAAATGTTTAGAAACAGGAAACTATACCAATTAGATTTGATTGATGGCTTATTATGATCTCTTTCTCTTCTCTTTTTTTTATACACGCAGGTAGTCAGTCCCAGGTTGATAGAAGGTATCTAGTGGGCTGTGTATTGAGTGATCTCATCACTGCAACGGTATGAGTCGTAATCGCCTTGTGAGATGAGTAACAGATGTATGTCAAAGAACACAAGGATACAATGACCACAGGAAATACATCACTTTGGCATTAACTTTTGAAGGTACCAGGTTTGCGTCCTTGATAACGAACCACTTGTGTGTGTGGCAACTGTGATGACAAACTTATTGCAACAGAAGCGATTTCCTTTAAGCCAAAATATAGTGTAACATTTGTTGCTGGAGTGCGAGGAGCATATTAAATAATCATGGGGGCATTTCTAGAGAAGCCAAACACTGAGAAAGAGAATGAACGTGGGTCTGGGAATGGGCTACGCTACGGCCTTAGTAGCATGCAAGGTTGGAGGGTAGAGATGGAAGATGCCCATTCGGCAGTCACAGGTCTACCACATGGACTCAAGGACTGGTCCTTTTTTGCAGTGTTTGATGGTCATGCAGGATCAAAGGTCGCCAAGCATTGCTCAGAGCACATACTTCATGAAATTACTTCCAATCCTGAGTTTCTAGGATCCCCAAAGGTAGATGGTAAATTGAATCCCTCTACTGATGCAGTTAAAGAGGGTATTAGGACTGGATTCCTTTCAATAGACTCAAAGATGAGAACTGACTTTGCAAGGACAGATAGTTCAGATAAGAGTGGATCAACTGCTGTGGGAGTTATTATATCGCCAAAGCATTTATTCTTTGCCAACTGCGGGGATTCAAGGTCGGTCCTATCGAGGAAAGGCGAGGATAAGCCAACCTTTAGCACGGAAGACCACAAACCTGGGAAGCCCAAGGAAATGAAGAGGATAGAGGATGCTGGTGGAAGTGTAATGATCGAGCGTGTGAATGGATCTTTAGCGGTTTCAAGAGCCCTGGGTGATTACGACTACAAGAATAACCCAGACAAACCACCTACGGAACAGCTCGTTTCACCAGAACCTGAAGTAACGGTCTTTGAAAGAACAGATGAAGAAGAGTTCATTATTTTGGCGTGTGATGGAATATGGGATGTGATGTCGAATGAAGAACTCTGCCAGTTTATACGTTCAAGATTAGCCATAACAGACAACTTGGAAGAGATCTGCAACCAAGTCATTGAGACCTGTTTACAGAAGGTATGTGAATTGTGAATTATTTTATTGAACATTGATTATCCTCCTGCATACTAAGGCCGCGACGGGTAGTCAAATGCTCGAGTACCCGCACGGTTGACAACTACTTGGGTACGATTTCTTGTACCCAAATATTCGGCCGCAAAAAAAAATTGTCAAGGCCGACGCTTAGCCGTGCGAGAGAGAGCGGCGGCCGCTGGCATGGTACTGTCGGTAAAAATGTTTTCCAACTCGAGCACTGTCAAACTCATCACTCAGAAACTGGGACCAAATGTCCGGATTTCTGTTTGGACTCGGAGGACAATGGATTATTCTGCCATCTTTGGTTTTAAAACAGCATTGTTTACTGTTATTATTATTTTTAAATCAGCGCCTTCAACTGCAACTTGAAGTAAAATTGCATGCGTTTTTCAGCGATACTGGGATACTGCACCAGTGGTGTGGTGGCAAAAAAAAGAAAAAAAAATCAAAAAATTATAAAAAATTATAAAAAAACATGGCGTCCGAATATTCAAGTATTTGCTTGTAAGCCTGGGAGTGTACTCTGGTACCTCATTACACTGTTGTGCCCAGCCTTACTGCATACCCTACCATTATTACCTGTGCAGCCTGTACAAGACCTTGTCCTCTGCGATTTTTAATTTTCTACGCACAGTACAGTCAATCACAAATTGTCCTTTGTCATCAGTATAAAGGTTCATGCTGTTAGTCAAATTTAGTCAAAGTTAGTCAAATACAACACAATGAACATCTTGATTACTTTCTAGATGACTTAAGGTTAATTATCGGGTATTGCAGTGTTGCAAGGTAAATGTGAATTGGCCCAGAGATTAATCGATCTACAGTTAGCACTTCCAAATTGAGGTGAAAATGTAATACAGTGTACTTGTATACATGTACAGTGTTACTGTGTATATTACATGTATAACCATGCCAAAATCAGATTTTTGAGGAAGCTTTATTAATTTGTCACCACTTTAATGTTTAAACATTGCTTGTATGGGCAATGATGGGAGATGACATGTATAGACATGGTAGCATGTAGTTTGATGAAGAACGTTTATCTTAGTGAAATATAATTTGTAGATAATGAAAATTTCCCTCTGTATGTAATAACATACATTTAGGACCGAGGAGGGAATAAATAAAAAGAGGCATTATTCTTTTGTTACATGTTTGTAAAAATTGAACAATATTAATCATTAACTTCTTTATTGAATTTTTTATATCATTTATTTGTTGGCAAAGCTTTTCAAATCATCTGTACACATACATTGTAGAGATTATTACAATGTGTATATTTGTTGATTTATATTTAGTTTAAATTCACACTAAATGATCTCTTTACCCAGCAGGCTTCTCACATCATTTTAATGTGTACATGTAGGCCTAAACCAATGTACTTTTACTTTAATACATAATTGCATGTACAATGTACACTGTATACAACCTACATGTACACAGTGAAAAAAATTAATGGGGGCTCAGGGCGAATTTGCCTGTATTCAGATACATGTATAAGAAGGATTTGGACATGTACATGTACATGTAGTCAATCAAGCAGAAAGAATAAAACAATTATAACATGTTCTGGGTGAATAGCACCCATTGATTTAAGGTCAGACACTTGAACTGTTCCACCAGTTGTCAGGTACTGAATCTTTTTTTGGCCAGGATCTTGTCTTAGCTCAGCTCAGATGGCAGATGGATATGTGAGCATATTAAAGCTGATTGGCATAATGGTTGGGGTGAGTCACTGGTTATAAATAGGGCAGTAGTAGGCTGTCATGCAAACACTGGCCTCCGTCCGGCTCTTGGGAGAAAGCACAACATACATTGTAAATGTACATGTACTCTACATACATGTAGGGGGCTAGCTGCACATCTGTGTTTCAGTCACTATCAGCAATGCTAGTTTGTATGCCTCTGAAGATGAATGTGTTCAAGTGACACACACATGATGCATTTAGTATCTGCTCTTGAATCTACATGTATGTAAAACTTTCAATTTATCAAACAGATGCCATGTACATGTACATGTACATTTGAATCTCTTCCATTCAAGAGCAAAAGAGATGCAATTTAATTTTGGACAAATAGTTGGTTTAAATTATTTTAGAGGAAAAAAGTATTGTGTAGGGGACATTGGAATTACAAATTTCAAGACAAACATGTTCATGTATTTGTCACAAGTTCAATGTTACCTACAATGGACATGTACATGTATTGACAAGTATGCTTTTCAATATTTTAAATTCATCTTCAGGACTTCAGGTACTGTAGTAACTGTACATGCAGATGTTTAGTGCAAAACAAAATCCATTTTCATTCTCCCCTACAAAATATTAATTTATACCTTAAATCATTGAAATCATTGAAACATTTGATACACTTTATTCCTTCAAGGAGAAAGCATCTGGTTTAAAAAAAGGTTTATTTTAATTTTTTTAAGGACACTGTTCAGGTGTAAACCCATTTTGTGTAAAACTCCACTATCACTTTTTTCCAACCATATTTGTCTTGTTTTTGTTTTCTTCACAGGGAAGTCGTGATAACATGAGCATCGTGATCGTGTTATTCCAGAATGCTCCTGAGGTATCCCAGGATGCTCTCACAAAAGAGAAAGAGCTTGATGTCTTGCTTGAAGAGAAAGTCAAAGGTGAGATAATTAAAGTGTACATGTAGTTTGAATTGTAGACAGATATTCATGTAGTGTAAAGGCATGACAAGCTCTATAACGAATTGCTTTAACTTGTCATCTATCAAGTACACTGTATACATGAAGAGTACAACATTCATTTAGACCAAGAGTTGTGCCATTCAGATCTAGTCCGCTTAAGTACTGTGCATGTCTAGAGAGAGAATGTAATGTTGATATTATGGTATGCACATTTGTATAAAGAGCAGGAAGGTTAGTCAAATTCGCCTCGATACAGACTGATAATCTGATGTGGTACTTTGTTTACCTGACATGCAATTTGAACTTTTTCTGAAAGAGGAAGTAAACTTTGATAGCAAGTTGTTTTGATGAAGTCTTAGAAAAGTAAAAACAATAGATTTTTAATTCCTCTGAAAGGTAACTAGTGGCAAGTCTCTTTAATTTTTGATTTTTTAATTTAATTAAGAGTAGGAATTTTGGATGATCAGGTAAATATCCTACTAGTGAAATTTGCATTTAATAGTGAAGGAGTTATTTTGTTGATATTCTTATTGAATGGTATTTGATTTTTTTAAACAAAATTATAAAACATAAACAACTATGCAAAAGAAAAACTACAAATCAATTACCAAATCATTCATTTATGTACAATGTGGTCCTCTCAATTGCTGTCATCTTAGGCAGCTTTCAAAGTAAAATTCCTAATTAATTACATGTACATGTACATCTGTAGGCATGCAAGTATACCTGTGAGTTGTAATACCTCACCTACATGTGTAGTTTAATAATGTACATGGACTGAAAAAGAAGAGAATTGTTTGATGCATTTGAAGCAAGATGTTCCTGACTCGTAATCTAGCTAGCTAGAATAGACATGGCTTTAATATTTGTTGGCATGGATGCATGGTCCATATGTACACACACTGTATATTTGTATGTAAACAAACATGAAAATGCAATGCCACCTGCTTTGTGTGTTGTATCTACAAATGAATTTTCAATAGTATATAGTGAGGTACACTGTACATGTATATGTACTGCAAAATTTGCATGTATGCATGTACTTAAGTCATTGATTTAAATAGCAAAGTATGATGGTTTCTTGAATTTGAAGCTTATGAGAAAAACGCTCATACCAAGGTTAGAATCTTTTGGAGAACTGGAAAGAAAATGAGAATTGAAATTTGAAAGTTGAAATAGTTCCTTTAGCCATGTTTCATATCAATAAGTTTTGAAATCCAATTTAGATTAACAGGCCTTATACATGTACATGTAAATATCAAATTAGCATACATGTAAAAGTAAAATGATTAAGGGGCAAATCCAACCTTTGTAATGAGTTCAATTGTATGAAAGCAGAAAAAATAAGAGAAACAGAATAGCAATAAGTTCCTTTTCCCTTGGGGCACTATTCAAAATATATTATGGATAGCATACTGTAGGTTCTCTGCAAAGAAAGAACCTACTACAGTGTAAGTCAGAAACATTTTGAAAAATTGTAATTTTAGTCATTTAATGTGTCGAAATAAATGGAATAGTTGTTTGGCATTACATCACAGTCATTACCGATTCAATTGTTTTGAAGTGCTTATACGTTTAGTGATAACAATTGTTAAAGATTCATAACTTTTTGGGAGGGTCTGATTTCATTCAAACAATCACCATAATAAGATTTGATTTCTTTTAGAGTAGTTTTCTTATTAAGGTTGGATTTTCCTCTAGTTTTCCTTTTGAGCACCTCTATTCATGTTGCCTTTACTCTCCTATGGCTAAAACTTCAGTTTATTATTGTTTATTAAAGTAATATGTAGTGAATACAGATTTTATTCTTATTCATTACACCAATATTTTGCATGAATTGAAAATCTTGGAATTTGCTGAATGCTATATGTACTTTATGTAGTCACTTGATTGCATCTTCTTTGCATTAAAATCATATTTCTCTTATCAATGTTCACTTACATGTACATTTACATTACTTACACATTTTATGTAAAAATATATCAAACTTCATAATTTATGTTTCACACTGTCATATGCTAAATGTCATGTTTCTATTTCCCCCCAATTTGCAGGAGATAACTTTTTTTTGTCATGCACTTGTTAACACTCGTTTTTTGTTTTCAACTATTCATTTTTCTTTTCACAATTGCACCCCATGTGCACTTTCATACCATATTGCTTGAATTCTGAATTTTGTTTCCTTTATACATGTACAGTTTGTCAACCCTCCATTTTACTCTCTAAGCAGCAAACATGTAATATGCCAGAGTTTAGAATATCTACTTTTAAACTACAAAATATTAGGTGATTAGAAAAGTTATTTTGATGAAAGCAGTCTTAAAACAATTATGCTTGTTCAGAATGCAGTAGGTTTGCAATTCTTACTGATATAGGACGAATCTAAACATCAGTCAGGGGATAAATTACATCACAGATGCTGGATATTTAAAATTTAAAAAAACCTGAAAATATTAATTTCAATTAACAAATACAATTTTTACTAGCATACCGATACACTAAATTGAAATTTTTATCTGGGTTTGCAACAAAACATATCAGGCAAATTGTTTCTGATTTGTTTCAATCCCACTCTTTTAAGATGTGACAGTGATTTGAAAAAAAAAGTACATGTATAATCAAAATCACTATGTAAATATTAGATGGCCTTCAATTTTATTTCCATTCTTTCCATTTTAAAATGATGTGAATAAGTAAATTGGCAAAATAACGACAATAAAATCATTATATAAAATGGTGGAATAACCTTCGAAGGAAAATGCTTGGCAGTGCTCCTTTTTTCAGAAAAATAGTAAAGTCATCAGTCCTAAATACATAGTATTTCTGCCATGGATGGCTGAGCACCAGGGTTTAACAAAAAGTGCTGTCAAATTCTCCTTGTACCAAGTTTGGGCTTATGAACTGAATGTGGGTCTGGCCATGCATGTAGTACGTCATGGTCTTTTACATCGTAAACCATTGTAAAAGTTAAATTCTGCTTCATGCTTCATTGTTTAAAGTGATCCAATATAGCATTCACAGCACCTTGTTTCAATCCACAGGATAACCTTAAATTATTTAACAGCCAAATAACTGAGTTATGAATACGGTATCACAAGACATTAAAATGAAATATAATGCAAGGCCACCCAAGTTATAATATTTTAATTGGAATCAACAAAAGTTAGGTTCTACTTTTTTTTGCACTGTATTATATCACAAGTTGATTTATGTCATGTCTACATGTACATGTACTTTACATGTCTGTTCATTTCATTGTTATTTATTATTTTTATTTTTATTGAGTTGTTTTGCTATTATTTCTATTATTTTGTAACATGAACATGCTTGATTGCCTGGGTCTCTTTCTGCAGAGGTAATGGAAAACTTTGGAGACCAGACCCAGCTGGACCTAGTGATGCATGTGCTTAGAATGGCAGATATTCCAGGTCTTCCCCCCGGCGGAGGCCTTTCAGCCAAGTGAGTTCAGGGTTCACCCCCTCCTCCTCCTCCCCCTCCTCCTTCTCCCCCCTCTTCCCAACTTCCCTTTCATTCGTTGGTACCAAATCGACTTGTCCACCCCTCTTTTATGCAATAAGTGAAGATGATAGGACAGAGCTGCCCACCTTGTGCGACCAAAAAAAGGAATCATGATGGCAAAAAAAAGGAATTTCAAGCAAAAAAAAGGAATTCATAAAAACAAAACTTATAACCACGCGCGACACACTTCCAATGCAGAAATGTTCATTCATCATGCTGTTTTTTCCATACAAGCAGGATTTTTTTTTGTGGTTATTTTGGTATTAACGGCATTTTATTTATATAAATTTTATAAAATTAGTTTTCTATTGAATTTGTGATCGAATCACCATTTTAGGGCAGTCGTTTGACATACGGTACATGTAAAAATATGTAAAAAAAAAAAAAAAATTAAAATTAATAAAAAACCGTATTTTATGAAGAAAAAACGTAATACCGTAATTGGGAGGAAAAAACGGAGTAATTCTGGCAAAAATGGAATGGTTGGCAGCTCTGATAGTATATTCCTAGGCATTGGGTCACATGTAACATTTATTTCATGATTCGGTATTCACTCTAACAAGCTCTCTTGCGGGTGATTTGTACATGTATACCAAGACCGTATATATGTTACTATTCAAAAATTCTGTTTAAGGAGATGGAAAGTGGGGACTAAATGAAACTTACAAAATATAAATATTTAAAATGGTAACAAGGGAGTCTACAGTAGTTATCTAAATAAACAAATGCATCCAAAAGGTATGCCCCCCCCCCACCCTTTCTTGTGAATGTATTTCAGTCAGTAAATTAATGTATCCATAATTTATCAAGATATATAGCTGAAACGCTTCATAACTAGAAGTAATTTCTAGTGACTCTTCATAATATACCCCCCCCCCCCCCACAACTTAATCCTTTGTCACTATCAATTTGAACTGTCAGTTGTTTGGAATAGAATTACAGCTCAGATGCAGTTCATACAGTTTCTAATATATTTAGTTAAATGTATGTGAATAAAGAACGATAAGAACTGAAACTTTAGTTCAATTTTTATTTTAATTGCATTGTTCTGTACAATATTAGCGGCACTCATAAAGTTAAAGCCCTGCCATAAGAAACCAATTTGTTTCCCTTACATGTACAACTGTGTGTAGTACTGTTGATCGTACTCTTTTGAAAGCTTTCTAGAGTAGTTTGGTGTTATGCTATAATGTCCTTTTGTTACAATCAGTAACAGATACATGTTACAAAAATTGTACATGTACTATGCTTTCATTCACTTTCATAATACACTTACTTTTCATAGCTACAGCACATATTTTGCATACATGTACACTGTATTTCAAGTTGATCCATTATTTATCTGTCCTAATTCTGTTCATTATTTATCTGTCCTAATTTCTGTTCATTATAGTTAACATTTTTCATTATCTCAAATTGGATGTGTATATGATAATCAACTGTTCAATTTACAGCATGAGGCATTTTAGTGCATGTTGGTTTCTGACATTTTGTAATATTATTGGCAGAGATAGTTATGATCGACATGTATCATCAAAGTTGAACATTTTCATATGATTTACCTGTATACAGTACAAGTACCGGTACATTGTAAGTGCCCCACCCCCCTCAATTAAAAAAAAAATCAAATTGTGAAGAAGGAAACCATTGAATACTCAAGCTACAGTGGTAAAAGCTTAGCAAACACCAAGTTGAAATAGATTAAGGACTGTTGTACAGCCAAATACTATTTCAAAACTAAGTTATATTCCCATTGTTTGGAATAAGTAATGAGGGGGACTACAATGTACATTGTATGTGATATGAAGAACTGACACAAAACATGAATTTACATTTTGATTCTCGTACTTTCTATTTCTTATCTGATCAATTCCAAATCTGTCAACGTTCATTTCCCCTGTACTTCTATTACCATTTATTCCCCCTCTCTCCTCTTCCTCTGTGCCGTTTCTCTTCCTCTGTTTCTGCTTCTCCCATGCACAGGAAAGGAACCATCGAAGAAATTCTGAACAGGCTCATCCCTAACAGGAAGCATGATGAGGTAAAGAAATTAAAAGCCCCATATAAAAGTAATTCTTCTAGTGCTTCTCTGCTTCTCAAAAACCCTTTTGATTGCTTGCCTGATGAGGTGAGTGGGTGTGTAAGCAAAGATGCATGCTAGGTGTGCGGTTACCTTGGATGACCTTTAAACAATAAAAAAAGGTTCACTTTCACAAGTCCGAATGCAATGCATCAATATAACATATCATGATGGAAGCTGTAAATTGACATAAAATAAATTTATATGCACAGAAGTCAAGTATTTTAGTTCAAAATTTTATGCCATAAACATGTACACAGTACAGTGCGTGTGACCCTTCGCAAGAAATTGTTCCTTTGAGAAACAGGAAGGGAAAGGAATATAAAAAGTAGTTTTGCTTGAATTGGGAGTTGCTATAGTTGTAGCACCATTATTTCTTGATGAGCACATCCATATTGACATTCATTTTGTGACATTTTTTATTTTATTTATTTATTTTATTTATTAGTTCCAGAGATTGGACTGATTAGTTCAACTCTGGAAAAAAATTGAATTTGTTTCTAATGTCCTCTATTTTTTTGGTCTATTCCCATTTCTCTATCCCTTGCCATTTTCCTATTAATTTTCACCCTTGTATGTCCTATGGGCTTGAACATTTACATGTATATTTGTACATGTAGATGCACTGATGTGATGCTCAATATGAGCTGAAGGGACATCCCCAAATTCTGTTCACATTTCTCCCCTTCACTCTTTGTTATTCTTTATACTTGTACCTCTCTTGCACCCTTTTCCTTCCTATCAATGCATTAGGATTCAGCGGATGAAAAATGGTAGCCGTTGTCATGGCAACCATAGACACCTGTTCCTTAAGGATATCTTACATGATGCACTACGATAGTAACCATATGTCATGCGAGACTGCTTCAAGTCAAATGGTCAAGTCCTATCCGTCATTGGATACTTGGGAGCTACATTGCTGGTTGATGATTTCTAGGAATCTTATTTGGAAACAAGTATAGAGTAAATGTTGTCATCAATTTCATTCTATCTAGTGAATTGAAAGGCAAACATTAAATGTGATTTCTTAGTCTAGAAAGTAAAGTGACATTTATAAGGGAATTACTTACATTACTTCTAAACCTTGAGGTGGAAGTAGACATACATGTAATTCTGTAATTAGATGCACTTCCCAGTTGTTAGCTGTAATGTGTAATCTGATAAGTGTATGTGGTACATGATAAGCAGTTTCAATTCTATGCTTGCTCATTTAAATGAGTGATGTATAGCTACATGTATTTTAAAGACAGTTCCAAAATGATTTAAGCTATCTCTTTAGGTAATTTTACATTTGTAGGAATATTAGAAATGTTACAGTAATGTAACTTTATGCTTCGATATAAGAAGAACAAAGATTTAGTTTCTTCTGAAAAATTAGCGATGAATTCAACATAATTGAATTAAATTTTGTATAGAAGTAAATGACCAATGGTTTTGTGAATAATACAGTTGCTATAAAATGTATGATAGTATTGTGAAATGTGTATCATGGGAAGTGAATACATATCTACATTTAGTTTACAAATAATACACAGCATTGAGGGTATTAGTAAGAACTACCTTTGGAACAGTCTAACACGCACAAGGTGATAGCCGGGGGTGTTTGGACTGTTTCAAATGTACCGAGTGTGGGTAATTTTACTAATGCCCGAACAAAATGATGTGTATTATTTGTTTTATAAGATGATGTTTTATTTGTTTTATAAAATGATGTTTTATAACATGGTTTTACTCCTGACCAGACATAAGGACTTACTGATGACCGGTCATTAGTAAAACTATGAGTTAGTTAAAATAAATGCCTGGTCATGTGTACGCTCTCAACCAATCATTTAATTAGGATCAGCTTCATCATTGTATAACATCATGTATTGTACTTGTATACTGTGTCAATATTGACAATCAGCTTTTTTTTTCTTCATGTGACATTATCTGATATAAATTAATATTGTGTGCAGATTATTCTCCAGAATTTTAAGCAATACAATTAAGCATGTAATAATTCATTGCTTGATTAGCTATGTAGCACTGTAATGAATATTTTAAATATTTAGTTGGGGTCTTTATATTTGATTACTGTTTTGAAGTGTATCACAACCTGTTTTGATGTAATATGCAAATGTAGAGTGGCATTAAGTGGTTTTTTTCTTCCTCCTTCTTAAGAATAAAGGAGTTGGTGCCATTTCTAAAGTTGATTTTTATCACTTTCCATTATAATTTAGTGATTGATTTTGAGTTCTCTAGTCTACACCATGTTTAATTACCAGCAATGGTTCATGCACTGCTTGTATAAAGAGAGTGTTTTGTACTGTCATATGGCTACTCTATTTGCATTGAATATATTTTTGAAACTTGTAAATTTACACTGATGTAATACTCCGGACAGATTGTTATGCAATACATGACTGGTCTGATCTTCTATGCATGAAAATCGCATTGCAGGGCAAATGATACTTTTGGTTGACATTTTCAATTAACATAAATTCTGACAAATTCTGATATTATGATTTTGAGAGAAGCCATTGAAAAACTGTTTTTTACCCATTCTCAGATTTTTGTCATATATTGATCCATTTGTTAATTTCTCAACATGATAAATGGCGAGTGTTTTCATAAATGTCAGAATCAAACAATTTCATTTGTTCATAAATATTGTGCTGTACGAACATGTATCACATGATGAACTGCAATTGTGGTTTGATTATGAGGCTGTTTCCTGTACATGTACACAGATAACAAAATTGATGTGTGTCTAACGGAGATGCAAACTCAGGCTGGTATGTTGGTTTCAGTTTCATTTCTTTTCAAAACATGGGAACATGATGTATATGCTCTTGTGTGTATTTTACTGAGAGAATGTACATATTTTTTGTGACATTTAGTTTGTTAGAGCCACACGACAGCCCTATTAAATGAGTGTAAATCTATTAAATACTCTGGGAACTATTTAGATTAGAAGTTGAGATTAATGTTAAAAGGAATGTAAATGACATTTATTTTCTGTATATCATTATTAATGTAACTACATGTTTTTATATGAAAAGAGTTGGTTTGGTTTTAGTGGGGCCCCTTTTTCCTGAATTATATTTATCAACATCAGGTTTATTGTATGGTACTTAATATTGTATATAAAGTAGTGACTTGTGTTCTGAAATTTTCCTTTTTTCCTTTTTGTTCAGCTTTTTTTCTTCTTCAGATTACTAAAACCAAGAAGTTTTTTGTGCTGTTGGTAAAAGATTGACATTTTCAGATATTTTATGATTTGGCAGTATTTAAAGATGATTGCCTTTTTTTGCTATAGAGAATTCAACACAATTTTTCAATTTCTCATCTGCAAAGACTATCATCAGTGGTATTTAATTACCTGTTGATTAGATGGATGTACATGTACATGTACGTATGATTCAACAAAAATTCCAATCCATAAAAAAGTAACAGTTTTGTTGAATTTGTTCATTCCAAGGTCATCCATTCATTAAAAACTGCCAGGCATCCCCCCCCCAAAAAAAAAAATGAAGAAATATATGTAGAAAGTGAGCAAGTCTTTTCTACAGCTTCAGTATTTTGATGGTGAATATTCAATGACCTGGAATTCAGAAGACATTTTCTTAGCAGCCTCTACCTTTATTCTTCCCTTTCCCTTCTTTTCTGCTTGTAACCTGTGAGGTGCCATGTGCTCTTGTTTCAGAGTTTTAAAATAAAATTGCACATGTGATTATACAATCCTCATTAAGAAATGCTGAAATAGATAGCAAGCTTCCTGTCTTGAAAAAGATTTTCCACCAAACCTTGCTCCAGTCTTTCTCAGCCGTCAAATGAAACAGAATAGTTTATTCCCTTTGAACTTGTTATGACCAATTAACCCTGTTTATTAAAGCAAAATTGAAATAGAGCTTTCAATACAGGTACGGTAAGCATATTTTAAAAGGCCGGCTGAAATATACAACATTTATATTCCCTCCCTTTTATCTTTCTTGGTTAGGTTAGGGAACTTAGAAGAACAAGTTGTGCACCTACTGTAGATTTATTACAAGATACTGTAGTGTCAAGCTGTTACTGAGCACAAAAAAAATGATCTTGATATTTGTTTTGTTGTTTTCTTTATCAGTTGCAGTGGCTCCAATTTATGATACAATACACCAGATGTGGTTCAAGTATTCAGTTACTTAAAATACTTGTTAATCCAATGTATAGTATACTGTGGACCTACACACTTGCCCTTCTGCTAGTTTGTACATGTATGGACTGAAATCAGATTAATTGCAGTTATGTGTGTATTTCATTGAGTAGTAATGAAACCATTAGATGTATATCACCAAAACCGTCTGTGGAATTAAGAATCTTGACTTAACTGATGCCGTCCACACAGGCCAGGGGCCTTGTGATGGCTTCTGTATGGTGATGGTATGCCCAGTTTTTCTGTCCGCAGCCAGTCTTGATGTATCTGTCAGTTAAGAATCATCTTTGGTTAAATGGTTATTTTCAGAAATCTTGAAATTCTAAGCATTGGTCTTCAGACTCTTTCAGGTGTGTGCAAATGGTATGGAAAAACACTGTTGTCAAGGTATGAACCGATGTACAATACACCAGACTTGGAAGTAATTCACTGGGCAATTGTAAATCGTTCATGGCAGGAGCAATATAATATAGTAGAGGTTCAGAACTAGATGGACCATATAAGTTGTGTGTGTAACAAACATAAAGAGTACCGTATGACATCCTAATAGACCAGTTTCGTAATCAAATTTAATGCCCAAATCTTATATTTGTTAAGATTTGTGCATTGAATTTGATTGAATTACGAAAATGTCCTATTAAGTTGGCAGTTATTGTAAAGATGATAAGATATTATGTATTTACATTCAGTTGAAGTGCTGTGTTGGTTTAGTTTATTTTAAAAGGAAATCTGAACCCTTTTTTCAGAGTGGTTCCATTTTTTTATTATTTTTTATTTTATTTTAGCATGGTTCATTTGTGCTGAGAATGATAGAAAATGTAGAGGCTATTTGAATCTTTGTAGAAATGAGTGAAGAAACTGTATATATAATAGTAAAACAACAAATATGTACTTGTATAATCTACAGAAAAAAGAAAGTATGCATGTGACATGTAATGGGAAACTTCAAAATTGATGTCTACTGTCAATGTAGAATTTGATTCAATGAATGCTAAATACTTGTGAAGTAGATATGTATGCCACATAAAACACTGGCTCTATATCAATGCTTATTTATATTTACAAATTTTGGAGGTGTATGTGAAATTTATGGCTATGTCTGAGGTGATAAATTTGATTGATATGGAAAGAGAAAAAAAATGGGATAGTTATCGTTCAAAATGTTGGATTCTTCCCTATGTATTATAGTGTCATTACATAAAGCAATGTTATGATGTAGACTTATCGGGGATTATCACTGTAAAACAAATGTACCTAGAATTCTAAAGCTAATGAATTAAAGACACGACTTCTGTTGATAAATTGCAAATGAATTTGTGGCATTGAGACTTATTGGTACATAACGTCCTGTGTGGTCGAGATAATTTATTACCAGTAGGTCATAATTTTGACCATCTATCTTACATAAAATCAATTATATGCAGTAACATTCTGTTATTAAAAAGCAAAAATTGGTGACCCACCTTTTAATGTTTTTATGCCTAATAAACTTCTTTTTTTTTTAGATACATCCAAAAGCATGTTTGCCAATAGATAATACAAATTTTAAAAGTTTGGAAAAGAGAGAAAGGTAAGAATGCGAGAGAGACAAGTGAAACAATGGCAATCTGGTTTGACACAAAATCATTCTAGATATTACAGTATTTAATTGTTAAAAGTACATTGTAAGTACATTGTAAATGGCTTTTTTTTTTAAACGAGTGTATTGCTTGGATGGACTTTACCAGGGAATAGTATATTGCATAACCAGAAAATTTCCAGCAGACGAAATTTCAATTTTTTTGTGAGTGATTCAGATTCTTTGGAGTTTCATGCTGCAAAATATGGAATGCCTTTATAACATATCGTGAAAGTTTCTGGTGTTGCAATATCGAACGTTCCCATATGCACACCAGGGAAGGAGATTGATTCTATCTCTTCAAAATCAAATCCAACAGATAATGATTTCACTGATGAATAATAATTTCTTTACATATTCCACTCAGTCAAATCCATATGCACTCATTGCAATGGTGTGTTCCCTTTTATGAGTCAATGAATTAACAAGAAAAGACTAAAGGAATCAATTTGAATGAAGTACATTAATATTAATGTGTTCTCCCTAACCTAAAAAAATGAAACAAAATTTGACAGAAAATATCATTGCCTGTTAGACACACGACAATGTGATGTATGTGGACTTAAACTTATGGCTGTTTCGTGAGACCCTGCCCAGGAAAGGATTACAACAAAATCTCAGTCAAAAAACTATGTGCCAGCTAGGATATGCATGGTATTACTCCACCCAGATTGATAGCTTTTCTTTCTATTAAACACATAATCCTCAAAAAGCTCCAGCAGCCTCACACATTAATCTCTGGTTATCACACCCATTCATTCTCCCTTTGTTTGACATAATCCCATTTAGCCAAGGCCTCTGTTAATGTTATTTTTGGCTAGGGTTCTCTACTTTCTAAAGTAGGGTGTTAATTGGTCCTCTTCCAGCCAAGTTGAAGGAGAATGTGCAATCAGGGAGGTGAGATTATTTTCTCTCACCTCCGGCCTGGTGCAATGCAGCTCATTGGTATACCTTTTTTTTAACAAAGTGTTATTTCCTCTGTCCATGGCAATGTCATGACTCACAGAATATATAACCCTGATACATAAATTAGTCATCCATTTATAATTTTGGCACAGAATAGTTTTTACATTATGTATATGCTATTTTTCTCATATTAACCTTTCATTTTAAGACCATGAAAACAAATTCAAAGCTTGATTCAGGAATGTAAAGTAACATAATTTGTACTACCGGTATTTGGATTTTGTGAATTACAAGTTACCATGCAATGCTACATCTTTCTTTTTCATAAAAGACAAACTACTAATCCATTAACTTGTATGAACCCATTCAAAACAATATGTTACTCTTATGACACACATCTATATGTGTGCTCTTTCACTTCTTTGTTTATCAAAATGTGACAACTAATAAGTTAGTCCACATCCTTGTGTACAGGGACAAAGTCTATACCATCATGCTTGCATAACCAGAACATCTACTGGTACATGTACAATGAGTTTATATCATCACTTATCTCCCCTTTATAATACAATGTAATTATTTACTTCACACTATCCTTCATAACATGCATGTCTACTTATCAATGCAAGCTATCACTGGCACACAACACTTCCATGTAATTTTATTACCGCAATCCCAACTTCAGGGGCAACTACAAGTCCCTTGTATCTCCCAAACATGCGGCTATCTTCCGCTCTGAGGTTCTTTGACCAAAGTTGGTGGTTGTAAAACCTAGGGACAATGAAAGCATGTGATCATGCACCAGTAATTCTTTATCTAGCAGCTGTCAAACTTACAGTGATTCTTCCTGGAGATGGTAAAATACTTAGGTTCTGTCGACCCCAATGGTTAAAGACAGTCTGGATATCAGGAAAACATACCATAAACATATTGACAGAGAAAATCAACAGCACTAATAATGCCAGATACCTTTTAGTATTTAGTTGCATGGGTACTAGCTCCTGATGCACCATTTGATCAGTTTTCCTCAATGCTGTTGTCAACAAGTCTCTGATGAAACACAATTTGCTCCACTTTTTTTAGAAGATGAGTACCGGTATCTTATCACCTCTTGCCAAACTGCAATTTCAATTTCAGTGTTTTAGGGAAGTACCTAATGGTTAGGGATACCCTGCAAGTCCTTTCAATCTCCTGCTCTACTCGGTATCCAGTGGCACTTAGATTGGCCACTGTGGAGGCGGTCACATCTGCTGTCCTCTCCGCTATACCATGAAGGTGACCGGTGTACATGGAGTCCTGCAGGATCAGGAGGCTATATGGCTCCAGCAGGAGGGAAAGGAATGGCTCATTGAGATCCTGCTTGTTGCTTGTCGCTTCCTCCAACGATGGCTGATGACATAAAAGTAAAGAGGAAATTAACAATAGCATCATTGCAGTGCTTTCAGTAGCTCACACTTCACGTCATTAGTTATTTGGTTGGTCGTATATTCTATATACCGATAGTTTATTCAGATGTTTGGAGAAATTTACCTTTTTTCACCAATAAGGAGAACTTCATGATGAATAAATGTAAAATTGCACCAACAGGAAGTTTATCTCACCTCACATGTTTCCTCTGCCATAAGGTAATTTGTACTTCAGACATGCTAAATGATACTTTTATAATCCTAACTCTACAAGCAATTCACAAAGAAAATTCAGCTCATTAAAATACATTCATATTCTGATGTCACCCTATCCTGTTGAAAAAGAAAGTAGTTCTTATTCAAACCTGAGAATCTGCATCATTCTCCTCTCTCCTTTTGTAGAAGTCTAGGAATGTGTGTGAACCAAGGCTGATAGTCGTTACAACTGGGTGGAAGAGTGGCCCATCTTCATGGGGCTACAATGGAACATTAAAGGGAATATCAACTCAATCTTCTCTAACTTCATGTCAGCAGCTCTAGGTCCAAATGAAAATTATGCAAATAATACAGACATGGGATTTTAGAGTGGCAACTTTGATGATGCAATGTTGATATTGTCTTTCCAATCAAAAACAGGATTATAATTACTACACACACTTTTTTCATACATCAACTAAGGAAAATCTCTCTCGGCATGAAAAAAAACAAAAACAAAAAAAACACATACCCCCGGTATACACAAATGGGAATGGTATTTTTCTGTTCTACATGTATCTTATATTTCTTGACATATTAATGGACATTTATATCACATACCGGTAATCAATTTGAACCATTACTATAGACACTCTTTTAAAAACTCCAATGCAAACTTTGAATTTCTCATACAATAACTTTATTTACCATAATTCCTTGGCCGGGTTGGTATTCATTGACAAGGACATGGTTTGGTATATGATCTCCAAACACACCTAATCGTGCAATCTTCTTAGCATACACATCCAGCCACTGAAAAGACAAGGAATAAATGAGAGATACATAACATATAGCATACAAAAAAAATTATAGAAGTCAGATAGAAGGAAACATTAGGAAGAAAAAAGCACCACAAAATATCCTTTGCATATTATAAGAAACTGAACTCAATGCAGCATTACAATTATAACACAACTTTGAGTTTTGATTTGTCTTTATTCACAGCTAGTTCAAAGTGTGTGACATGCAGTGCACAGTATGACTACTTCATAGTCCCCACACATCTAAAGCCTTCAAATTAATTCATAAAAATGAGATACAAAGCTGACAGCAAGTCTTGATATCAGAATAAATAAATAAATCAAAGTCACGAAAGCCACAATACAAGAACCCCACAAAAATATAATAAATTCATCCTAAATTCACAGCAAGAATGTCATTATAATACAATCAGAATTTATAATTGCAATGTTCAACAGATCAATACCTTTGGCAATCCCTCTGCAATCATTCCTTTTGGATGAGGTAGACCACCTTCAAGGAAACAGAACAAAAGGAGCATGGTGTAAAGTAAATACACATTTTATATCTAGGATGTCATATGGAATACAAGTCTTCACTTGCATAAAAGACTTGAGGTGGGGGGGGGGGGGGGGGTGTGACACACACAAAAAAAGGAGTCCCATGGTTCCATAGATAAACTCTTTGTGCCCACTGGCTACTGTGTGCATGTATCTACTCATTCTAATACATTTTGATTAATTCTAACATACATACAGTGTATCATCGTATGAATCAAATCTATGAATTTGTACTATCAGAAGTGAGGCAAGAACCAATATGTCTAGATTTTAATTTGAGATAACAGCTATTTTCTCCTCTACATACACACAATTGAAACAAGTGGACTTCTTCATGCAGTCTATTTAACTTTAATAGTTTATTTTTTATTTGTTTTAACAACCTCTCTTTTTTTATCATTTTAAACATGTATCAAATATCTAGCAACAAATGGAGCACCTGTAATAACTACCGGTAGGTCTTTTTCTTTCTAAAAGAATAGAATAGAAAAGAAAACGAGCAGAAAATAAAATGAGCTGATAAGATTTACCCCAGTTTTGGAGACGTCTGTTTGACAGGTGGGTCCATTTTGGTTTAGGGGCTGCATATACCTGTTCATAAACAATATCACTTTAACTAGTTAACATTTCATTCATCCAAATAAGACAAGATAAGGTTAAAGACAGAAATCAAGAGAGCTGTGATCATCAGAACCCATTTACAAGATATTACTTAGAGTTGAAGGAAGTAACGGTGTCATTATATTTTAACACTTTGGTTGCCTATACTACCTCTCTGCATCGTCACTCGTTTTCCACACATGCAATTTTGCACTAAATAATAGAAACTAATTGACAGGAGTTGATTGCTTTGTGCAGCACAATAACACTAAAAAGAGTTAACCATATCTATCCCATGATAAAGACAATGAGGCATAGGCAGAATATTTGTGTGGCATATAAAGAGTTGTTATTTTACTCTCAACGCGAGGGACACTTGTAAACTTGTACACTTGGCTGATTACATTCAGTCCTATCCGGAAGAAGGATTTTTTTAATTGTATACTGGGTACATTTACCAATATATCCCATTTGTTTATAAAAATTGATTTTCCCTGCTCTTTTGCGAAAATAGGAAGTCTAGCTACAAAAAATTATTTACTTACTTTAATTTAATCATATAGGAATCAATGCTGTTTCCAGAGAAGCACTATTTAAAGAGTTACAAAATAGATTTACCTGATTCAAGAGATATTTGCCTTCTTGTTCTGTAACAAAATCTGGAATGTAGTATGCCACATCTGGAGCCTATAAAAAGGAAAAGAAACAATTGATAAATATTAATAAAAAATGAATACCCGGTACACACATGAAGCTGTAAGCAAAGCAAAGACTTTTAAATCAGATTTTTGTTCAGTCATTAAAAAATTACTTTAAAAAATATAAAATTAATACAAAAAACATTTCTTAGAAAAAACACATTCTAGTACACATCACACTAATCAAGTGAGCTGTCTAGGGAGTTATTTATTAAGCAAGGAAACATAATTCTAATGCTGATTTTGACACATTTCTTCCTCTACTTTGTAATCTTTGTATCACATTCATAAATTCTTATTTCAACATGGACCTAGATATGTCTAGTACACTAGACTCTAGAGCCAGAGTCGGGAATCCATCTTCATAATTGAAATCTAGACCTAGGACTAGTCTTTTCTAGAAAGACCAGTTATTTCATAGGTCTAGACTAAAATCTAAATTGGAGAAAAAACAAGTTCCATTAAAAATGATCAGCACTCAATCATCCACTTCACATTAATTTTGTTTCCTATAAATTGACTTGAATTGATCTCAAGAGTCATCCAACAAAAGTTACACCTTTCCTATACAATCAAAATAGTGGACCGAAAATTTCTGTCTCTTTCGTTCGTAACTTTGTTAGCCTCTTATATTTGGGTAGGGTCGGCCTAATTTTCAAAAATAAATGCATCGGATATGAATCCGCTAAAGTGACATTTACGGTAGTCCAAAATTTTGGATGGAATTTGGTGGTCGGATTCATGCTGCCGATTTTGCAGAGCAGACCCTATGGTCGGCTTCCGTCTCTAAAGAGAGGAGCCGACCCCTACTCAAATAAGAGGCTAAAGAACGAAAGAGACAGAAATTTTCGGACTATCAAAATAGCTGCTAATAATACCCGAAACTCAATGCATGGGACTATGTTGTAGTAAATTATTCAATAATTCATTAACTTTCCACATGAGATGGTTCGATATTTCAGTATATTGTCAAATATTCGAATATGAATCATACATACATTCTTCACTCTATATTTCTCTAAAGAAATTCCACCTTCAGACGTTGATAAAGGGTCCATTTTCTGTGTTATAATATTTATTTTCGTCTGCTCCCAAGTCCTATCTTCAGTTCACGTTGCTGCATTCCAGACTAGCTTTTGAATTGACTATGGTAAAATTATTACCATGCCATATTTTGACGTTATTAGAAGCTTTAGAAAACACAATCTAAAATGAAATATCTATGCTTCAAAATCAAAGTTTAACCTTGGTAAAAACAATTCAGGTGGCAGGTGATTGAATTATATATTTTAATACAATTATTTCAGCTACTTTGGACAAAGACTAAGTTTCTGCCGAGATGAAGACCAGAGTGTATCCATACACCGCGTGGTCAGGACACGGTCATTGGTCAAAAGTTAATGTCTGACCCAACGCCGATTTAACTTCAATTTATTTTTCATAAAAAGTATATGCCTCTGGACTCTGCTTGTACCATAAAAAGGGAGAAAAAAGGGAGAAAAAAGGGAGAAAAAAGGGAGAAAAAAGGGAGAAAAAAGGGAGAAAAAAGGGAGAAAAAAGGGAGAAAAAAGGGAGAAAAAAGGGAGAAAAAAAGGGAGAAAAAAGGGAGAAAAAAGGGAGAAAAAGGGGAGAAAAAAGGGAGAAAAAAGGGAGAAAAAAGGGAGAAAAAAGGGAGAAAAAAGGGAGAAATAAGGGAGAAATAAGGGAGAAATAAGGGAGAAAAGGGAGAAAAAAGGGAGAAAGAAGAGGAAAAAGGAGCAAGGAGAAGGAGCGAAAATGGGAGGAGACGGATTAAAAGAGAATGGGGCCGAATCAGACGGATTAGGGGGAGTAGAGGAAGTGGGAGTAGAGGAAGGAGGAGTAAAGGGAGAATAAAGGGAGAAGATCAAGGAGAGGAGATGAAAAGGCAGAAAAAGAAAAATATAAAACAAAACGAATACTATAGTAACCATCCCATCTCTGACATATCATAATTACAAAAATTGAACAAACCTTAGGCCCGGCATATTCTATTTTATGATCCCTTCTAAATTATGTAATCTGATGATGCTTGTGGCATGTAGGAACTCTTGGAAGAATCCAGTGACTATGTTAAAGCAGGACTGCATAACTTGTAGCTATATGTGCCCTCTGTATAGCAAACAATGCAATAGCAATACCCGTTGGTTCCCCATGAAACTTCAAATTTTTTCCAAAAATGGTGGGCTAACCCCTTACCAATTTTCTTAAGAAAAGGGGCATTTTTCCACATTTCACAAATTTATCTACAATAACATATTTTTAATGAACAGGGGTCATAGACACCTTCCACAGATGAAAAGAGGCCTTTTTGAAACTGTTCAAATTGTGGCCAAAAATGATGGGCTAACCCCTTGCCATTTTTCTCAAAGAGGGAAGAAGAGGAAAGAAGAGGGAAAAGGAGCTTTAATGGGGGGGGGGGGGGGCAGCATAGAGGAGACTTGGGAGGAAACAGAAGAGGAGTAGAGGAAGGAGGGAGGACAGAAAAAACAAGAAATGAGGAAGATAAAAACGAAAATGAATACAAGTAAACATATATGAAACAAATCTTACGCCCATATTTTTTTTATTTTTGTATTCTCCTCTTAAATTATGTGATCTGATGATGCGTAGCAACTCTCGGAAGATATCAAAAACTGGAATTCAGTGACAATGTTCATTTTCTAAGTATTCAATTAAATCATATTATTATTTTCAGTTGAGTAAAGAAAATGTGTTTATAAGCCATCATGAAAAGGAGCATTATCATCAACATTGAGGATTGTGTTGTGTCAGCAGGGGTGATTGTTGCACTCCCAAATTCTCTGCCAAAAATTTCATTTAAATTCTGCTTTTGAATGCTTGTCTTGTGTAATCACATGATTAGCTAACTGCCAATATCCTTGTGAACACATTAAATCAATTTTAATTGACAATTCTGGGTTGTCATCGTGAAAATCTGCAAAAATCTGCAGATTTCAATCTAGCTTCTCAACTTTGCACAGTAAGCAAATGGATTTACCAGCCCCACATACTACCTCTTGTGTTGGTAACTGACATCCACAAGCCAACTTCTGCAAGTCTTCTGCAAGTATCGATTTCATTTCCTTCTTCGCTTCTATGATGTTCATGAGAGTGATGGCAAGTCTGAGAGCATAATTGATCTTGACTTGAAGTGAGAAGCTGTCATAAATTTGACTTAATGCTGGTTTTTTGAGACTAGACTGAGATTGCTACAATAGTACTTAGTATTAGTAAATAGTAGTACAAAAGTAGTCCAACTTCATGTATCCCGGTCAGTAACAGTGTATATTATCGACTTGCATTGTACATTGTACATTTGTATGCAACATCATATCATTCTACATCTAGCATGGGTAGACATATTCCTCCAGCCATGATCTCATCATGGAAACATCCTGTCATCATGGTCTTCTTGATTATTGCTAGCACAGGCTTACTGATAATTAAGCCATTCTTTCCGCAGGATATTCATCATGAGCATGAATTTCGCTCATTGGATACCTCTCTCTGCCCTCAAGCAGACGTGCACCTTGTATGCAAATCAAGCACATTGCTACTTCTTCAAGCATTTCAGTATAAGAGAAATTCAACCAGTGTGCTGAATCTTCGCTCTGCTAGTCATCTCGCTATTCTACTACTCTTAAGCGGCCAAGTCGAGCGAAACCCGGGGCCAATAGACACATTCCCATGCGCTGTTTGTAATGCGAATGTCACGGACAACGACCAAGCTCTTCTCTGTGATAACTGCAACATGTGGTGCCATATTACATGCAATGGTATTTCTGAGCAATCATATGAAGTCCTTGCCAGACTCAACAGGTTCTCGTGGGTCTGCTGCAGATGTCATAGCATAAATGCAGAAACAGCAGCTTCCCTCAGCAGCAATGCCAGCCTCTCCACAAGCAATCAGTTTGAGTCATTAAGCATCAGCGACACAACCGATGATGCTCAATATCATTGTCAGACGTCAACACCAACTTCAGCGTCATCTGGTCATGCATCGAGGCTACCACCACGCCCTCACTTCTCACCATCTAAAAACCGCAGGAAGATCCTGAAGGGCGTCATTATCAATTGCAATGGTCTTAAAAGTTCTGCGAAGTACTCTCAATTCCAAGCATTGATTAGTCATCACAAGCCAGATGTGATCCTTGGTTGCGAATCTAAACTTGACGAGACAACCCCTACTTACAGTGTATTTCCTAGAAATTACACAGTATTCCGGAAAGATCGAAACGACCGTGGGGGTGGTGTCTTTGTAGCAGTGCATGAGTCTCTCATCTTAACCAACTGTCCGGAGTTCAACTCAAATAGTGAAATCATCTGGTGTAACTTACAATTCACCAACGCAAAGCCACTATTTATAGCCAGCTTTTACCGTCCCCCAAGTAACGGAAAGCAAGACCTTGAGGAACTCCAACTCTCCATCGCTAAGGTTATGACTAAACACAGAAGAAGTCACCCTAACATCATCATTGGAGGAGATTTCAATCTTCCAGACATCGATTGGGAATCCTGCTCACTGACCAATCCAAACCGTGCAAGCATCCATCAACTTTTGCTTGACACCTTATTGGAATTCTCACTGACACAACTGGTAAGGGATGTAACCCGTCCTGCGTCTAGTAACATCCTGGATCTTCTTTTGACGTCCAACCCTGGCCTCATTACAGATGTATCCATTCATCCTGGCATATCAGACCACAACATTGTGTCCTTTGTCTTCTCAGGAAATCCGAAAACAGCCCGTGCCCCTCCCAGGAAGATCTACCAATTCCACCGAGCAGACCACCAGATCATTAAAGAAACTGTTGAAAAGTTTTCAATCGATTTCTTCCTTTCATCTCCAGAGCTCCAAACTGTAGATGAGAATTGGAACAGGATATCTGTGTTCCTCAAGAAGTGTATGGAGGATCTGATACCATCAAAGATGAGCAAATCCCGGCGACACCTTCCGTGGATCACCACCGACCTCAAACGAAAAATGAGGAAGCGTGATAGGCTTTTTAAGAAAGCCCGTAGAAACCCCAGTACGTCAAAATGGAATGCTTTCAGACAGCACCGCAACGTGGTAGCGAAACTAGTTCACCAAGCACACCACGATTACGTGAACAACATCATAGGGAACAGTCTGCAAGGGAACCCCAAGACCTTCTGGTCCTATGTCAAGCAGTGTCGGACTGAGAATATGGAAATCCCATCGCTTAGATCTGACAAAGGCATCCACACGACCAACAAAGACAAAGCAGAGTGTCTCAACTCCTTCTTCCACTCGGTATTCACCAACCAACAGGTTTGTAATGCTCGTATGGAAGGTTCCTCACACTTTCCTGATATCGGCCATCTACACATTCATCGTCCTGGTGTGGCAAAGCAGCTGTCAAATCTCAACCCATCCAAAGCTTGTGGGCCAGACGAACTTCCACCTAAACTCCTCAAGCTTGTAGCTGACGAGATTGCTCCTGCCTTAGGATTCCTTTTTCAGCAGAGCTACAACTCTGGCACTGTTCCAGCTGAATGGCAGCATGCATTGGTAACACCCATCCACAAGACCGGTGATAAGTGTGATCCAGGAAATTACAGGCCTATTTCCTTGACCTGCATCTGCAGCAAGCTAATGGAACACATAGTACTCAGCCATATCTCGAAACATGTAGCTGCCAACAACATCCTGGTAGATGACCAACATGGATTTCGGCAGAAACTTTCCACCACCACACAACTCATCTCTGCTACCCAGGATTGGGCACACACCTTACAATGCAGAGGCCAAACAGATGTCATCTTCCTTGACTTCCAGAAAGCTTTCGACCGAGTACCTCATCGCCACTTGCAGACCAAGCTCGAGCATTATGGCATAAGAGGAGACACATTACATTGGACTATGTCGCTACTTTCCAACAGGCAGCAAGCAGTTGTTGTCAAGGGCTCCCGGTCATCTTGGATGCCTGTTACCTCTGGGGTACCTCAAGGTTCAGTGATCGGACCAGCCCTCTTTTTGCTGTACATCAACGACATCACTGCAAATATCCAGTCCAAGATGCGCCTTTTTGCTGACGATAGTGTGATCTACAGAGAAATTCACACTAAGAATGACACCTCCATCCTTCAGAAAGACCTTCAAACCTTGTCTGACTGGTCAGCGAAATGGTTCATGGCTTTCAATGTCAAGAAGTGCGCCTCCCTTACCATCACGAGGAAAAGAACACCAATACAGCATGACTACCAGATTTCCGACGAGATAATACCCAGGATAGACAAGTACAAGTATCTCGGGGTAACTGTAACCAAGGACCTTCGATGGAATACACACTGCCAACTCCTACTGAACAAGGCCAACAAAACCCTTGGGTTGCTGCGGAGAACCCTGTCACCATGCACCAAGGATGTGAAGTCAAGAGCATACACAGTCCTGGTTCGACCGCAGCTAGAGTATGGCGCTGAAGCCTGGAACCCCCACACTTCTGGTGCTGCCGAAGGTCTGGAAAGGGTACAGAAAACAGCTGCTCGTTTTGTCTTCCGCGACTACCGAAGATCCACGTCAGCTACAGGGCTTGTTTCCCAGCTGGGATGGGATAAACTGCACACACGTCGTCTTCTAGCACAAAGCACCATGCTCTTTAAAATACACCACCAGCTAGTCAACATTTGTCTTCCTCACCTCATAACCAAAGCTACATACATCAGCAGAAGAGACCACACACTCAAGCTCTCTGTTCCTGAGGCAACAATCGACTCCTACAAGTACTCATTTTACCCCCGCACCATTCGCATCTGGAATCAACTACCATTCACTGCAGTTACTGCCCCAACAGTTGCTGCTTTCCAGATGACCGCCCTCCCTGTCATCAGAGGGTTGGAACCTCCTGTAGGTTCCAGAATGCTGTAAACCATATAGCAGCATGATTATTTTTACTTGCACGTCACTATTTTATTGTATAAAGCAATTGTACACCCTTTTGTTGTCTGCACCTTCACCTGCTGTCACAACACATCCCATCCCAGTATAGCTTGGAAAAGCTGCTTCAGGGATTACCTCATCAAGTAAACATCATAAATATCATAATCATCACCATTATCATCAGCAGCATCATCACCAACATCAAAGATTTTATAATCATCAACACCATGGTCACCATCATGATCACCTATACCATCAGCATCAGCAACATCGTTTCCTTTATCTTAGGAACGATCATTGGGAACGATCCATGGTGATTTTTTGCCTTTTCATAATTATATGAACGCCTCACTTTGGTAATTGAAAATAAAAACAAGTCAAACAATAATTGGACTACCACAAATTCTACTTTTTAATAGCAAGCAATACATTCACCAAAGCAATGTCATAAACTTAAATCTACCTGGTACTCTTAAATTTTAGAATGAATTATTGTATTCATGATGACAGTTTCTAATTTTTTAAATGATGAGATTTTGTCTTCACATTTATTTCAAGAAAAATGATGCATCATGCATTCATGTAACTTGGTGAAATAAATCAAAATTTGATGAGGATAAGTTGTTTCTAGTCGTGTGAAAAATTGTATCTGTTCAGTCAATACTTATGAGTAACATTCCATTCATTTCTATATTTCTACACATTAAATGCAACACTTGGAAATAAGATTCACAGCAAAGCAATTATAATTGCTCATTAATCCTTCAATAGTCATTCAATTCGGATGACTTTCAAAAGCGATTTTATGTTTTATGTCAATTGGCAATACAGAAACCAAGAACAATTAATAAGTAATATCAAGATGAATCTTTCATAGTTGAACCTTTAACGCATTTATATTCATGCCTTGATCTTTCCCTTCCACTTTCCTTATGTTTCCCCTATTTTATTATATCAGTTTGTTGATTGTGCATATATATATATATATATATATATATTGTAATTAAACTCTATATGCAATGTTGTTAAAATGATACAAAGTAATAAAGTGCCTCGTATGAGGAAAAGAGAAAAAAAAAATTGCTCATTAAAAGTAATCTATAAGTCGAAAACTTCAAACATTTAAGCAAGAACTGAAGCCCATTTCACTTTCAATTGGATGAGACACTCTCACATGGATAAATTGAATGTCCATTAAAGCACTATTACATATGTTGAAATTAAACAAACTACATAATTCTGTTACTATACCGAAGGGTAAAACTTTTTTTCTTTTTTTTTTCACTCTTTCAATATGGATAAAATCATGGTTCAATGTCTATATAAACACTTACAAAGAACAATTCATACAATGGTCACAAATTGGTATTAATTACAAGCAAAGACCTTGCTTCATGTCATAATCATAAATCCTATAGTATTATCTAGAATGATATAGATATAAGATCCTGATATTTTAAATTGTTTATTCAAGAATTTGAAGTAAATAATTCTGCCAAATCTGTCACAGCATACTTCTACACATCAAACAAAAACAATTGATAGTTTAGTTTAGTAATAGTTAATAAAGAGCATAGTCCTATTCTACTAAGATAATCTTTTAAGATCAAAATCACATGCACATACTCAACATCTCAGCTGAGAAAAATCATAAAACTACCATAATTTTTTTCTTTTTTTCTTAACATCTTCTTAATTTTACCTTTTCACAACATCTTGATATTTTCTTTGACATGTTTTAAATTTTGTTCAAATCATCAGTGGATAAGACAGTCTTTACCAATGTTACTTTAACATATGTTTTTAACACTTATGGGTGATGTTGTACAAGTTTAGATAATAATAAGGAGGAAAATGAGAACAGACAGATATGACGTTAATTCCGAACTATAACATCCGATGGATGCATCCCAAAACTACATAGAAATCAATGGTAAGACTAGAATAAAGTATTATATTCCTGCTTACATATTTCATGTGACTCTCGTTATCAAAGAGTGCTCAAGTAATCATATTCATTATCCACATACGCAAATTATCACTCCTTTATCTGTCACAACAATTCCATAAACATTGTTGAATGGGAGCAGGACAGAGTGACAGAGAATGAAAAAGGAAAAAAAGAGAAGGGAAGCAAAATAGAAGAAAGAGTAAGATAATATTTGTTGAAGGTTTGTGTCGTCTCTTTTAAGCAGAGAGACCAGAGCACAGGAGGGCCACACCCCTCTCGTAGAAAATGAGTTCACTTTTAGAATCTCCGCCCATGGTCATGTCAAGGGTGAAGAGAAGATCAGCCCGGGTCTGGTTCAAGTAGACAGGCAGCTTCACCTGAGAACGACAAGAACAAAACATTGAAGAAAAATTATATAGAAAAGAGGTTAACAAACATTTTAGGAGACATAGTTGACATACACATATGGTAGCTAATCACATACATTTGAAAACTACACCTCGTGTACTAATACCTCAGTCATTAAACAAGACCGACAAGAGATTTACAAGAGATTGATCTAAAGACTTCACTACCAATGGCCACTAACTGGTCGGTTGGAGTCTGTGTGATCGAGGTATAACCATGACAGTGCCATATCACACTGGCTACATATTCAACAGGATGTAGAGGAAAACAAAATAAAATGTACTTCTCTTTAAATCTAAAAAAAATGTATTAGAAAATCTGACAAATTTCAAAGGAAACGAACCTTGATAGCATGTTGCTTTAAGAGTAATTAAAACAATTTTTTTTTAAACAGATTAGTGTAAGTCAGATAAGCTAAAGTCAGATCAGATAAATATAGGTGATGTCATCTACACACCACTTTGCCAAATTTGTTATACATTATATGTGTGTTTATTCATTGGAAAATTACAATAAAATGTTCCTTCTCTAAAGTCTATGAAACCCAGTTGTTGTTTTTATCTTGGAACATGCAAGGATGTATATACAACTATCTCACAATGCATCTTAAGCATTGAAATAATACACTGAAGAAATAGTTGTAAAAAATTCCTGAAGCTTTTGAGAATGAGGGGAGAGTAAACTTACCATGCCCTGGAGGTTGGGGCTTTTCCCACTCTCGACATGTATCCATCGTAGGCTAGTCTGGGGTAGGTCCGAGGAGATGGTGGAGGTCAAGTGAATCTTGTTCTCCTTGCATACAGCGCCTTGAAGTTTCAGTCCTAGCATTATAAACATTTTAAAAAACATTTGAATGGTCAGATATTATTACACTAGCAGGGAAAAAAATATTGAAATTTTTTTTGGGGGGGCTACTTTTCAAGCTTGCTTGCATGACATAACACTCTTTAATATATTTTTTGCATTGAACTCTATGCAAATTTTTGGCATTTCAGGGGCCAATTCTCCCTGAGGCCCCATGAATTTTTCCCTGCTAGATGCCACATTTCAATCATTATCAAATAATTGGTGAGTTGGATATGCTGATAGAACCGATTTGTATCAATAATTGACTTGAACATCAAGACTTTATGCGACAAAGAGATAATCTTTGATGGTGGGCTATCACTACTCAACTGGTACACATTCTCAATCACATCAACATTATCTAAACAGATTAATAAATCTTTCATCCAGTAGCATAAAACTTCTTTTTGATTCTTGTAGCAAGAAGAATTGGATAATGCCTATAAACATATGTGTATTTCTAGACAATCTAGTACTATAAATGTGTGCCAAAACAAACATGAAATAAGCCAGGTCATAATTACGATTGGGCATGAGCAGACGAAGTACATTAGTATAAAGTACAAATGAGCTCTGTATGTGCTGCCAGTGTGTATCATACTTGCACATTATAGTACACAATGATTATCAAAACAGATGCTCTCATACATGCACAAATCAAGGTCATCTGAACCATCTACTGATTATAACCCGCTTATGTGCAGTAATTTACCTGAAACAGCAAAGCTGCAGTCATCAAGTTTCAACTGAGATCCTTGATCTGAGGCAGTCACCTGTGTAAAGACAGAAATTAAGCAATTTCTGATTACAAGAAACTACATGTAACTTGTCAAAATACTACAGATTGTACAGTTGTTAATCTAATACTTTGACAATCAGAATAAGAAAAGAAGAAATGAAAGAGGGAGAAGGATGGCCGGAGAAAGAGATTGCATTGAGGAAACCAACTATAATGGGAAGTGGCAAAAAGGGAGAGAGAGATGGGGACCCAAGAAAGGAGCATAGAAGCTTAACTGAGATGAGAATATACAGACATTTATAAAGAAATGCAACTGATAGAGAAAAATGTAGAGAGAGAGAGAGAGAGAGAGAGAGAGAGAGCACACTACTTTTCATGACTTTACCTCAAGGTAGAGTTCCTCTAGTGGCCAGCTGTTGGCTTGAGCCACATACTGTCTGGTGGCTGTGATGTAGGCTTCTGTGGTGAACAGTCCTCCTAACCATACACTTTGGTTCTGAACAGAAACAAAAATTTTATATGACCAATTTTATTTCAAAACATGGATAAAAAACAAAGTGAACTATCAAAGCTTTGTTACAACACTCTGCTTATATTTGAAACATTCAGATGTATGATTCTAAAATAAAGACCACATATGCAAGTAAACAGAAGATGTATTCATATTTTATTAGTCTGTATAGATTCAAATTATGAGAAATTAATTGCAATAAAAACCCATTTGGTTTACCGTATAACATGTTTGTATATTTATACAAATTATAGAAATTATACAACTCACTCCTAGATCCCAATTGAATGATTGGTCAAACACGGTCAAGTGTGATTCATTTACAGAGACGTTCTTGTCAGTGATAATGACACACAACAATTTGAAATGAACTATTTTTACATCAAATAACAAGGATCTAGGAGTTTTGTTGTATAAAACATATGATGTATGCTTTTTTTTCCTTTGTTCATTACCTGATCTACCCACTCTTGTTGAGTCTGTTTATGCAGCTATGATACGAAACCTAATGGCTTCTTACAATAGATGCATACAACCTTCACTAGATTTCGGATAGATGGTATAATGAACTCATCCGCTTACATAATTTGTATAATATCACATTATTTGTAATATGAAGAATTTAGAAGGTAGCCAGAAACTCTTTTTCAAGTATTTTGATGCAACATTCTATTACAGATGCATTAAATATGAAATACAGATTAATTTCTATACAGTTTTTTAAACAAGATATGCTTACTGATATGCTTACCTTGAGTTCTTTGGAACCACCAGATGTGGTTGCCAGGGAGATCTTCTGGAGCTGGTTGATGCGGTCACTGAAGTCAGACACCCACTGGATAACAGTCAGTCCCGCTGGTACAGTGTAGCGGTTCCAGCGACGGGGCAACATGCCCTTGGCCAGGTTCTCGATCAGGGCTCGGTCATTGTTGGTCTGCTTCTTCTTGCCCTGGCACACATCCAAGACATCCTTGAGGTCACTGCGGACATCCATCAGTAGCTGGTTGCCATGGTTCACCTGGAAACACGGGACAAGGAGAAATTAAATAATGAAGTACAAAAACAGACTGTTTATATTCTTCAACATATTTTTGCAGCAAAAATAATAAGAAAGATAAGAGTACAGCATAACTTAATGATCCCCATTCATTGAATGTTTTTTCCACAGTCTCACAATTAATAAATTATCAATAAAGACATGAAACTGTTCCTTTTTTAATATTAGATATAGGTACAGGCGCGTACGCAGGATTTTTTCAAGGGGGGGGTTTTAACATTTATAAATCGGTCCGAAAATTTCGCAACGACTCAGCCAGCCGCTGAATAAGCGGGGGGGGGGGGGGGGGGGGGGGGGTAAGAGGACACATTTTTTTTTTTTTTTGGTCCCAAAAAAATCGCAACGACTCAGCCGACCGCTGAATAAGCGGGGGGGGGGGGGGTGGTAAGAGGACACTTTTTTTTTTTTTTTTTGGTCTCGAAATTTGGAAATTTGACATTTTGCTCCGTTGGGGGGGGGGGTAAGGTCACCTTTTTTAGGTCGGCCATGGGAATAATTTTTTTTTTTTTTTTTTTTTTTTAATAAAAAAAAACAAAACAAAAGGGGGGGGTTTTAGGTTTTTTTTAGGGGGGTTTACACACAAAAAATTTCCAAAGGGGGGGGTTTAACCCCCCAAACCCCCCCCCTGCGTACGCGCCTGTATAGGTATACTTAAAAATAATATACCAGGGTGACATATTTGTTGATAATTGCTTACTCTATGTATTTTCAATATATGGGAGCAAAATTAATAAAGTGAAAAAAGCAAAACAAAATAGACAATTGAAAATTTCTTTCTGGAAAATCCTATTTCTTTCTAAAAGTTAAATGAACATAGCTTTGACTAAAATTAAATATGATAAAAGTGTTTGATTACCTCTCTCTCAAAGAATCTGAATAATGGATCCTTGATCTTGTCAGCTGTACGTTTCAACAAGGTCAGTTTCTGCATGGGAAGAATCCAAGTTGTAAAACAGGAGAAGAAATAGTTAATGTAGCTCAAAATGAATGAATCAGAAACAATAACTTCATGAAAAGCTTCAAGTTATCAATAGTGTTGAAATCCAAGTCTTTAAAATTTAGTTTACTTTTAATCTCAGAAGAATGGCACACAGCAGGTACCTATATCCTCAGAAATACAAGTAAATCTCAGAAAAGTAAAATAAGATAAGATGGCAAAAATGTCCATGTGATATCAAAAGTAGAAAGAGACAGAAAAGGCTTGTCCCTAGAATCAGTCTCGACTGCATTCATACAACCTACCTGACGATAGTCAACCCGTTCGAAATGTTGAGCCACTTCTACTACCTATCCTCTCCACCCTGCGCTATAGTTCTCCTTAGAACTATAAGCTCAAGAAAGATCACCAACAGTCTTTTTCAAGACTTCCCCATCCTCCCCTTCTCTCTCACATGGTGCAACCGCAAGCCTACTGTAAAACTACATGTATGTTTAACACTATGAGTCAATTTTGCCACCCTCGATGCAACACTAACCTTCGGTATGAGTGAGAGCCAGTTGGCAGCAGAGGCATGCAGTGTACGCATCCATGCAGGGCGACCATCCGAGGAATGGCGAGCTATCTCTTGCTTCTCTTCTTCACTGGTGGCACTTTGCATGAAGTCTTCTTCGTCCTCTAGGGTCTGCATCCTGAGCAGCTTTCCAATCAAGCTGATTCCTATCAATATCAAAACAGTACATGTAGCATTCAAATAGAGCTGCTTTCAGAGAGGATGATTTGTTATCTTGCTAGAAATATAATTTGCTGGCCTTAATTTGCCAAAGTATCCCCTTCAAAATAAGCACTGATCTTCAGAGGGCCCTGAAATTCATAGCAGTATCATCAGCATTACAAAGTCTCCATTTAATACACCTAGATCGCGTATTATAAAGAGTTATGATTGATCTTAAGTGTGGTCAATACACGATGAGCCATAGACTTACGCTCAATATTAACCTTACGATCAATCACAGGGTTTTATAAATACATGTTTCTAGCATGAAGGGATAAATGTGTGCAAAACACCATGTCCAAGTATGTAAGTACTGAGCAGGGCTTGAACCACGGGCCTATGTTGTAAAAGGGTCAAGAGCGTTCATTAATAATTCACAGAGCTCCTACTAACCTTGGGTGGTGAGCAGAAGCTTCTCTGCATTGTTGGGAAGTCCTAGCCATGATGGTGTCTGGTTGTCAGGGAGGGCCTCCACCCACTGTACAAACTGCTCACGTCTGAATAGAGTAAGGCAAAGTGAGACACAGGAATGAATGCCACAATTTACTTAACAGTAAAATGCTGGGAAAACACAGTCAGACATCTTAAATAATTTTACATGAAAATAATATAAGTTTTTAGTTTATTGGAGTCACAAAACACAATAGCCATCATAATACACTGATTAACAATGACAGGGGAACAGGAAACAAGGAGAGTGGTATGAATTTGATTAACAGAGAGAATAAGAACATTGATAGTGAAACATTGACAAAGATAAATAATCAACCACTGAGGAAAGCCCACAGCTTTCATTTCTGATTTTGTCATTCATATACTGTAAAGAGCTTATAAATTTATTCTCCAAAATAAAAAAAAAGCAATTTATAAATCAGAAAGTTGAAAAGAGCAATGCAAGAAAGTTGCAATCAATTGCAAATCCCCCAAATCAATCGTAAGTCTTGCGATTAATTGCAAATTTGTAATTGATCGCAACTCAACTTTTTTGCAACGCCCATTAGTAAGAGAGAGAGAGGGCGAGAATAAAAGCTAGATCTAGTTAACTTAATTTAATTGATCAAACTTTAATCCTTACAAAATCCCAGGAAATTTAGGGGACGAGTGGGTCGTTGCAAGAAAGTTGAGTTGCAATTGATTGCAAATATCAGTTGCAAAAATTTGCAATGAATCGCAACTTTCTTGCAACGCCCCATTATGAAGGAGAAAACTGGAGTAGCAGGAGAAAAAGACAAATACTGGACCTACCTAATTCCTTCTGGCATGCAGATAGTCTTTCCTTCAACGTCTGGGATGAGGGGGAAGTCAGAGTCAAAGCTCTTTGCATTGAAGAGCTTCTCTACAAAGGCCGACAGTAGGCGCTGAAAAATGAAAGATACACAACTTGTCATTCTCTGAAAACACTTAATCTTGATAGTACTCTAAACAGGCCACTACAATATTAGCACCATACGACTTTAATATTGGATAGGATTTGACCAAAGCTCTATCATCTACCAAATGCTGAATTAATCATCACAAATCATTGGGATAATTATTAAAGTGCATAGTGGAAATAACGGTACAAATATTGTCTTCTAGTACATGTATATGTACATCTATAGCACATTTAAGACATTCATACAGAGATCCAGCTTAAGACCTCATTGCACTGACACAATGGGTAATTACCTGGTCAAAGTCGTTGTCGATGCGTCCTCCATAGATGCACTGGGAGAGGAGGGTCTTCATGGCATCCCATGGAACCTTGTTGGGTGGCAGGTTGGAGCGGCCCTGCAAAAGAAAAGAACGAAAATGTTAATATTAGGGTTTATTTTCACCATATTGTGTCTGAGAGTTGATTACTACATATATATATGTCCCTGCAAAGAGGAATGACATTAGAAAATCGTCATGCTGTTTGTCATAAGCCAGATAGTTGTAACTTCTTATCATTTTACATAGAGTCAACACCCCTGCAGACTCAACATATCAATGTCTTTTCTTCTTCTTTTTTTTTAGATCTCAGATTAAAATACATTATCTAGTAATTCTTTAATAAAAACATGTTTAGTGTATTGTCATTACAAACAATCAATATTTTTTATTGAAGTTACCACATACTGTTAGCGAGGTATGATGCAACTCTTATCTTCAACGTAAAGCCAATCCTGTATGAGTACATATAGTTACCTTGGCAACAGTGTCAATCCAGATGTCCAGAGTGTCACAAGCACAGCGCAGATCAGACTCGGTGAACTCGTACTTCTTGGCCCATCCTAGGGGGGTGTAGACCAGACGTTCCTGGATTATAGCATGAAGCCAAGCCAGGAGGAAGTACAGACGTGCTCTCTCACTTGGAGCCTGGAGGGAGGACAGGAAGAAAAAAATCATGTTCGACAATGGATTTCAACTCAATGGTGGCATGATGACTCCAAAAATGACATTCAGAACCAAATTTGCATTATCTTTACTCTTGACCTATAATTACACCAAGACATGGTAAAGAGTTTTGATTGTCAAAAGGACAAAATAGAAAAGGTCTTAGAATTTTATAATTGTAAACTTGAAGGATTTGCATCACACATCTTTTTAAACTCCATCGAGTTCGGAATTCTCTTTCACTGAAAAGAAAATCATAAAATGTTTTAAATTGACCCTATATGAACTGCTTCAGAAGCTTCTTTTCACTACAGGGTTGCAGGGGTAGACAATGTGAAAGTCACCTTGTTCATGCGAGAGACAGGTACAGTGCTGAAGGTCCGCAGAAGGTTAGCCTTCACACCTGGTGGAGGCTCAAAGACAAAGATACGTCCGGCACGCAGGAGGTTGACTGGCACCTGTAGGATGAACAAATCAGGATTTAGACTTAAATGCATCTTACGTCACATTGAATCCAGATTTCCATCGCATCATTTCCATTATTGTATGAATAAGCAATCATAACAAACATTTTCTTTTATGATCATGAATTATACTAACATAATCTTAAGTACAGTCTTCAAAAGTACCTTAGATAGGCTACTAAGTTGTTTCATTTTGGCCACTAAATGGCACTACATAAATGTCACGTCCAGATTGAGATAGGATCAGTTTAGATCCATTTATTCAATTTGTACATACCGTTCATAGACGTCCCATTTAAACTGAAATATCATTACAGTCAGGAACTACAACTGCTCAATTCATCTGCAGAAATCATTGGGATATTCTTTAGAATGTTTTGTGGAAAAACACTGCCTTCTGATACATGTTGCATATATTAACTACATGTACACCAGGCAGTGAAAGATCATACAGAAATCACAGAAATTAAAGAATTCTTACAATTCAACAATTGTATGATTTAAGTTAAAGAGGACTTGTGATCAACATGTGAATTATTATGGTTGGATATGAGAAAGCAGTTTGATGGTACCTTGGGGTTGATCTCCATGGTGAGGAAGAGACGGAAGCTGGGATGCGGTGAGAGACTGTGCAGCTTCTTCTCCAGTTGGACCAGCCATTGAGGAGCAAGATGTACATTCTTCAGCATCACCCATCTACAAATTGGAATAAAAAGTTATCCGTTATCTTAGGGGCAGTTCTTATGTTTGAATTTTTCTCGTTGGTTCTGGGCCATGACAGCATCTTTGTTGAATGGTTGTTTTTAATTTATATAAAATATCAACTTTGACAGACGAGGCCTCCATTTCATGGGCACATGTTCTTAATTTCATAATAAAATTTCAATCTATAATAACAATATCTTGATTGCAATATCCCAATTTATTTCCACAAACAAAACAAATTTTACTTTAAATGCAACACTACTGCTTGAAAATAAAAAGACTTTGGACAATGTCTCTTCTGAGAGGACACAAAGAAATGGAGAATGTGTCTGGAACATGACTGGTAGAACCTCAATAATTTTATCAGGTTGCAATTATCAACTCTTGTTTATAATAGATAAATATAAACACGCTGTACATCTCATTCAGAAATGTTGGACTTACTTTCCAGTCTTGGTTGAAGAGTTGATGACCTTCTCAGCCTGACTGAATCCCTCAGCAGATCCTATCAATTGAAGAACACAAAATTAATACCATTTAGGTTGCCAACGAAAAAGTTAATCATTTAAATACAAAATATATCCTATCAGTTGCCTAATCTGTATCCTTTGAATTTCAAATACATGTCATACCTCTAAAGGGTTCAAATATTTCTTTGAGGGATTAAAGGTAAAGCTCAGTTCTGGTCATGCGATTGCATTGTGAAAGAATCGATCAAAAAAGGTTGATCATCTAGCATATTAGTATTGGTGTGTACTTCAAGGTTCTGGAATCATCAAAATGATAAGAAATTTGGCCCAGTCTTGGTAAAGTTACAAGCAATGTACACAGAAAGATGTATATGGGACTACACTACACGTGCGCGATATCTATCCAGTACAAATAGATATAATAATTTACCAAATATATAAATTAGTAGGCGGTTTCCCGGCAAAATTTGAATCATCACGTATTAGTCAAATCATATTCTTTCACATGATTGGTAATACGAGCTTCCATTTCATTTTTTTGAGAGGGCATTTCCAAAACTGGTCTATACCTTTAGATACAAAATATATCCTATCAGTTGCCTAATCAGTATCCTTTAAATTTCAAATACATGTCATACCTCGGGAGTGATCAAATATTTCATTGAGGGATTAAATCAAGACAGAAATAGAGGATCATAAAGTTATCTTCCCCATGAAGGTAGAAGTATAAAACACAAGAGAGGAAAGGATGAATCCTCACCAATGGCAATGGAAGAAATGGTCTTGTTGAGCTCAGCAGCCATGTCATCCACACGCCAGCTAGCATCGTATCCAGGCACTGAGCACATGAGCACTGGGGTGTTGCTCTTCAGCTGTACAAATAACAATAATGACATAGGGTTAGCACTTGACCGAGGCTGATATCTTGATTGTATGACAAATACCCAACATTTGCCCCACGCTCAAATTCAAAGGGTCCAATTTTTTTAAAGTTCAACTCGGACCTTTCACTGCATCTAGCTTCGTCTTCTCCAAATCTTCTACAAATCAAAGAGACATCAGACCAGTCGTAAGACTGATATCTAAAGTTGAATTGGCCTTTCCTTTTACAAAATTTCTTACAAGTATACAATGTACACAAAATTTGATTTTTAGCATACCGGTATAGAGTGGTGAAGTGTGACGTCATCAAAAATTTATTTTTAGAATTTTTCAATTTCTTCTTTATTTTCCGAAAGAGCATAAAAAATAATGTCGAAAACCAATTGAATATATTAAGTATTGGCTGAGATACATGTATGACCATGTGAGTCCTAAGGGAACTCAGTGTTAAAGTGCTCTGCTACGTAACATTAGGAACCAGAGCACTATAACACCGAGTTCCCATAGGACATATATTTATTCAGATGGTCATATCTCAGCCAATACTTAATATATTCAATTGGTTTCCGACATTCGGACATTATTTAGATGCTCTTTTGGAAAATGGAGAAAAAATGGAGAAATTCTAAAAATAGATTTTTATGATGTCGTAGCTTCGGTACTCTATTCACAACATTAATTCAGAACCTGAATCAGGTAAATTTATTTGTCCAATGATCACATGTTGTGCTGTTATCAATTCTTTAAAAATCAAATTGCAGTTTGATTTATTAAAGAGGCAGAATTTAACAGCTCTTACCTCAGATTCTACCACATTGGCCAGGTCCATCTCCACCTCAGCTGCATGAAGGAAATGTTCTCCAAACACAGCGTTAACAAAGTGTTGCATGGAGGCGAGAAGCCTGTCAGGTCGGAAGGCTTGCAGTAGCAGCAAGTGATGAAGAGATTTACCAATGCCAGCTAGTAATAGGATAAGAGTATAGAAGGACAGTGTGTTTTAATATGAAGCTACAAAAATAACTACATACCAATTAAGATGAATGCATATTCAATGAAATGTATTAATTCAGAATAATAAAGTTAGCATTCTCCTTGTGAAAACTAAGAAGACTGAATTTTGACTACCCAGTAATGCTTTATTCCTCTACTTGTATCAATGCCAAAGGAATGAAAGAAAATAAATTAGGAATAGTTATACTAAAACACAAAAGTAAAAAGTAGATTAATCCATAGTCCAGTAAATCAAAATATTCTTCTATTTTCTGAAAGCAACCATTTGAAGTATTCAAATCACAGAAAGAAGGCCTGATGCAAGACTATTCCATGTTTGCATTTATCATATTACTGGTCCCACATGCTGCGATTAAAAGAGGGTTTCAGGTTTATAACACACTGTCAACCAATACTTACTGAATGGAGTTGCCTCCTTCCAGCACTGAGGGACTGAATGTTCTGGATTCTGGGAGTTCAACCACTTGGTGAAATCCTGCAAGCAATGCAAAAAACAAAAAAAATTTGCATCAAATACACTACTCCATACATATTGACCTACATATTTTTGTTGATGCCACCTCGCGTGTAATAGACCACTCTTCTCCCCCACCCTCTAACAAAAATACAAATAAAGGAGGTATCATTCTTTCCACAATCATCATATTATATGGAATATTTTGGACTGTCTTGTCTTATCAAACAAGATCTATTTCAATAAACATGATTTTCAACAAAGTGAGCAAGAAGATTGTGGCAATGTTATATTTTAAATGGATTATAAGTCCATTTAAAAAAATTCTTAAGTATTCTTGATTTTGGTCTACACATGCTAGCAAAATGGGCAATACATCAACGTTTCATATTTAATTAGCAATTATATACTATGTTATCCTCCTACAGACCCCTAATGCTTTACTACCACTATCATTTCTACCTCTAGTCTACCATTATTTCCTTCATGATACCGCTAGAATTGCAATCATCTACATCTGCAGGTATAGATCTGTATCTAGCATAGGATGAAGTCATCCATTTGAAGGCCAAGTACCAAATAATCCACTAAAACCTGCAGTTGGCCTTGGGCATGCATGGCTCTCTGCGGCAATGTACGTACATTGTAAATTTATCCCTCTTATTCATCAATTTCTAGATACATTACTGCAGGTATAGCATATCTACTTGCTACAACTAAGAGTTCCACCACCTGCAATACTACTCCCAACACCACTACCACCATCCTCCTCATCATTATAAGTTGCACTTTCATCGAATATAAATGTATCATTATTATACCAAACAGAATTTACAAGTGAATTCTCGCTACCCTAAATAGGTACGAAAATCTCGAAATTCGCGAGACGAGGTAATTTTCACTCTCTCGGGTCGTCACTACAACTTCCGGTATAGAGTCCCATCCCGCTGGCGCTAGCGCCTGTGTTCGCTGTGCAGAGTTTTCACGCACGCTAAAATCGATGCCAATCAGTGTAATTTGTACAGATTATAATATGCAATGGAAAGCTTCGGGCAGAATTAGTGACTTTAGCACAAAAGGCCGTTAAACTCTACCGTGAAAGAGAGGGTTGTGATCACGAACGCCTGCACAGGAAGCTGTAATGTCGAAAAGCTATCCCATAATGCAATGCGCGTTTTCAGGATTTTCCCCGGATCTCGGCAGAATCGCTATTTGGGGTAGCGAGAATTGCCACTACATGTGATCTCCACTAATCGTGAGATACCAGAGATACCCATTATGCCGTAATAATAACACTATAATTCACGATTTTGTGATGCCTTTGATTGTTCATCTTAATCTTCATTCACAATCATTACCAGGACTCAAGCATCATATGTTTCAATAAACCAAGAGTGATAAAACAAAAAAAAAATATTATTATTTTTTCTAAATAAGCTGGCTTTAGAACATAATCTACTTCTAAGCTTCTCAGATGCGAATAGAAATATAAGAAATGAGATAAAGCACTCTGCAGAAATTCTATGCTAACTAGAGGAAGTTGCGTGTCGTGTAAACTGACCGAGAAACTACATTCACCAAACGTGGAACCAGGCTGTGAGAGTTCATGATAAATAACAAATCAAAATAAATGGAATAAATATAATACAATCAAATTTAAAAAAAGAAATAAACATCAAATAGGAGAATGACACAAAGAAGAATACATGAATTTTTAGTTAGATATATATTGATGTTAAAGTTTTTCAATGTAAAAGCAATAGAAAGTGCATATCATATGCAGAGACAATTGGAATATTTGTGTAAGATACATGTAGGTGCAATACAATACTAGTAATACAAAGAATTAGTAATTAGATTACTAATATATATATATTCTACTTTGTATAATGTTTGTCACTAATAATATAGTTTTTGCTTTTTCTAGTGATTTTCACTTATATTTCAAAGCTTATCCTCCATAGTTATATATTTAAAGGTGTTAAGTGGAAAAATTTAGAGATTGAGAGGAACACTATCAAAATAAGGGCTACCTCATAATTATACACAAAATCTGATTACAGGATACCCAAGAAAATAAATAAAACAAAGCTGATTTCACAATATGATAGATGCTATATAGAGAGAGAGAGAGATATTGCATGTTTGGTTAAATAATCATTTTTATAAAGCGCTGACTTTGATTATTAATCAAGAAATATAGTTAATCCTGTATGGAATTTTCAAATCCCCATTTCTTGATTTATGATGATTTACATGTAGCACAGAATAAATATTTTGTCCACACATTCCCCTTGTTTTTCTCACAGATGTAAATAAATGTATTAAATAGTTGCATATATAGGTTATAAAAATTCAAGAAAACAAATACTACAGGACACCAACTAATCAAGTTCATCAACATCAAACTTACACTTCTAGAGGACACAAACTCTGGCAGGCCCTCAAATGCAGGTAGCTTGGCAAGTCTCATCATGGAGTCCGACTGGTCGTTGGTCAGACCCTCGATCTTAGGGACAGGTGTGGAGCGAAGGGTCTGGTCTGCCCCTCGTAGGAAGTGCTCAAACTCAGAGTTGTAATCCCTCTCACTGTAAGAAGAGAGTTATAATAGGGCATGAGTCATTCAACCTGTTAATATAGATCGTAGGGATTTCAAAATTGTGAATTGTTTACATGTCTACCTGACTATACATGTACATGAATCGCCAAAAGAATGTGTATACCTTATTCCTACCATTACATAAAGTAAAGAGTACACAAATTCAAACTCTTCACTGTTTTTTACATCCACCTGTTGAGAGCCAAAAGGGCATTTACTCATACACTTCAACACAGAATCAATGCCCTTCTGGCTCTCAACTAACAATGTGCTACTTACTGGTAAAAGAAAATGGGGGGAGTTTATGCCCATTCATCTAAACATAACAGTTTATATTCTTAAACAGTTTGGTATATCAACATGTATTTTTGAATTTTAATATAGAAAAATTAAAAAGGAATGCTTCTATCATTTGATCTAAGCTGGCATGTGTACAAGCAGTAGAAGTTTGTTCTGTCAATTATATTGATGCCTTGGTATGATTGATGGCTTACCTCTGCATTCCTCTGATGTGGATTCGGCACAGTACCACAGCAAACACAAGGTGGTCCTGATGAAGCATACCTCGAGCTACACGGTTGTACGAGATCTGTTGACATCAACATTAGAAAAGTACTTATTGCTGTATACAGGCTGATAATAATTCCACTTCATTTTGCTTGTGTGACATTCTTTTCAATATTTAGTGCACATTCCAAAAGGAAAAATGCCAAGAAAACATAAAATGTACAGAGTCATTCTTTAAGGTTACTTTATTGAATTACATTTGCGTACAACTACTCCATTCTGGATATTTCTTTATACTCAAGAAGGCCGAAGAAGTGAAAGGGGTACACTGAATGTGTGGATTAAAATAATTGAAAGTAAGCATGATAAAGCTTTTCATTTACTTGGCCTAATTTGTTCTGATTTCACTGAAATTGCACTACTCTAGATAAACTACAGTCACAAACAAGTGATCAAATTACTAGCAGGAGACCAACCAATCCCTACCTGGAAGAGATCCTTGATGATGATGGAGAGCCTGGCGGAGTATTCCGTCACTCCCTGGAGACGAGGGTTCTCACACAGAACAGAGTGGAAGATGTCCAGGAAGAACTTCAGAGAGTACTGGTACAAGAAGTGCACCTGAAAATAGGATCAAATACAAAGCCAAAAGATAGTATCAATTTAATTTCAAAGATGTCTCTCTACAGAACGGTAAAACATAAATGTTTGGATGTTACTCATGCAACCTACAGAAATACCTGTAAAATATATGAGCCTTGAAAGTTCTATACTACATTATAAACCCTGAAACAAAGTTGCTAACATCATAATTATGAAATGTGGCAATATGGTAGGAAGGTCAGATAATGTTTTTAACTTTCTGCTCTCAATTCCCATTGAAAATGCTTGAAGTATCAGAATCCACTCTGTGCAGGTCTTAGTATGCACCGACTCCTTGGGCAAGTTTTCATCCTTGGGCAAGACCATCAACTACATGCAATTTTGCCAGTGATTCATGCCATCTACCTCTTATATCACAAAGACTTGCCAAGTTGAGTTGCTACTTCTATCTCACCCAACGCGTGGTCTGTACCTTCCACCTTTCAACTGAATAGCTTTAAACCCTTGAGACATGTTTTCAAGAAGAATACGATCAAAATTTCTTACCAGGTTGAGTGCTTCCAGAGAGAAGTAGATACTACTGCATGACTGGGCTAGTGAGAGGTATTGCTGCGAAACCATCTCAACCTCAGCCATGACCTGATCTGTCTCTTCTACCTTGCGGGTCACATCTGCTGCTTCCTTCTTCAGAGTCTCCAAGGTGGTAATGATACTAAATAAATGATAACGAAATGGAGAAATCTTGATAGGCTGAAGCTCTACCATAAGTGTAACGTGGTGTTAGATTCATCCACTGAAAGATTTTGCCTTCTTTTAGTGTATGTTCTATTTTTCTCATCTGTTAAGTAAAGATATATATGTTCTGCTGGTTAAGGGGTAGAGACTACATTTATTTTAACAGAAGGATAGATTTAGAATTCAGTTACAAAAGACGCTGCCTGATAAGATTAGGGCACATAAACGTGCCTGCAGTTGTTCTGGTGTACAGAAAAAATATAATCAATATGTCATATGATGGAAAAATAAACCTATACATAAATTGATTTGGCTTGAGATGAATTTACCTGTCTGAATCCAAGATTCTTCCCTTGGCATCATTGAGGGCTTGCAGTAGAGATTTCTCAAGGTGACGCAGACGAAGATGGAACTCGCCTACAAAAATAAAAAAGACAAGTGGTATGGGTTGTGCTACCAACAGTAGCTTTAAGTGACCATAGAATTAGAATTGTAATTCATGACTCTAATAAAATCTTTAAATTAACAATTATTTGTGATATCCTAACGAAATTCAATATTCCAAGATGTCTTCAACAATATCTAAAATGATTATAAAGATATTATAAAAAAATACTAATAAAATTCATCTTACCTTGCAGCTTGAGTAGATCAGACCTCTTCTCATCTACATCGGGGCGCTCTGCTTTGAGTACCTAACAATCAAAGGGGAAAATTACATTGATTAGCTTTGCACACTAAAACTGGCAAAGTTAACTAATACTGAATTATGAACAGCATCATTTTCCACTTCATGTTGTAAACCACAGTAAAGTGAGCATTCTGACAACTTCTCATGGCAATTTTTCAACTGATGGTCAGACACAGTGAATAGTATCAATTTATTGACTGATCTTGGTATTTGTATAATAAATAACAACTTGCAAATTAGACTTACCTCATTGAGGCACTGGCTCTGGAGACTGCTGCGAGTCACAGTGAAGTTGACAAAGGTGACACGAGAACAGATGTCTGGTGGGAACTCAACCTGTAGATTATATCAAATCATAAGGAAAACATCGGTGATAATGAACATATACTCGATGTTAGTAGCAACAATGACAACAATATTAAAACAAGTCGGCAGAATATGAACTGTAAACGTTGGCACTATCATAAAGATTATTTTGTCTTTTACACAGCATTATACAATTTGTATGATATCCCTTGTATACTTTAATCCAATGAGTACATTATTGGAGCGAAAACAAGTAATGTTTTCAATGTCTTTTGAAACATGGGACAATTATTGTGACAGATGCAAAAGTTATGCTGTCCAAATCAATACCTGGAAAAATGCTTTCCGCTTTGTGCTCATTCACGAGATCAGTGTAGAAACTAAATGAGTCTTTCCCACTTTAAAAAGACAATTGGAGATAAAGTAGGTCAAAAAGGATAACATTGTTTTACCGTTGGATCCCTGGTTGAGAGGAAGATCATGAAGGATGGCGAGAGATCGATGTCCTGATCACCCAGACTGATAAGCACACGACCACCTGTACGACGCACTTCACGGTTGAGAACAGGGTTCAGGATGGGATCGTAGTTCTCCACATCCTGATGAGAGTATAAATACAATCAGAACAGTTGAACAATATTGTTATATATACAAAGAGTCAAAGGTTAAATGAAAGTGATTATCATCCAAACCCTCGACTCTATTTTGTTTTAAACTGATTAATTTGAAAAAGATTTTAGTACATTCCCAAACATTCCTTTCAATTTCATAATTTTCATAATCTTGTACCAATGGCAACTCGCAATATCATTATAATGGGAAACAAATAATCTTGCAATTTTTAAAACAAGTGATTAAACAGTAGTGTAAATGGCTCGAAAGTTTCCAAGGGTTTCAACTGACCTGCACCAGCAATGGGTTTCCAAACCTCAGAGAGCTCTCCAAGTTCTTGCGGAAGGCATCATCCAAGAAACTACAAGACAGGAGGTAGAGAGAGTCGCAATGATTATTCATTCTAAATTACATTATGTTTTTTTGACCTACTCCGAGCTTAGTTGAATAACATAAATAGTTAAAACATCATAAAATAGTATGTGAGTAAAAAACATTACAAGTCATAAATACACAATAAATAATAGGCCAGTAAATCTAAGAAGCAAGTTGTGCTTGTACATGAGGACCCTAACAAGGTATTTAAACACAATATCTAATTGGAAAACAAAATTAATAAAACTTACAAGGCATATATACGTACATTTAGAAGAAGACACACAAAAAGGGGGAAAAGAGACCGACCATTAAAAACACTGATTTTAATCTCTATTCAATCCACAGATATCTGAACCTACCTTGTCTTTGTGATTTTCTTATCTCTGTACTCATTCATGATGAACTCTGTGGCCTGTCCTGATGGGTCGATGATCAATGGGTATCTGTTGAATCGCTTCAGCATGATAGCATTTTCTGTACAAAGATCGTCTGAGGGTAGAGCACTGGCATGCCAGTGGAGGCGCTCATCAGCATTGGACAGGTACTAAAATTAAAACAGAATAGAGGATAATCACTTAAAGAGATGGTTTGATAGATTTGTAACATAAAGAATGATGTTGTACATGGACATATTGAAGCAAGAATGAACAAGATTATTTTTCATTTAAATCTGATTCGTGAAAGATGACGCTGCACTTCTCCAGTGATAATCAAAGGAATACATACAATGTATCTAAGCAGCAGATCTGTGACATTTCCTAGATAATCATTTGGTTACAGGTCCTGTTAAAGGTGACGAAAATGGTAACAGATAATAACAATCATGTCTGTTATAAAAAAAAAGGCAGAACATTTTTCATTTAATTCTCACTAAGAAAGCAAAATCATGGAGAATTGAAAAATATGTGACTGTATCAGTGGGAAAAGATTCCTACATTTAGTCTGGATCATAAGCTGGATCAAGTTTAGAAATATATGCATCTGAATATTACGTTTAGTCTTCTGCTTTTCAGCATAAAAAGTGATTCCTCTTTGAAACCAAACACAGGATGAGCAAATACAATGCTTACTTCAACCCTGGCAATGTCATGCCTGAACTTGATGCGAGCCTTCTGCAGATGGCCGGCCCAGCTGTTGAAGAGGTTCTGCCTCATCATCTGATCAAAGTAACCAGCGTACGCCATGAAGGCTGACGACAGCAGGACGTCTCCCAAGATGGTAGACATCTGCATCTTGAAGGACTCACTACCAGCCTCCCAGCGTTCTCTCTCAATGGACAAGCTGCGTAGGAGGGCTGTGCTACGGTCAACCTGGAAAACAAGCAGATATATGGTAATTCTCTAATCTATGCAGGAATGTTCCCATTCAAGACAGGTATAGTTTAAGGGGTGCACTGAATAGATTTTGTTCTTTAAATTGGCAACATCACCATTTTCTTTTATTGCTATGCATTTCTAGTTAAGGTAATGTATTGTAAAACTAAATACATGAACAGAAATTATGTCCAGTTAACAAATTGAAAATTTGTATTGAAGAAAAAGAATTTTAACACTTTTCAACAACTTTAATAAGTTTAAGAATATTTATGCTTACTTCTCCCTTAAAAATTGTGGGAGCCTTACCAAAACTACAAATGGACTTTATGATTACCTTGATCTGCACGTTCTCCAGGTCTGTCTTGATAGCCTGTGCCTGGCTGATAAGCTGCGCATACTCTTCCTTGTAGAAAGCGATGGAACGTTCAAGATGAGCGATCAGCTTGTTCACTTCCTCCTGCTTCATCTTGTTGCCGTTGGCCTCGACCTCAAGGCTAACCAGCTCATTGCGAAGAGGCTCCACTCGCCTCAACATCTCTGAGAAATTGATCTGTCATCCAATGAAATGAGAATGATGTTAAGTCAAGATGGTGCCTCGAGTCAAGTTGCATCAACTTAACACTTTTAACCTGAATATGTATTCTTCTAATTGACCACAACATATGACATCCCATTTAATTGGCTACATAAAACAGGATTTGGTGATGTCACAAAAAGCTGATTTTGGATGAAATTTTTATACAGTTATTAATAAAATAAACACAGTTCCTAAGTCAAATCAGGAGCAAAGTCATGTGAAGCTACTTTACAATAAAAAAATAATTAAATAAATTGCAAAAAGTTAATAATAACATGAATATTTTACATATGGATTGCCACAAACAGACAGGTTAAAAAATGCAAACAATTTATTTCCATTACCTGAGCAATAGCCCACTTGACCAGTGGACCACAAGCCACACTAGCCCTGTTTATTTTCTCATAAGTGTAGTCAGCGTTGCTCAGGTACTTCTGCATTTTGACTCTGATGTCATCACTGAGGAAAAAAATGACAGAAAATAAAAGTTAAAAAACATAATATAGAGGACGGCTATTGTTGAAAATACAGCAAAAGATGTCTGGCTTTACCTTAAAGTAGCAAATTTGAAATTGGCGTTTGCTCATAGAATCTAAAGGTGGAAGGCAGGAATATTCTTTTTCAAAAGGATAATGAAAAACCCTATACAGAATATTTCTGTCACATTTTTTCTTTCCTTGTTTTGTTTTGTAAATTACACAGCAGCTATCGTAAACTTTAAACATTTTTCAGCACGGGCAGGGACAGGGTTACATGCGACTTACCTGATGTCCTCAGTTGTGAAGTTGACGATGGTGCTAATGAAGTTGTCTTTGATGACCACCTGTCTGATGGTCTTCCAGTCTGCAGCTGCCTCACCCAGCAGTATGCAGATGGACTCCAGGGCCAGTCGTACCATCTGTGGGGGGTTACCCATGGATCGGATCTCCACTAGGTTCTGCTTCTTGATGCCCTTGACAGCTGGAGGGTTCAAGGAAAGGGGGAAAGGGATATAGCATCATTGGGTAAGGATAATAAGAGGTGCGATAGCTCAGTTGGTAGAGCAGTGGTCTTGTAATCCAGCGACCCAGGTTCGAAACCAAGACGAAGGGCTAGTGCCCTTTGGTAAGGCATTAATCCTCATTACCAGGTCTCTCAGAGAGGACCTAAAGCCGTCGGTCCTCTGGTTGCTTACCAACTAGCATTCATGCTTTCTTCTTAGCAGTCAGGTAAAATAACCACCACTACACACTACACTATAATGAGTGAAATAGGAAAGAAAAGCACATGAATAGATTTGATTAAAAGAGATCCTGGGCATGAATCAAAATAAGAAAACCATGAAATAGGGAAAGGATAGATTACAAAGGAAGAGGAATTTAGAAGATTGGAAAAAGGAACAAATGAATATGGAGAGGAAATAAACAAAATCAAATAGAGGTACAGGTGTACATGTATAGATTACACAGACAAACCTTGAGGAGTGGAAGCAAGAAAGAGACAGAGACAGGGAAAGAGAGAAAGAGAAAAAGGGTAAAGAAACCTATTGGGGCATTGACAGTACCTGTCTTGGTGACAGTGTTGTGAGAAGATTTAATTAACTTAAAGTAAAATACATTATTTTGAGCAATGACAAAGAATTTAAAATGTGTAAAATAGTGAGCATCTAAACATTTCCAGAGTGGAATGTCACCTATACCTGTATTCAGAGCCATTGTACTGTCCCCCCATAGGACAGACTCTCAAAACTGAAGAGAAAAGTTCTGCATGGTTTACTACGCACCTTGCTGTGCATCTTTGACAGCCGGTTCTACCTTGGACAGGTCTGACATGACGTCTTTGCGTTTCTCGCCGATGTGTTTGGTCTGTTCGGCTAAAGTCTGCTGGATCTCTTGACTGGTAACCTTCTTCTGCTCAGCTTCTTGTTGATCTTTCACCTGTGAAGTTATAAAATCTTGTTTTTATTTTTTGGTGTATTAACCTATCTTGCTTATGTACATTCTTCTCTTCCTCAGGCAAAAGGAAACTCAATTAAAGAATTTATTTGACATTTCTCCTCTTCCTATTTAATTTTGTCTTTTCCTCTGCTCCAATTTTTCATCGTCTTGCTGCTTCCCTCCCTTCTTGCATCATTTCTTCAAAGTGATTAACTTCCTATTCTATATCTTCCAATGGTTTAAATATTTGAGCTTAGAATTGACTAGAGCATTCCCACACTTCCTTTATTCAGCCTCTATGCCTTCTTTCCTCAAATCAATAAATCCATACTTCTCCTTCCAACATGTAGCTCTTAATGTCTGTTGAAACCAGAATGGTATCGACTCTATATAATGGGGTATGAATTCATGCCCTCCAGGCTCTCAGCAGACATTATCCTGTGCAAGTCTCCTTACCATCTGTTTGAGCTTGGAATTGGCAGCAGCATTCTTGGCCACCAGCTCCTGACTCTTGAGTGCAAGGCTCTTCTGAAGCTCCTCTACTTGCTCCACCGTCTCCTTGATCTTCTGGAGACCAACGTTGAGATGGAGCTGCTGCTCCTCTAGGTCTGAGCGCTTCTCAGTGTACAGCTTCACCTATGATGTAAAGATATATGTATTTAAAGTATACAGATGTGAACTCGGACCTGCTTTAGCAAGCGCCTGTTTAAAAAGACTATAAAGCCTGTAAATATTACATTTAGGGTTTCCCTTGAAGTGCTTTTCTCAAAAACGTGTATTCCATTGACTTCCTAAAATTTACCTGCCTGTGAAAACTATTTTCTGGGCTCCAAAGAGCAGTCTTTCTGCACAGGTTTTTTTACTGGATATAGATACCATTCAAAAACAAAAATATACTGGTGGAAGATAAAGAAGAAATAGAAGAAGAATAAGAGGGGTACAAGGAAAAAATGTGGAGATGAATAGAAAGACGCGGACAAAAAAAAGTTTGAGTAAAATCAAGAAAGAAGAGAACTAAGAATTAAAATCTATCATGACTACAGCAAGAGAAACTTGTGAGGAAAATGGGAACTAAAAGATACAGAATGCTACATGTAAAGATAGAAAATGCAAAAAAATCAAACATCAAAATTCAATTGAAAATTGCTACTTACATAGTGGTGGATGAAGTCCAGGTAATGCCTAGGGGTGATAGCCATGACACGCCCACCTCTCTTCTGGAGTCTCTGATTGGCTTGGTGTAAGGTCAGGTGGACAAACACAAAGGCATTGACGATGGCATCACGATGAGTTGGGTGCTGTGAAACGCCCTCGTAGGCTACAGGCAGATAGTCTGGTGCGATGTACTGTGCAAAAAGAACATAGAAATATATATTTTTAAAACTCTTTATTTGCTTAAAAGAGTTTGTCATTTTGTGGGACATAAAATTTCATGTTCCAAAATCATAACAGAAATAATAATAACAAATTGGAGGTTCTGTTGTACAAAGCTATGAAATGTCTAAAGATATGCCATAAGCACCATCAAATATATGGCAATTATTCCAAATCAATCAACTAAAAGACTTACATCTGACTTGTCCAGATCCACCTTGTTGGTAAACTCTCTACCAACTTGGAAGAGGGCATGGGTGGTCCAATCTCCAAACCAGTTCAACACACATCTGGATAAAAGAAAAGAAGCAAAGAAATAAAATAACGATTTTCAAGGCAAAATATTGTAAGGCAACCACCTCTCTTTTTTCTCTCTCTCTAAAAATATAATTGAATATCTGATTGGTTCTCAAAGGCATCTCTCTTTTGGTAATGCGAGGGTGGATTCCATGATGATAAAAATGTAAACATTACAAGAAAATAGAATAAATCTGATTTTTTTTTTTTTTTTTTTTTTTTTTTTTTGTACATTGGAGGACAATTCATTCATTCATTCATTCATTCATGCATATATTCAGTCATCCGTTCATTCATCCATCCAGTCATTCATGCATTTACTCATTCATTCCATCCACCCATCCATCCATTCAAATTACATAGTCTTCGACATACACATATATCCATCAATCCCTCTATTTATTCATTATTTTCAATCAACTGACCTGTTGAAGAGAGCTGGTGATGTGGCAGCTCTATCCTTGAGACCTTCTGAAGACGGGTTCATGGTGAACACCACATGGAGGTTGCGGATGACCTGACCAGTGAACCACTTGTAAAGCTCTTCGGTAGAGTCCAGCATGTGGCCCATGCGCTGGGCACCTTCCTTGCACTGGGTCATCAGCATGGTGTATTCATCTCCTTCAAACAGACCTGGCACCTACGGGTGGTAAAAAAAATATGGATTAATTCCTGATTGTTACAGATCATTCCTTATTTAGAACATATAAATAAAAGTTCACTGACATTTGGAGTGAAAGATAAGTATTGCATATTCATCTATCTGAAACATCCCTGGTACCCCCGATGTGTTTTCATATTTGCAGAATATCGGAAAAACTAATAGATAGGTGATAAGCTGGATATTAACACTGCTTTGAAAAATAGGACATTCTTATTTCCAGTGGATTACACCATGATATAGGATTCCTTAAAAAAGAAGCTGAAGAAGATGCAAATATTTGATCTAAACACAAAAGGATTAATGTTTACACAATATTTTATTTCGGGCAGCTAATTTTACGATAAACTGGACTTTTGAATTGGACTTTTATGTTTAGAAACATTTTGTATTAAATTCTACCTGACAGCGACTTATTTACAGTAGCTCTTTTTTACCAAAAGTTTGTTTTAGAATCTGGGTGCAAAATGATAATAATAATATTTATTAGGCACCAAATCCACTAGAAATCAAAAGCTCACGGCGCACTAGTGCAAAGGATGAAATCACATTAAAAGCATCTGCATTCTACAAAGAACAACAATAATGAAAAAAGAATTACAAAATGTAGGAGAACAATTAATCATATGTCACATCATACAGTTCCCCTTTTTCAATTATTTTTGAATAACTAAATTGTCCGAGCACTCATTTGTCTTTGGGCCTTCTAAATAATAGTAACTTCAGACCAGGCCTAGACCCTTCATACTGACTCGGGAGCCATAGACACAATGTAACAACCACCTGGGGGGCATTTCACAAAAATTGTCATCGGTGACAAATGACAGTTTTTGTTATAAGCTACCGAAATCCTTGCTTTTGATTGGTTGTCAACAGATTTGTCACCGATTTTTGTCATTTGTCATTGAAACAAAGGCTTTGTGAAACAGGTCCCTGGTATTCTTACCTCTCCATTTGCTAGCAGGGTGTTCATCCTCTCCAGGAAGCTGGAATCCAGGACATTGGATTCATCCATGATGAACACAATCTTCTCATCCTTACAACCAGATCTACGAAGCACTATTCTCAGGTCCTCATCAAAGTCTGCTGCAGTGTACTTGTTGTGTACCTGAATATCAAAAGGTTAAAGAATAATTAGAAATAAATGTTGTTAAATGAGCTATCTGTGTTGTGGAGGAGCTTGGCAGAACATAGCACATTCCTCATAAGCATACTCACACATGTTCACAGCTAAATATATTCCACATTATTTGTGATAACTTCTTAAAACCAATGTCATCTGAAAGGAAGCTGGCTTAAACATGAATTTGCATACATCTTTCAATTACTAAAACAGAAATCAAGTGAAATATTTTTCCACATAATTATTTTTTTAACGATGTAAGTAAATTTCTTTTTCTATATATTTGGTTAGCTACATACATTTGGCCCTTTAAACACTCAAACAATAACTTATTTAGCTTGAAACTTCTCATAACATTTTCCCTCATTTTGTTATATTTTAAATTCATCAGCTTATTAAATCGCTTCATGCACAATCCAACCACAGGAGAAGACCTTCAAGTGTTATGTAGTACTTACCTTGACTTGGACGATGCTGAGACCATTCATCCAGGCTACAAAGCGTGAAAGTGTTGTCTTTCCTGCACCACTCACTCCAATCAGAAGCAAGTGACCCTGTAATAATAACAGAACGTCACATTGAATGAAGACATTTCAGATGGAAACTGCTACATCAATTAACAGTCATGAAACAATACAGGTGAAAAAAATTAAGCAGGCAATAATTACAAAAATAAAAATCTACCGTTTTACTGATTTGATTACATACAGGTATACATATAACGAATTATATACCTCATTTTAAGATTCTTTACTAATCCTGTCTTCTGATTGGTTGAAAATGCAGTCATGTTCTTAACCATGCCCGCTAATTGAAATTCATAGTCATTTTTCCCGGCTCTACCGGTTTATATCCATTTTTCATAGCACTTTTTCCATGGCTGTGAAACGTGACGTCATTTTGCTGCGATCCCCATTTTGGTTTACGTGTTACCGTATAAGTTTCTTTTGTGCGATGACCGATGCGCAATACCGTTAACGGTGTTTGAGTGCAATTCGATTTTGGTCGCTGCATTCAGGCGACGAATGTACCAATCCAAAGTTACTGTTCGTGTAAACGTGGTTGGTATTCCCTGTTCTACTGGAGCACAGCTTGTTGGATTTCATACTGTACACAAGTTATTGTTGGTGTTAATATTCATGACTTCAAAGAGATGGAAACCTAAATGGGTGAGTCAACATTTTCCTTTTTTTCGGTATATAAAATATATATTGACTGCTTTTAATATTCGAGGCATAGTTGTTTCTATAGGGTCTCGGGAAACTCACAACCTGCTATGACCCCGCGGCGCAAGCGCCTTGGGGTCATAGCAGGTTGTGAGTTTCCCTTGACCCTATAGAAACCACTATGCCTCTCAAAGCAGTCAATATATCCTTAATATTACTTGAGTAAAGCAAAAATTACTTCCAAGTTGATAATATTATTTGTTATATATCAAAATAATAGTCTAACTATAATCCACACAGGTCTCATTAAACTCGTACCTGTGGTTGTCTGAAGATTCTGTCAATACGTAGGACGTGGTCCAAGACTTCGTTGAACAGAACCAGGGGTACATCCAGCTCCTCCTCATAGAACACCTACAATACAAACATAATGAGGCTTCTTATTACTCTACTGCCGAGACTAACATCATCATTGTAGATATCAACCATTTCAAGAACAAGCAGGGTTCTTACGTTTGTCTATTATTTATCTTCATTAACTGTAAGGGTTTTAAACATTCCCATTTGTGTCTCATGAGCTTATGAACCTTAGAAATTATGAAGTGGCACTCTGAAATATTACAAGAAATATATACCAATGTGCTATTTGGAATCTTTACATTTTTAAAGCTATCAAAATATGTTTCATAATAGAAATTATGGACAAGACAAACCTGCAAAAAATTCAATTATCAGTTTGAAATGGAGAGGAAAAAAAGAAATCCCAGTTAAAACTATCCTTTTTTCCCTCCAAAATTAATCGCACATAGGGGGTTTGTATAGTTGATGCCACAAATCTAGACCTTGTACTATAAATGTCCCCAGAAAGTGTCAAACCTTGAGTCTAGCTTTGACATAGTCCCTGAGCTCCTCTTGGTCCACCGGTATGTAATCCTTGGAGAGCCAGTTGCTGAAGAGGATGGGTCTACCAAGAGCCTCCTTCTTGGTGATGTTGGGGAAGTGTTTCATAGCAATCGCATCAATGTTCTGATCTGTCCACATCCTCTCCTCATCCTCAACAAGCCTGTAACAAATAAAAGGGTCATTTATCATGGTATACATTAGCTGAAATTGGAGTATAAAGTCTCAAATAGTCTGTGTCATCACAAAAACTTTGTATGAAATTTACAAGTGCATGTCAATTACATAATTGTACATGAAATCAACATTTGTAATAGCATCAGTTGAACTGATGCAAGTATTTTCCACTTTTTATATGTTGTTATCCAATAATTTCTACTACAAATGCATTTTATAAGAATTATAATTTTTGTTTTGTTGTTGTTATGTGTATGGAGGAGCACTTGAGATGGTGTTTAAACTAGTACCAATTCAAATATAATGCTTAAGGCTGGTTAAATGTTTAAAAATAAAAGTTAACAATACAAAACTCATCTTAATAAAAATTGACCTGTATTATTCTATCAGGTATCATTAAAGACCACATTTTTTTAAAGAACTTGAAATATGTACCTGTCTTGGAAGAGACGTAGAGCCTCATGAGCCCAGATGCGAACCAGACCCTCTACAGACAGAGACTCCAGAGGGCGCAGTGCTTCGACGATGCCACGCACCCAACGAGTCATCTCACGAGGACTGTAGATGTAATGGGGTTGCATGTCTTGAGTGAAGCGTTCCTGAAATACAGATGGGCAAGACAGAGTTGTCAGTGGAATAACATTCATTATGATCTAATATTGACATTGCTACACTTTCTCCTAAGAAATTAAGATCATAAAAGCAGAGTAACAGCCTCAGTTCAACAAATCATAACTTTAAAGTGTGCAACTTTTAAAAGCAAGGAAAAACCAGGAAAATCTCTCAAAGGCCAAGGGAAACAAGGGAAACGCTCTCGGCGGTCTCGCCTGCATAACGCAATTCAATATGATAAAACAGAACGTCAATGACGTAGCGTTCATCCGCATCTCACAACAACAAATATCGTAAATTTTATGTGGTACACTTTTGAACTGGTCAAAAATAGAAATTTGATGCCCTGGAAGGGACATAATTTCATTTCATTTGCATAAAGTACCATAAATAATCAATGGAGCAAAATCTCACAATTCTGTGTAGAAGTTTATTGTTCCAAATTTAGCTCTACCAGATAAGGCAAAATCGGTCGAGAAATGAGGGAAAAGAAGCAATTTTTGTTATTTTTGGAATAAATTTGCATAAATTACCATAATTAATTAATGGAGAACAATTTCAAAATTCTGAATAGAAGTTTAGTGTACCAAAGTTAGCTCTACGATATAAAGCAAACCAAATCAAAATCGGTCGAGAAGTGAAGGAGAAGAAGCCTTTTTTGTGATTTCGAATAAATTTGCATAAATTAGCATAGATAATGAATTTCATGATTCTGTGTAGAAATTTTAAATCCCCTCCTAGCCCTATCATATGAAACAATCAGAATCAAAATCGGTTGAAAAATAACGAAGAAGAAGCATTTTGAAAATCTTAATGTTGATGCCACAACAAAGTCTAAGTTTGTTGACCTTAAATGGCCTTTGACCTTCACTTAGTGACCTGAAATTCTACTCACATGATTGGAGAGACTTGATAACCCTATAGTCCAAGTTTCATTGACTAAGAACTTATACTTTCAAAATTATATCAAAAATTCAAAAACTTAACCTTAGGTTAAGTTTTCGATGATGATGCTACAACATAGTCCAAGTCTGTTGACCTGAAATGACCTTTGACCTTGACTTTGTGATCTGAAATTCTACTCACAGGATTGGGGATACTTGATTACCCTATAGTCAAAGTTTCATTGACTAAGAACTTATACTTTAAAAATTATACCAAAAATTCAACTTAGGTTAAGTTTTTGATGTTGACGCCGTCGCCGTCGCCGTCGCCGTCGCCGTCGCCGTCGCCGCCGCCGTCACCGGAAAAGCGGCGCCTATGTCTCGCTTTTTGCTACGCAGGCGAGACAAAAATGACAACGTTTATTATTATCAATTTAATGTAACAATACTTGTATATCTGTACATCTTGAAACTTCCTATCTAAATGTCTTTTATGACAACCGATTCCATATCAATCCTCATTTTATTTTCAATACTCCTGAAGACACTGCGTATGAAAAATCTCCCAATTTTTAATTGATTTATCACAAGCGTTTATGACCGTCTTGAAAACCATTACAATCATTTCCATGAACGATGCTATGACTTACTTGTGAGATAGTGTAGAACTCCACCATAGCATTGGTGAGAGGTTCAGCATAGGTACGCAAGCTAGGGATGAGACGCAGAAGGGCACGGTTGAATGTACCGTAGATCTGGGTCAGTGATGCTGGGCCTGGGTAGTCCACGTATACTACCGGCACATGACGCAAGAACCTGTAAAGACAACGAAACAGAAATATATCTAGTACCAAAGTCAAGTAAATGTAATTAAAGCGAATGTTTCTGCGAAGGTCAGAAACTTACAAAATGGATGCACTCAAACCCAACCAAAGTTTGATCTGAAAACTATGCCCCGAATGATACCTACCTGTGTGAAAGTGGTTTTCTGCCAGGATCTGTTGGAGGGTTGCAAGCACCAACAAACTGGATGCGTTCAAACTTGACCCAAGCCTGATCTGATGTGCGGTAGAAGCCTCCATGCTCCAACATCTGACGCAAGAAGGAGATGACCCTCTGGGTTCCTGTGAATTCAATACAAAAACTTGTTCAATGAAAGATCCCAAAGTAGTACACCTGTTTTAGCTTTTCTTGATTTCTGTTCTTCCTCCTTAACATTTTTTTCCTTCCATTTAATTATTGTTGTCCCTAATCATAATATGAATCACTGCTATCTTGATCCCTCCCCTTCTCCCCCCCCCCCCCTCTTATATATCTCTCTCTCCCTCTCTCTCTCTTAATCTTTTTCACTCTCTCATTTTTTTATCATCCATCTAAAAAAACCAACAAAAAAAACCAAGGTTACCCTTCCGTAATACAACAATAAAATAGTTATTCACTCACCATACTGGTCCATGTCGGGCAGATTGATCTCATCACAGAAGACCACCAGCCACTTGCCCAACTGGACCGGGGCTAGGACAACTCCATTGGGGGTACGTCGGTACTCACAATAGTGATCAAAGGTCTTCAGCATCAGCTCTGGGGTGGTGGCACTGGAGAAGTTCAATCCAACAACCTACAGAATAAAAAAAGTATGTTTTAAAAAAGAAATTAAATTTCTTTTAAAAAGTTTCATATATCGACTGGAGATTCAGGAAATACCAACAGCAATTGGTACTGATATAACAATGGGTCTTTTCAGCTCATACATGGATTTACAATCATCACCATCCAATGGTTAACTTCCTTTATCTATTATCTCAGTTCAAACAATTCAGCTCTTTTCACCATTACCATTGTGCAATACCATAATCACTATCATTCCAAGAAACTCACCTCCATGTCTGGCAGGGCCCTGAGAGCACTGAAGAGCGTCATGGTCTTCCCACTGCCAGGGGGTCCACACAGCACCATGGGTCTGTGCTCCGCTAGCCAGGTGTAGAGAAGGGCCTCATGACGGACGGTGTCAAGCGTGGGTACCACTAGATCAGGGGCAGCTACCTTGTGAGTCTCCACCTCAATCTGAGGCACCTTGGATTGCCATGGAACCCATTCACCTGATATAGATACCTAGCAATCAAAAAAGTCATTTAGAACATAAGTGCATTAGTAAGTACAGAAGGACCTCATGGTGTACTGTATCCAGACTACTACTACAACAGGCACAGCTTTCTTGTGGGTCTTCACCTCAATTTCAATTCAATTGAAATCATTTATGTCCAAATTCCTAATTGCTCACGTAGGTTTATTATTTACAGTGATTTCAGCAGCTGCTGTAAAATACACAAAAAAGTGAATTCTTCATAACTAGAATTCATTAATTATAAATCAGAAACTGCATGTTTCCAAATCAATTGATTACTTTACATCAGTAATTAAAAGTCATAGAAGAAAACTCACCTCAAAGTCGATGATAGGTATAGTCTGTTGAGCCGGTAGAGGGATGGTGGTGATACCACGGATGAAATCTCCAAATTCCGTCCTTGCCTTCATCTTGCTGTCTCCAGTGAATGACCAGAGGAGAGCATGGATCAGGTAACGGGACACATACTTCTCTAGTTGGTCCGACTGTAAGGTGGAAGAAATAAAACATCCAAATTACTATTCATTGGACACATATTTATAAAGTTGGTCTGGCTTTAAGGTGGAGGAAATAAAACGTCCCAATTGTTATTCATGAGATACATACTACTATGATTAGTCTGGCTGTAAGGTGGTAGAAAATACCATCCAAAGTTTATTTTAGAAAGATTTCCAGAGTAATGGAAAAGTATTTTGATCTACATTCATATTTGGAAGGGGAAAAAAAACATATTATCAATTTGTTTCTATATCTGAACACTAGTGACTCTGCAAATGGTACTTTAGCTGTATGGAGGAAGGTCATATCAAAATCAATCACAGTAATTCAGTATGATAATAATTGAGGCTATTTATATCACCCTTTTAAAATTTCAATCTCCTTGCATCGTTAAGGATAATTGTTATCAACATATCATGCAATCTAATAATTATTAGTTTCTTCCTTCTTCGACTCAATGACCAATGCATTCGATCTGTGGGTGCCAATGAGCATAAACCTACTTTATCCAAGAAATTTAACATTGATGTGGTTTCACTGGATGATCTTTAGAGATTGTTTCTATCAATCTAGTTTTCCATTGTTCTTGATATAATAGCTACAATTATATTGCCCATGTATCCATCCCAGGGGATGCTCAGGGCACCTACAAAGTTGCATTGTTACTCTTGCTTTAGCGCAGTTGCCCTAAGGCGCTAAAAGCAATTAAGGAATAAATTCCTCTCTGAATAGAAAGTGACGAATGTAAATTAATGTCTTGCCAAAGGACATTAGTGCCATGGGGGAATCGAACCGTGAACCATAATGTGATCCACAGTCAGGTGACATATCCACTAGACCATGACGCCTCTACACTTTGCATGATATAATTAAAACCTGGGCCCTGTTTCATAAAACTTGATATCAATAGCAAGTTACAAGCTACTGTTATAAGCTACTGAAATCATGGCATCTGATTGGCTGAGAGTAAATTTGTCATAGAAATTTAGCATATGTTATAGATAGAAAGTTTAATGAAACGGGCCCCTGCTCCTTTCTGACCTACCTGCATGGGGAAGTCACTGTGTGTGTGGTTGTACTGGATGATGTTGCGTATACACTGATGAAGCATGGAGAAGAGAGAGTTGAGCGCTCTCAAGCGAGTGAAGTCCATGATGTGCTGGTCCTGCTTGGCTGCGTACTCAAGGCAACGTATCACCACACCGTCAGATGAGAAGTGGGGACCAAATACATTGGCACTGTCCACTTGAACCTAGTGAGGAGAGTATGGGATATTCATTACAATGAATCAGCGTTTATTTATCAGGTCTATGACAAGCCGTGAATTAACAATTTACCCTGCAATTAACACCAGGAATATAAACAAAAGACATGACTGCCCAAACAGATAAAAGCAGTATCAATTCAAATCTAATCCTTGAAAAAATTTTCATTTTGATTATCACTGTTCTATATTGATTTAAAAAATGTGTCACTGTACATTTATGTTCATATTTTATTTCAATCACAATGATACAAGTGGAATATAAAAGATTGTGAGTAGATATAAAAGACAAATTCTTGAATAAAAAAAGCAGTCTAGCAGATACACTTATACATGTACTATAAAGAGTGCTCCTCAGCATTTTTTTACCAGTACAAAACGTGCATCATACACGCAACATGAGTTTGTATGAAAATTTACACCAGCAAACAATTAATGCTCCCAAATAGTTTTGACACATGGAAAATGGACAAGAGAAGAAGAGAGATTTCTCACCTGCATGACAGGTGAAAGTACATCCTCCTTCTCTCCAGAATCCCTGCTTTTGTAGGTCTTATCCTCTCCTTCCTCCAGGGGAACACAGCGAAGCTTGGTCAAGAAGTTCTCAAAGATGAGCTCAGTACTGAGTACGTCCTCACTGAACCACACCATGCCACAGCGGGTGACAGTGGCCAGGGTGGCGTAGCGAAGGTCCTGTACCTCAAACATGATACGCACCTACCACAGGATGAAGATTGATACATTAGAAGGGGTAAGAATGTGAATTTGAAGAGACTCTTTGCAAATGAAATGTTGTGATCTTTCAGTGACATGGCTGATGGTCACTTTGCCAATTTCTATAGTGACTATACCTTCTCAAACTGCTACATATTTCCCATTTGTCTTCTTGTAGCTGGTATTCATACACTGTCTGTGCAATTATACAAATAAAACCTACCCAACTAAATTTTTTAAATAGTACAGAGCCCCACTAGGCCCACTCTGTAAATGTTTCCATGAAATTACCACTCGCAAGACCAACAAAAACTTACATTAGGAGGTATGCCAAGACGTTCTCCATTGGGCAGGGTGAGTAGCTTGTTCTCGTCCAGTACACTGTTGAGATTCTCAACCCATTCTGGGTCAACATCACCATCAAAGATGATCCATTGACGTTTGTTGATCTCACCACGAACATTGTCAATGATCCTAGATTAAAGAAGAAATGGAAATAAAATAATCCTTTATCCGACAAAATTTCAGCAATATTTGTCTTTTAATAATCTTTGGGGATATAACTTCAGCAATATTTTTAATTGATATATAAAATGTATGGTTTTTCTTGACATCATTTTCTCATCATTTTCAATCATACAATCAGCACGAATTCTGAAAGGGTTACTTCTTTATATTTTCTCTCTTGGTGTGGATATGAGCACATCATCAATGTTATTACCACTGTTGTTATCATCACTGTTGTTACCATCTTTATTATTATTTTTTTATATTACAGCACTTTACAACAAAAGTGTACAACTTGCAAGATATGTGTATTTGCCACCAAATGGCCATATCTTTTGACTCAAAGAAAAATAACTGAGATGAATAAGATAACGCGCCCTTCTTACTTTCTGAGGAAGTGCGTGAAGAGACCGTCAGTCCATTCCCTGGTATTGGGGTCCAGTGTACCATAGAGGTCTTCCTTGGAGATAGCCTTGGGGTCAATGACCTGAGCCACGCCCTCAATACCTTCCAGTCTCTCAAGAGCCTTGAGCAGTGCACGCCAGGCGGTACTCTTGCCGCTGCCGCTGGGACCCACCATCATCAGACCATGGTTCAGGTTGGAGATCTGGTATAGTTGGAGCACCTGTTCATCAGACAAATTTCACAAAGGTATGGTAAGTGTGTTTAAACCTTTAAAGGCTGCAAAAAGGACATACAATCCAAAAGTTTGTCTTTAAAGCGGGTCATTCTTTCAAAAATATCTTGTAGAGTAATAAATAATTGATCCCATGGAATAGTGCTTGTATCAAATACACAATTAAAACAAATTATTTATTGAACACGTAGGTAAACTTGGCTGATCATTATAGGCTAAGATTGAACATTTATGATTTCGTAGCTTTTCAAGACACAGAACAAAATTATCTTTGGTACTATTCCATATTTTCTCTTTGAGTACGGAAAATGAATTTTTCAATATTTAAACACAGACAAATGCAAAACGAGTTCCCAAATACCTCCGCCCCCACCCAAAAAAATAATGAATCAAAACTGTGTTACCTTCTCAACCCATGAGGTTCCAATTTCATCTCCTTCTCCGTAGGTGAGGTGCATTTCCTCACAGACCTTGGCCAACTCTCTCCTGAGTCCCTTCATCTCTGCCTGGGTGTAGGAGATGCCAGGGAACACATCTGATAGCAGGTTGTAGAGCAGAGGGATGTCTTCAGCGATCAGTTTGGGTACCATCGTCTCACAGATACTCTGGATCAGGATCTACAAAAGAGTGGAAATAAACAAAAGTGCACTCAGATGCTTTTATCTGTGACAGCTATCCTTGGAAGAAAAGACAATGAAGGATGGATTGCATTGTTCACAGAAATATACAAACATATTCATTGAAGTGAGATTTCTGTGCCAAACCCATTTAACAATGATGTTGCACTATTTATTGGGATTTTTAATACCCAATTCTTTTTTCCTTAAACTGATACAGGTACAGGTATTCAAAGTTAAGCTCTGTAATTTGTATTACATACCCAAATTTGAGAAATGAAACAAAGAATTAAAACTGAAACCTTGAAAGTTCATTTATGGTCATAAACAAGATATTCTTCCCACCTCTTGTTCTGGAAGATTCTCAGTGATGGAACCTTCATCTACATCTTCACCCCTCTCTGCCCTCTGCTCCTTGACACGTATGATGTGGTCTCTCTTCACATTACCGGCACTGACAAGTACGTTCTTCAGGGCTCGTAAGCCAAAGTCGTAGTGAGACTGCGAGGACAGTTGCTCATCACAAAGCCTGCGAGGATAAAAATTTGGATGAAACTCATTCTTTTTCTCTCACTTTCTCTCTCATTTCATTTTTGCCTAAGGAGAGACATTGTGATATTAATGAAAACAAGGTACTAATGACCTATGGCAGAAAATAAATCTTCATTTTCTACTATTGATGTAAATTAAGCGAATATATATTTAGTAGAAGGACATTATACAAGTATGCGTTCTATGACAGCTAAGTCACAATCTTCAGTGCCTTGTATCTTCAAAAGGAGCATTTTAAAAATTTGAATATTTGTAACATCATAACTTTTTTATTAGAAGTTGCATAATTCTTCAACTTTATTCTTGTTTATTTGTTTAAGAACGTCTGGGTAGAAGAGACATACAAGACTAAGATGTAATATGCGTATATAAAATAGGAAACAAAAATACACCACTCCATGCCTGAGAGTGACTCAAATGACCATAATACTGTAAAATGACAGTGTGGTGTATTCTAATCATTGGATACAATAACGACTGTGAAAGAAACAGGATAAGGTACTTACTGGAAGAAAGGCACCACCTTGGAGGCCAGCTTCTCAGCAGTCCTGAATCCCTGTGAGTAGAGCATAACCTGTGAGATGAGCTGACGGTTTGGCTTGGTCATTGCCAAGCTACGGAAGAGCTTCTTGAGGTTGTCAGGTAGGTTGGAGCGGCCAGCGTAACCAGGGTTCATGGTGATGAAGATGGCCATGTCTGGGTTGACCTTCACCTGCTTGCCTACCAGCTCCACCAAGATCTGCTCACCTGAATAATACAGATTCATACAGATAATGAGATGGATCCAGTTGTGCCACTGGGATGGGTAATCAAGGGGTAGAGTTTCACTTCAAACTGTTCATGACTCCCGGCATGATACAACTCTACTGATAAAACTGCAACATCATTGAAATGGGAGATATGAGTTGTCCAAAAAACAAGATACTTGATCTCTCTTCTTAACAAAAGTAAATACATATAAACATTTGGAAGGAAAAAAAACAGCCCTTCATAAAATCATGCCTTCGATTATGAAAATCAACAGGTTCTGATACATCAACAGACTTCTTGTCAGTGTGCAAAGATTGCACCTGGAAGTTGTATGCTAGATTACATTATTTCATATTTCATATTTCAATGAATATTTCTACAGGATCTACAAATTTTATACATAAACTTTTCTTTTAATAGTCATATTTAAAGAATGCGTTTTGAAATATGTATTTCCAGCAATTGTCTGTGGGAATAAAATATATTGAAAATGACAAAAAGTCAAGTTAGATCCTTACCCTTCTTGCCATCTAGGAGCTGTTCCTTGAGTGCTTCCTGGATGGTCTGGATCTGCTGAGAGACAGCAGACAGCATCCTCTCCTCTAGACGATTGAACTCATCAAAGCATCCCCATGCTCCCACTTGACACAGACCAACGAAGATACGACCCATGGCCTGTGAAATAATCATTAATGACGTTAAATAATATATATATACAGAAATCAATTCTACTTGCACTTTCTGCTGCTCGGACTACATGAATGGGGCACATTGGATGAAGAGAGATTAAAATTATCCTGATGCTCTTTTTTCAAATATCTTTTATTCTATGAAGATGATAAAGATAACTGTTGATGTGCTTTCCTACAAACCATCTCACATTAGAAAGAGAAGTGGAGTCTTTTGGATAGTCATGTTCAAGGTTGGTTCAAGATGAAAATAAGAGAACTCATTGATAGACTTATCTCTTTGGCTGTTATCTGGACAAAGTTTCTTTGAAAACCATTATTTGAACTTCAGAAATAAATGTGTAGCTCTAATTTTGACTCTGAATCATATGGAGACAGAAATTTCATAATATTTTAGCTTACTTATTTGGACTCGGTCAAAAAATCTCTCATATTCTCCCACAGTAAAAGAGTAAATTTGAATATGATTAGGAATTTTACCTGGAAGTCAAAGCGTTCATCACAGTTGAAGACCAGCACAAAGCGACCCAGCTGATGTCCAAGAGCCTTCACAGACTCTGTCTTGCCTGTACCAGCAGGACCTACAGATATAAACCAATCAGGGCATCAGTCAATGTTTTGAGAGATGCTCTTGTGTATATACACTTATGAATTGACTAAGTATATTTCCAATACAGATGATACGGAAAGCATACGTAGACAAATTTTGAAATGAATGAGTGATTATGCATGCATATTCATCACTACATTACTAACCATTTGTATGAACATTTTACAAATTGCAACTCATGGAAGAAACTTGCAACAGCTCAGCACATTAAAATGTAGTATGTGTGAGTGCACCTGTCATCTATGTCCAACACAGATCTCAATGGGAATGAACCACTAACTTACCAAATGGTGATCCTCCTAGACGTCCTTCAAGGGCCTGTGTCATTGTCAGGTAGCAACGATCGGTCAGTGGTGTCTGGACAAGCTTGTCCTGGACACCTAGGTACTCAAAGCCATAGTTGAAGCGGGCATTGGCCATCTGGATACTGAGCATCTGGAGTACATCAGAGTGCTTGGGATCAAAGTAGAAGCGCATCTGGGACAGCCATTGGAAGTCGTTGGGTCCAGCCACTTTGTCCTGGATCATCTTGCGAGTCACGTCACGTTGGTGGACCAACTCAGTGATCTGGAAGAATTCACATCATTCAGTTTAATTAATTAATGTAAGTAATAACAAACGTTTGAAAATGGTCTCTTTATGTTCAACATTTTAAAAATGATTTTGAAAGTAAACTAGCAGAATGAAGGTAGTTGAGACCAAAACTCCATGGAAGAATTGCGAGGTTTCTCGAACACCCTACAACAATTTAAAAAAATAAGTCTTCATAAAAACTTGAACATACAGTGGCAAAGAACTAAATGATGAAAATTATTAAGACATATTAAACACCATAAATGTAAGCATTTGGAGTATGTGTACAAAATTCCATTGAAAGTTTTCTGTAGAACTGCTGAGATCAAGAAATAAAGAGAGAAAATAACACGATTATATTACCAGATGTTCAAGCTTCTTCCTCCTGACAGCTGGTTGTTCCTGAAGGACAGAGTCAGCCAGAACTTGGAGGGTCTTGTTGACAGTCTGAAGGACACCCTCTACTGGCTTCATGTCCTTACCTCCATCCTTCTCCACAGCTGCCAGAGCCTTATCTGTGCTCTCTGACCAGGAGATCTGGGCCGACAGCACCACAAGTTGGGCCTATATCAGAAAATAACACACATTAGTGATAAAGTTAGGTGACTAATTGGTTAGGTAATTTATACTGGACTTTACAATACTCAAATCTATACATGTAGCAATCATGCACTTTTTCTTCACTTTTTATGGATTGTTTCAAAGTTGTTGTATTGTTAAAACAATAGAACCATTCAAAACTTCTTAAGGAAATACTTCATATTCAGCACCCACCCAATGTTACTTAAGAATGGAGCCTCATCCTTGACCCACTCCTCTACATAAAACGGCAAGATCAGGACAGATGATTTTGTGTATCAATTCACCATACTTTCACTTAACTCTAAAGATGACGATGTGTAACAAGACGCTCAGAAAGTGTAGCCTTCATGTACCAAGACAATCACTCAACATGTTTCCAGAGATGGATTATTTTCCCACTGTTTTCTAACCAAAAATCTAATAATTTTAAAATACTAAATACATCCTAACATAACTTCATCATTGCAGCATTAAAAACATTTTCTCCTGACTCACCTGATACTGGTCGACCCATGTCAGATACTTCTCAGATTCAATGTCTCCTTCCTTGAACTGTGTGATACCGGACACAGCAGTGGCCAGACTCTTGGCCAGAGTGACCCTCATCTCATTCTCTACCAGGGTCAACCATTCATTGATCTTGGGATGCTCCTTGATGGACACTGGTGTCTTGAAGGTGACCTGAATGATTACATGGGGAAATGCAGATTTTATAACTCATAAATAGATAGATAGCATATCTTCCACTACATGTCTTATCAAGAACAGATTTATTACCCTCATTATCAGTTAATAAATAAGCTATTTTCATGGTTGAACAGATAAATTTCGCCTCATCTTTCTCTGTAGATTGAGCCTTGAACATTGTATTACAGTCCCTGTATAATACAAATCATCCTACACCCATGATTTGCCTAAAAATAAAAAAATCTGTGGATTTAATCATTGATCACTCCATTAATTTATCTCTTTATTTCAAAACTATCTCTAATATTTTAAAACCTGAAAATTATCATCATCATCATATCTTTAGCACTGTTCCATTTCAAATTCATTTTGTACGCAAATAGTTGCAAAAAAAATTCCCACTTCTCACAAATGTGACTCACACTCATATACAAGTATATACTACATTGGAACGTGATGTTGCGAGGAATAAATCTTTCAACTGCAAAAACCAACCCACTCAATATCAATTCTGAAATCCTCATTATTAGAGCATGCTGCATGACTTACCTCCTCTCCCTCGCGTGATGCGAGACCAAGGACCAGGGTGGCGTCCTCACTGAGAGTAAGGGTGGATACCCCAGCAAACATCTTCTTGAAATGCTTTTGGAGTTTCTCCACATTCTTGCTGTTACCGATGATCTCCAGCAAGTCCTCATCTCCTACAAAGTAGAATCTACAAGAGTATGCATGAAATAAAACGAAGAGTAATAACATTATAATAAACACAAATTGTTCTAAACATACTGAATTTTCTCCACATTTGTAACACTGTCAACATGATGACCGAGTATGAAAATATTGAAAAATAATAAGTATACAAAATAAATCAAATGATACACAAATAATCTAGCAATTTGAAAGCTCTGTATTTAAGTAAACTAACAATTCAATGTACTTTAATGCATGTCAAATGTAATTAACTGAACTGAAGCTGCATCAATAAATAACACATTACATGGTGAGAAAATTTGGAACAATGATAACTTTCTCTTCCACCTTCTAAACAGTGTAGACATATGCCCACACCCAGAGTAGCATAGACCATAAAAATAAAACAAAGAAAAGATATCGCACTAACCTTGGGAAGGAGGCCCTCTCTCGCTCGAGGTACTCTCCGAGAGCCTTCTGGATCTTGCCCAGAAGGTCAGCCAGTCTCTCCAGGGAGCGCTGTACTCCAGGAATGTTGACCACGTCCAAGACCAGGGGTGCCTTGGCTACCTTCTTCATCAGGGCTAGGAACTCAGTGCTGATGCTGTTGAGTTCAAAGAAAAAACGGATTGTATAACCTGTCAAGAGCTCATTCAAAGTTTTTAAAGAGGTCACCCGTATTTGATTTATATTGGAGGATAAAAAGGTGTGATAAAGGTTGTTTATATGGACTTGGTGGAAAGAGGAGAGAGTCAAGGAATGGATACAGTCATTGATTCTAATATTACCATTTAGTGTTTTTTCGTAAACGTGTAACAAATGTTAAAACTTGTTAATTACTTAGGGTATTGTAGTTGTATTTACAGTACACTTCATTGGATGACTTGTTTATCACAGTATTACTCCACCACTATACCTTCTTTTTACAAAGTGAGTGAAGAGTTTGTTTCCTAACGCAGCTATCTATGCCTTACAATGACAAGATTTTACCTTGAGAATCTCTGTGTCTCCACTGGTAGGAGATGCTTGATGTCAGCTGATCCTGAAAAGATGCCTTCCAGGTACACCCATCGTCTCTGGACATCTATCCAGACATCAAAGAGAGCGTTGATGCGGTTCAGCTTCTCTTCCCAGGTCAGTGCTTCCTCCTCAAATACCTACACAAAAAATAGACATCATTTTTAAAACTTGATTCTGACATTCAAAGCATACACATCATCACTCTCTTCGTAAATCAAAATTTTCCATTGGATAATATGATCACAATCTAGGAATAAATAGAGCATGATTATAGGGCAAATCTAAGTTTTTTACTAATATGTATCGTACACATTTACCAAAATACAGTCAACCTTGCGTAAGTTGACCTTAACAGGACCAAGTGAAATGCATCGACTTATGCGTAAGTGGTATTTCTACGACTTACGCATATGTACTACAATGTGTACATGTACATGTGCCAGCAAGTCTGGAGAACAGGGGTGTATTGTGTACAAAAAATCTGTGTGTGTGTGGCTTGCTTTGACAGTGATTGATTACACATTGTGGTCTCATTTGACTTTTGTGATGTGAATTCTGTGATTAACACACGTAAGTCTATAAAAGAAAATTGGGACATTTTATTATCATCGTCTTTAGAGGTTTTCCGCCATACGCAACGTTGACTGTAGCAAACAAAACTTGGCGTTGACTACCATGACTACTGCATTAAAATGCTTGACCATAATAAAAAATGATACCTTCCCTGTAATTATCTGTTTACTTTTCCCATAATCCCTATTACCTTTTATACAAATATGACATTCAATTGTGATCTGCTCTTTACAATCCAAGGAAGATCTGATAATGATAAGGAGAATCTCTTCAAGCAATTCCCATCACTTTCATCGAAAATAGAGACTTAAGTGGCGATACATTCATGATGAGGCACCAAAATTATTTTCATGGCTCTGTAATGCACATATTTAAACACATAAACACTGAAAAAACGGACCTTGTAGTAAGGAGAGAGCTTCATGGCAGCCACACTGTTGATGTGTTCCTTGGCCTTGTTGAAGAGATCATCCCAACCTCGGATGATGCGACATTTGTTCTGGAAGTTGATGAGGTCCAGCTCGTAAGTCTGCCATGATTCACGCACCTGAAAGAAAACGAATATGTAAGACATTGCTTACTTTCCTTCATGGAAAGCCATGAGACATGGGCATCACAACTACAATTTCTGGTTTACCAGACCCTCAGGTCACTCATTAACAATTACAAAAATAATGGCTTCTTTCAAAGTTCACAAGTATTACCAACGGATATGCAACATGACATCTATATAAAAGTCAAATAAATGTTTAAAATGTTGTCTAATAAAGACCCAAACAACAAAACCCAGAAGGTAGAACTAGCTGTTTCGGATAATGAAATCACCAAACTCTAACCTGCTTCAAGAACTCCTCCAGGGCCATCTCTCCCTGAGCTACCATGATGATGTCCCTGACGATGGGCTCGTTCCTCTGAAGGTCCACATCCCAGACCTGGCCTAGGGTCAGCTCCGACAGAACCCAGTTAACCCTCAGCCTGCGCATCAGCAGCTTCCAGTGACGCTCCTTCAGGGCTTCAGACTTGAGCTCTGTCACCAGCATGTTCACCTGGAGATAGCAAGCACATTTAACTTTTTTTATTATCATTATTTAAACAATGCAATTGTTACAAAATTGGTAAGTCCTGCTTCTGTAAATAAATGCTCTGTATTATATTATGTCAAAATTAATAAATAATGGGAACTTGGAATTTGTGCAATTCACTACAATAAACGTGATAAAAGCCATACATACAAGTACATTTTATAATTTCTACTATTCTTAACAAGATATTTTAGATGTAACAAATTCCCATTCTCATGTTTTACTTTCCTTTATGTTTGTATTACAAAACATATGGTTTCTGTCTCATTTCTTTTAAATCCAATGTTACGCTTTGATTAAAATATAATTATGGATCTTGGAATAATCAATTTAATAATAATCTGGATTTATATAGTGCTTAATACAAAATACCGTCTATAAGTGCTTAACAGATATTATTACCTTGCCAAAGGAAGTTAGTATCATGTTGGGGATCTCACCCAAGACCTTTGCATTCCAAGTCAAGTGCCTAAACCACTCAACTACAACACCTCTAGATTTAGAATAATTTTGTCTTTTGTACCGCAGTAAAATGATACATCAACTAATTTCACTTTTTTTTGTGTGCATAATCATGAAAGTTTTGTTTCCAACGCTTTATACTTTTATGAAAGTGTGATTTTGATTTGTAATGATTATGTTCTTAATTAATTTTCATGTTTTAATTGATGATCATATTTTAAGACAAGTGTTTACATTGTAAACAGTGTGCAAATAGTCCCTGGACTACCACTTTGTATTTTTGATAAACTACGTTAAATTAAATTGAAATGAACAGAATATTACATGAATACTCAAAGCAACATACTCAAAAGCTTAATGTCACAAAACAAGCAAATGTCATATCACATGGGTATGTTAATGTAAATTATCTATAGTTTTTTTTTTAAAGGCTTTTGCGAACAGAATCAAACCTGCACAGGAAATTGCTACCTAATTTGCTTAGTGATATCTGGTTACGATGCCTGTGTGTTAATGTGCTAGTCATGGGGTGTGTAGGGGGGATACAGTGACAATTTGGCCCTTCAAAACTCTAGAAAATACAGCCCTTTAATAAGCAAAAGACAGAGAAATAAAAAGCTCACCTTGGCATATCCCTTGAGCACTTTCTGGACATGTTCATAGGATGAGTACTGCCTGAGTCTGGATGGAAGGGCCTTCAGTCCATTGGTCAGGCTGTCAATGCTCTGACGAAGCTGTCAAAGGAACACGAGGATGCAAACTTTAAATATAGAAACACTGCCTAAAATGAATAGATATGAACCTTACGATGTTAAAACAAATTGGCAGATCCTAATTCTACTTTGTTCAGTCATTAACTATATGAATAACGTATACAATTACATACCTTGCGAGGAGCGACGGAGAGCCATGGTTTCTCCTTGAGTTCATCAATCTGTTCCCAGATCTTCTGCAGCTCTGACCAGACTCCCTTCAGGTCCTGGAGCTCTTCTAATGCTACCTGGACTCTCTCTTCACTGGAACTCACAGTACCTGCAAGAATATAAATACCTTATGTTTATTCAGATACCCTAATTTATATAAAATCCTATTAACTGGGACCTACATAATACAACTTGAACTTGAATATATAATACCATTATAGTAAGTCATACAGGGTTTACGGAATAATAATATGCCTTCATACATGTAAGTAGAGGTGGGCCATAAAGACGACTACAGTTTGATTCTACACCACCCACTGTAGTTGGCTGGGGGTTACAGTTCAAAATCATTATAAATCACTATTAAGACAAATGATAGCATGTTATCAATAATTTAAAGAGCTATCATGTCAATGATGAATACTACCATATGAAAGAAAACCTTCAATATTCTCCTGTTTCCTCTTCTGGGACAACTATTCATCTCCCTCATTCTACTAAACGATGCTAAACCCAGCTGTAATGAATAAAACAATGTAAGAAGCAACAATGGCTCACCAAGTTCCTGCAGCTCTAGAGCTTCCTTAGCCTTGGCTACATTGTCCCTGTCCTCTGTGAGGCGAGTGAACTTGCCCTCAAAGATCCACAAGCTGTTGGTGGCTGTGTCAGGTTTCAGGTCACCCTGGGTAAAATAATAAGCATGAACATTCATGGAACTATAGAGTAGAAATTGTTTGTGAATACACTTTCACACCTGACACTTGTGTCAGTTAATGACAACACAAGTCTACATGTACATTTATATGATAACATCTGACCTGACTAAGACAGCACCTTCGTTTCTAAATTCTTTTTTAAATGTCCACTATCACAGTATCACCAATGATTCTGTAATTTCAAAGTATTGCATTAATATAGTGATATGTGTAAATACAATGATGTACATGTACATGTCAACTAATGTGTAAATGAATCAAGATGTTCACTGCAACATCACATACTTGTGTACTTTGGAGCTCTTTTGGGTGAGTATAAATGTAGGTGTTTCAGAGGCTAAATTAACTAATTGACTACTGAATTCATTCATTCATTCATTCCCATACAGTAGCCACCGGGTTCCCATAGGAAAAGGGTTAACTAATGTACCTGGATGGGTTTGCCCTTGTCCCACTCAGCTAGCAGCTCAGTAGTCCTGGCTTCCACAGATCTATCCTCTGCCACAATCTTCATCTGGAGACTGGCTACCTGTAACAAAAATGAATTTTGTATCGTATCAACTGAATGGTTCAAACCACTAGCAAAACATTATCATTTATCTAGTATATCACCAAATATACAAATACATATATGATATGCTCATAAATTACTACAAGCTTTACAGAAGCACATGAATGGAGGCCAGCAGATTCAATGGAATTATGCTCGGTACACTATTAAACATTTCCTGGAAAATAATGCAAGCTTCTTCTTTCTTTTTTTAAATCAACATATTAGACCACAGTAGATCCAAATGTTGACATACATGCTGCAAGGTGAAACACTTCATTTTTCAAAAATATGATTTCATTTCATTTATGACAGCTGATTTCCATATTTTTGTTTGTTTGTTTGGGACACTAAACAACATTTTCTAGAATATTCCTATTTTCTCATAGTACATTGTATAGATTTTAGGACAACTGTAACCTAACATACACTACTTGATCAAGTAATACCTGTGTCTGGATGGATCCTTCCTTGCGCTTCATGATCTCATTGTAGGCTCCCCATTCTCCTTCGATGTTGTCTACGTAGAGCCAGCTGGTTGGGAACTGGTAGCGATGACGCTCCAGCAGCTTCTGTCCACCTCGGTAGCTCTGTGCAAAACATTAGATAATGTATGTGTATGATTCATCAAATGAAAATAATAGACCATTTCGTAGATACAATCTGTGCATGAGCCGATAAAGGTCATTTGTGATAAAATTGTAAAACCCACCGAGATGAATACGTGCTCATGTTATGTAATCATTATTCATATGTGCACCTACGGTACATGCTATGATACAAGAAGGCAAACAAAGCTATTCATGAAGCACATACATGAATTTGGCATTGATTATTCTAAAATACACAAAGTGGGACTTCTCCATGAATAAAAGATCTGTGGATATTTGGGGTCATTTAACCCTTTTCCTAACTACGAAATGGTCTATTTCATCCTGATTCATTATGCATTTCAAATAGTACTGATCCAGTTTCCTCATGCCTGGCGTTCAATTGGTTACTTTTAGCCTGTCATTATATCCTACTGGATTTCTGGTCTCATGATCATAAAGTTTTCTACTCACTTCATAATTTTCTTCTACAAAACATATTTCAAATCTTTTAAGGATAGTGACTATATGATACAAGCTTCTCATTATCTGTGCTTTCAAAGATTGATAATTAGTATTTGTGTTTGTAAATGTGACAGAAAAACATGATGTAGGTTCTACAACACTACTCACCTTCCTGATACCAAATCTAAACATTGACTTGAAATTTACACACAATATGTCAGTTCATACTAATCTACAACTATTACTGGGTTTCATTATGGCTATCATTCTAGCAAGTATAGAAATTCAGGATTTAATTTCCAGTGCTCTAGCATACCTCGACCTGCTTCTCCCAGGCACGGTACTTGCGTTTGAGGTTCTGGACGTAGGTGATGAAGGTGACAGCATCTGATGTGCTTGCTGTGTCCACAGAGTGCTGCTCAAGATCAGTGCGAGACTGAGGAGGAGGAAAGAAACCGAAAGAATTAATATAGAGTTGGTCCACTAAACAGTGTTGGCTATAAAGTATTGCATTGTTATGCTTGATTATTGTCAACAGAGCACTGGTTTTAAGTACCATCATCTGGGGTATTATTTACTTTCCAAAATTAACAAAAATAATGAGATATTACATTATTAATTAAACTAACAAGAAATTTAACAAGATAGTTAAAATATACATGTAGGCTCTAATTTAGAAAAGAATTTAGAATTTTAAAAATGTCCCAACGTACACAAGCTTATCATGGTGTCACACGCTAAAAGCGGTCACAGCTTAACACTTCACGTTACTACTCCCAACACGAACATCCATCACTTAGTTTTAAGCCAGAGATAATTAGGGCTGGAGCCTGTTGAAAATGTGTGTTATATCAACAACAAAAAATCATATTCAATGGGTGAAGTAGAGTAACACTCACCTTGGAGACAGCACCATGGAACTCTGTCATCTGCGAACCGAGCATGTTGCCAAACTTGCTCAGGATCTCCTTGTGCCACGAGTCATACTTCATGTTCACCTTGGACTGGACCTACAATTTAAATAATGATGGAGACAAGGTAGATTATATATCATCTATATAAGGCTTTCAATTGGTACAATAAATCAGTGTATTCAATATCTTTCGCACAGTACCCGGATGACTAACCAATATTGTTTTCATATTGCCAGAGCTGCCAACCTTGTGCGACCAAAAAAAGGAATCATGATGGCAAAAAAAAAGGAATTTCAAGCAAAAAAAAGGAATTCATAAAAACAAAACTTACAACCACGCGCGACACACTTCCAATGCAGAAATGTTCATTCATCATGCTGTTTTTTCCATACAAGCAGGAATTTTTTGGGTGGTTGTTTGACGTGCGGTATGTTTGTTTTTTTCCAATAAAAAAATAAAAAAATAAAAAATTGTTTTTAAAAAAATATTAAAAAAATATTTTATGAAGAAAATAATACGTACTACCGTAATTTGGAGGAAAAAACAGAGTAATTCCGGCAAATACAGAATGGTTGGCAGCTCTGTATTGCTCAGTCATCCGGGATTTTCAACTATCAATATATATATTACTCGAAAACTAAGCCAAAGCCTACTACAAAACAAAAAATATTTACCGAGGTAAATCAAATTGTATTATTTCGCTAGTCAGTCTGATATAGATAAGAAGAATAATATTGTATGTCTTTGTTTTCGTGTGATACAAGAATATATTGTCAAAGGTCGAGCAATATGTTCTTGTATCACACTCAAAGCCATCTAATATTATATAAGTATCTATGCTCCTTGGGCTGCAAGTGGAAGGTACGGTGATTCCCTTGCAATGTGAAACAGTGTTTTCTCCCACAAGGGATGCAGTAAAAGTACAGTTGGAGGCCTCTAAAGGCTATATAGACCGGTGGGTCAGTAATACCCTCACAACTTTGGCTGAGTCATTTGAAACTTGCTTCTTTACAGATGACCATGTCATTTTTTTCTTCCATGTTTGCAATGATTTTTGAAATTTGCATAAATGCTACAACAATCGTTTTTGAAATATTTAATTGAGAAATCAAATATATTTTAGGGTATCGTATCATTGAATTTGAGATTAATTACATTGTAATATTATACAATCTACACAATTCTTGGAAGTACACTAACCTTCCCATACTCCACAACAATGGGTCCAAACTCCTTCCTGGTCTCTGCATTGTCGAAGGTGGTGCGAGATTGCCTGTTGAAGAAAACATTCAAACATTGCACCATCACTCAGATATACGAGTCAAGGAATAAGTTGAAAATTTACAACTTAAATATCTGTATAGGTAATTTTTTTCTTGTTGAACGGCTAAAAAAATGTATAAAATGGGGATGTATATTGTAATAACACAAACAACAATGAAAAGACATCAGGCAATGTAGAGAGAAAGAGAGTAAAATATGGAGAGGGGGAGTAAAGAGAAGTGAGTATGGTGCAGACGGCATCTTAGGACTAATAAACTGGTGTATGCACACACTATTAAAGCTACAACGTAAAAGCAAATTTAAATTCTTTATGTAAGAGAAGGATCCAATAATTACCTGATCTGCTGAAGAAGCATCATCCACTTGTTCATGTCATCACCGACTCGGTCATAGACATTGTGAGGCTGCATGTCCCACAGGGACTGGAACTGGAGCCATTCCTATAAAAAAAAATACCAACAAATTATTATTAGATGGTTTGAACTATAAAAGGGGGAGCATCTCATTAATTTAACTGACCACAACCACAACAGAATACACTACAGACCTATGGCATCTTCATCGATATTGTATTTTCATTGGGTATCGGAAAGGTATGTAAGTTGTGAGAATTCTTTTCAACATATTGGATTCCATACAATACACTCTTTCATAATTTAGAATAAAAATTGTCTAGATGGAAACACAGGTTTCAAAGATTATCCTCATGGCAGGTAAATACAATAAATTGGAATACCAAGAAACATTTCTCTGTTACCAGTATTACCTTGCTTGGATTTAATCATCAATTTTATCTGTAGACATGCAACAACAAAAAATATAAGAAGAAAGGGTTCATTTTGACTGACCTTGACATAGTCTTGGACACGTTTGAGGATCTTGTCAATGGCTCGGTAAGCTTCCTCCAGAACTGCTGGACCATCGGGCAGCTTGCACAGAAGATTGCGGTAGATCTGTGCCTTGCTTGATTCATGCTGCTCTACGCCAACCTGCAAAATAGAACATACATGAAATGTTAGAAGTAGAGAATCTGCACTGACAGTGTAAACATGAGATCCTTAATGCATATAGGGAATTGATTCTTCTTTTAATATAATCAATAGCATCAACTAATAATTTTCCTGCAACACCCTATAAATCATGAATTTAATACCACATGTGTTTATTGTCATGCAATCTTTATATTTCTTTCATGGGTTGTAAAAAACAAACATACCCTAAATAATACTACTACATATATCATGACTATCATTTCATTTTTCTTGCTACATGAATATAATGTCTTACACTTATAATCTCATCTGACATCATCATCATCACCACGTCATTCTTTATACGTCATTGTCACAAATATAACTATCAACATCGTCATCGTCATCAATATAATCACCACCACCATTATGCACCACCAACACCAACCATCACCACCACCATCAAACACACCACAACAACCACCATCTCTTAATCTCTTCATATAACTATCAACATCATCGTTATCCACATAATCACCACCACCATGATGTACCACCAAAACCCACCACCACCATCACCACCACCATCAAACACACCACCACAACCACCATCTCCTCTCATCTTCTCACCTGGTATCTGGAGCTCTCTAGCCTCCTCTGGTTGATGATGATACCCTCCCAGTTGAAGAGCTGTTGCATGAGCTGATAGCGTGCCTCTTCCACAGGAGGTGAGAGGTACATCACTTGGTTGGTGATGCGGATCTCATGGATCAGACCCTGAAAAGTGCAATGATAATCAGAATTCAGTAAGGAATAGTTTGACAAACAAAATTATCAGAATATGTTCACTATAATTTCTGGAAAGGGATAAGTGGTGTCTGAGAAAAAGACTTGGCATAAAATGCAAAGTACCATAAAATGATGAACAATAATTTAATTACTTATAAATTCATTTAATAATTTTTTGGACATATTTTGTTATCAGTAATGAAATGGGACCATTTCTTAGTTTTACAATGAATTTATCATAAATGAAGGAAATGAACAGGTCTGTACCATTTCTAGCAATTAAAAACATGGGAAAGCACTTTTCTTATTTTGTGCCTATTCACACAATCTTGAATACACCACTGCTATTTGAAATTGAATACAAAATTATAATTCACTCTGTTTCCCATTCAATAATCAATTCTATTAATCTTCCACAATCTACAGATCACTCTTTTTGAAATGGAAGTAAAATATAAAATGATTCTGACCGTGATCTTGGGATCTCCTCCTGGTCTGACTTTAGCTGGTCCATCAGTGTCCATGTTGTCCTCCATACCTTGTCCATCCTCACCAAGGAGGCACTTGGTCCAGGCCCGGATGCCAGCTTCCAGACGTTTGGCTAGGCGCTTCTCAACCTGATAAAAAGAAACAGTTCAAAACTTTGCATGAGCATCTGATATAGATTTAATCGTTTAATCACAGTTTCACAATATCAATCCCTCAATTAAACACTTTTTTTTGTCTGCCGAGCTAACTTCCTTCTTTGTGTGTTTTATTTGTTTTCAGGGAATTGTCACAAGAAATTTCATATTTTTGTATTGAAATTTTCACACCGCTAAATAGCCAGCAACCCTACAGCTGTAATGTCTAATTGCCTAATTAACACTGACATAACAAACTTCCTTTGAATAAAAGACTTCCAGTTTAGACTCATTACATTATCTCAATTTTATACTGAGAACATTCTTTACTCAGCTCATATTTGCTAGGGGTCTTCCATAGATTTGTAAATATTGCAATTTGAAATGCCACTATTTGAATACTTTAGGGTTGACACGATAATAGTACAAAGTATGTCTGTACTGTAGACAAACATACCTCTTGATCAAGCTTGGCCACCCATTGTGGCAGGTTGGAGTAAGAGTGAAGACTGAGATCATCGACTGCCTTCTGGACTTTACTCAAGATCTCGGCCAGGATGATGGGGGCGTACTGGCAGGTGTCAAGAGCATGGACCTCATCATCGATTCTCTCCTCAATCACTAGCAGGTCGTCCACCTAACAAAGGAATGTTAACATTACATCATCAAAGTATTGTATCTTTGATTATCACAGAGGAGCATGAGATGCATTAAATAAAACCCTTTGATGGTATAGACAATAAATTAGAATTGATCTATGTTTCCTAAATATGGAAAAGTTTATGGTATACCTGTATCATTAAAATAACAATATGGAATTTGGGATTAATTTACAGTACAACAGCAGCTATTGGCAAACTCCAGACATTGAATGTTCATTAGGTGTAAACAATTATAAGAAAATGATAAAGATAAGTTAATTTTTGGAAATATTCATATAACTATCGTCATTAACAAGAGGAAGCAAACATGTAACAAATAATCTGCATACTACAGAATGCAACAGTAAGTGGGAGACAAAACTTCTTTAGACAATATGCAAAAGTTGATATTACCTTCTCCTGGTAGTTGAAGACAGCCTCAGACAGCTTCTGCACATAGTTGTCTAGCTTGTAAGATTCCCATGCAAGATGAGATCCCTTCATGGTAAAGAAACAGAAATAAATCAAAATGATGATCGTGACTGTTACATTATAATAAATTTTTAACTCGTTGATTTATGTCCTAATGCCACAATAAAACAATAGATTTAAATGTGATATTTGTACATGAATAATTGTAGATTCTATATTCCTTCTGCATTAAAATAGAGAAACACGAGTTAACATATTGGCAGTACAACCATTCACACCTTCTTAGCCAGATAGGCAAGACATCAATAGATGCAAAGTACAATACAACTAATGAGGAACTGGATATATATATCCTACAATGACAACATTTACCCCAGAAAGTTTTTAACACATTCTAAGAATCATAAAAAACTGAGAAACTTTAGATTTTTCATATGATGATAAATATTGCATTTATGATTCCATACCTCTGAGACGAGTCCTTGGACGTCCTTCTTCAAACCAGCCACCAAGAGGGTGATGGAAAAGCGCTCCTCAACCTTTGAATATACATAACATTGTAAGTATATCAATAAACACAAGAATGTAGAGTCATACAAATGAATTAGAAGAAAATACAAATTACAATGCTTTGCTTCAAAAGATACAGCTTCCAGTACTAAAGTGAATCGGTAATATTGTTGGAAGGTTGATGAAAAAACTGTAATTTTTGTATGAAATGTTACTTATTATATTCCCTCTAACATGCAAACAATCCTAGAATTTGTTTAAACCACAAAGATATTTATAGTTTTCTTTGAAGGCGTCACTGTGCAACACCCTCTAACAGTAAATTCTCCCAAACAATTTTTGAGTTTTAATTGAAGGGTTTAATTAAACATAAAGAAAAAGACCATTATCTAAAAACTGTAAATACTTCTATGAAGAACAGTGTACAACAAAAATTATACATTGGTTGTCTCTTTATACACAGTATCAATGACACAAAGGAAGAAGCTGAATAATAAACGTAATGTAGACTGTAAGGCTTTGATTACCTTCTCATTGGTGCGCTCGTACGTGCGTACACTCTCAATGAGGGAGATGGCGAAGGGGTAGAGTTGGTTAGCCTGGTGGGCTTTGTTGATGATAGCCAGAGGGACACGGAATCCCATCCATTTTAGGTTGCGCACCTGTAAAAGAATAAGTTCAGAAATGTATGAAGATTACTGGAGTGGAAGGTACCATCATGTACACCCAAAAAAAAAAACTTTCAGTGGAATTGGTGATAAATTGCATACAAAATGAAGAAAATTATAGGAACTGGCTACTTTGGAGAATGGAGATGCCAATACAATTACTTTAGAGTAATATTCCCAATTGAATGACAGGAAACCTAAATCTTAATCCGTAGCAGCAACACAAATTTATAATTCAGATGGTTAAAACAAACTGCATGAATGTGGGGAATGTGTATCAGGATATTTATTAATAGAGAGAGATAAGAAGAAAGGAACCTGATCAGGTCTTTAAATGTTCCTTGCTCACAACAAACAACTGTTCCTTACTGCACAAATATCATCACAGTTTCAGACAGAAGCATACATGATCACATCTGGGGAATAACAGATATCTGGTAATTGTGGAAAACGCCACATCATTATCCTTTCACCAAGTCTTTATTATCAAGTTCTCACCTCTTTGGAGAGAGTGATGATGTCTGGTAGGAAGTTGACTTTGAGTCTGAGTGCGTTAGCAGCCTTGGCTCCGATCCTGGCCCTGATGCTCTCAATGGTGAAGATCCTACCGGATACACCCAGCTGGCGCATTTGGACCTGGAAGAAAGGAAAGGCATATATTTTGCAATCAACAATACTGTTACAATTAAAAAGAAAAGAGTATTTTATATACATCTTTAACGTGTATGCTCACAAGCAAATATGAAGCAATGGATAGGAGTTCTCAATATGCAGGTCCTTGCAAAATATATCCTTAAACAATGACAAAATCAAAATCTTCTGACATATATTTAACGTTGAAACACAACAAATATCTAATCTTAAATGGTCTAATTAAATAGTACATTCCAAATAACATCCTTGTACCAACCAAGAGGCTAGTTAGAGTGAAAACATACCTTTCTAGACCATTCATCAAAGAGCTCTTGTGTGTCCAGCTTGGCCCTAAAGCTATCACCATCAGCCTTCAATCGCTGACCCTCTACATGGTTCTCCCATCCTTTGCCAAGGACATCCTCGACACGGTGCATGTAGGCTCCAAGCTGGCGGTCAATCTATCAAATAAGATAATACAATTTAATGGTAAGTGATCAATTGCCCATATTTTCTAACATTAATATCTTGATCTATTTTGAAGAATCCAATATAAGATATTACTCTTATGCGTCCTCCAAGTGTGAAAATGTTATCTCAAGTTGGTTGTCACATGGAGCAGATGCACAGAAGTGGATGTTTCTAGAGCATGGATAATTTCTATCTACCGGTAGGCCATAAATTTCAGTTTACCTTGCAGTTACAATATTCATAAAAATCCTTCAGACAGATATTGAGGAAAATCAATCTTCAGGTCAGGAATATACCACCTCTACAGATAAGCACCAGTCTGATGACACAAAGATATCTATATGATTTACCTGTCTTGCCCAGATGATGGATCCAGAAACGGGTGGTAGATCTCTCACTTTGCTCATCTTGCATGCCTTGCTCTGGGGGTATTGCACCTGTAAAAGAACACAACAATATATTCTGAATTCATCAATACATATTCAGATAGCATTTTAAGAATAAATTCTCAAACCCAATGTATTCAATACAGCACTATATATCTGAAAATAAAACCCCACACACAAGAAGTTACTGAATTCGTACAGTAGCCAAACACTCTCTCTAGTCATTGATAAAGCATTAACAGTGAGCCCTGACCTTACAGACTTTATATGAATATTTCTATCAAACTATTATATGTTTAATATACATATATATCAGCCAAAGATATTTTGTTTCTACCATTATGCAACATGTAGTCTTGGAGTAGAAACATATCTTAATATTTAAATATACATGTACATGTATCCTACAAGCCACACAGAAATTAACATGTAAGACAGACTTGCAAAAGAGCAGAAGAGCACAGGTCATAAACGATAGTGCTAACAAACCTTAAACTTGTCATGCAGGGACTCAATGTCATCTTTGACCCTCTGAATGAGCTGGGTCTGGTATTCCCTGATGGCACCGCGGATGTGAGGGCGAACAAACAGGGCATTGAAGCGAGAAAAGATGCGGAACATCTCGTTGGCGTTCTTAGCTGTGCCAAGCTGGTCACGGAGACGAGCTGTGATACGGGTCTCGACACGGTCGATTCGCTCGTCGTATCGCTTCATGGCAGCCTCCCATGCTTCCGCTCCTTCCTTGCTAACATCCAGACCATCCACTTCCTTCACATTCTCGTAGGCCAGGTTCACTTCCTATATATGGATAAAAAGATGAAATTCAAATTCAAGAACAAATACATGAATCTAATTAAACCAAAACAAATCAAAATATTTCAGCTAACTTTTTTTTCCTTTACACAATGCATTCAATTTTATCTAAAATAGACATAAGCACTTCATTGCTATTAACAGAATCCGCATCTTGTGAAATGGAAAAAGACCCCTTCTCATAATATAAAGGGAATAGATTTTTGGATTGGATTCTCACTGATCAGTACTTATGATTGATACAAATAAATCACAAGTCTCTGTATCAATGGCCCTGATCATCTTACCTCTATGGCATTGGCATCAGCAGAATCCATCATGAGTTCATTGAGTTTAGCCTGGGATGGTTCCTCGCTTGGGGTAGCCCCAGGGCTGCTGGGCACCTGAGCAGTGACAGCTGGGCGCAACACACGGACAATCACTGCTCGTAGCTGCTCATGTTGGCGACGGAACCTGGAGCATAAAACGAAAAGTGCACAATGATTAGATACTATAAGTAAACATATACTTAACAAGATTATCAGTACACTGTGTGTTGTTGTTTCTTAATTTCAGAGAAAAGGAAATGTTTTGAAAATACTTCTTTAAAAATTGAAAATAGTAATCTTCCTTCAAAAACACAAAAGACTCAAAGAGTGTCAACATAGTAAGCATTTTTTAAAACTTTTCTGCTTCTGCTGAAATGACCCATGCAAATGTGTCGAGAATGACTCTACTCTCAATAAATGCTTACAACCCTTAAACACTCATATCCTCTTGAAAATGTAGGTCTCTTGATCCTTCCCATTTTATTATTATCCGTACATGTCCCCATCCACCCGCATCTCTCCCACTCAATCTCACTTACTTCCTCATCTGTTCAAGTCTATTCTGGAGCTTCTTGTGAGCTGGGTTGACCCTCCACACCATCTTCAGACTGTCCTCTCTCTTCTTCTTGACGATGTCCCTCAGGAGTGATTGTAGCTTCTCGTACTCATCGTCCCACCTGCCGAACACCTCAAAACAAGCATTCATCACCTTCTCAAACTCCTCGTGGCTGATGTGCATCAGACGACGAGTACCAAGGACCTGTGATTAAGAAGAAGGGGGAGGGGGTGGGGGGAGGGGGTGGGGGGAGGGGGTGGGGGGAGGGGGGGGATGGTTATCAATGGAATTTCAAAGTTACTTCTCATATTATATGCATAATCTTTACCCGGAGGCATCCACTTTGAATTACAAAATCTGTTACAGAGGCCTATTCCAAATACAGTGCGTCTATTTATAGTGACCACTTTAACTGTATCCATTGAATAGGGGTTCTAGTACATATACTTACAAATAATTGATTAAGTTTCAGTGCATGACATACAGTTTAATGTATTAAAAAAAAACAGGTATCCAACAAATAGTCCAAATATATATCAAGTGGTACCTGAATCATAATTTTACATTAATTTCACTTAAAAATCAGAGGGTAGGAAGTAAGGACCTACCTTCAGCAGCTGAGAGCTAAGGTCTCTAGAGATGGCTTCAACCAGACGAAGTGCACGCTGGATGGGGTACTTGGTGTTACGGATCTTGCGCAAGTGGAGGAAGATAGCCACCAAGGCTTGGCGGATGCGGTCCAGCTCAGTGGCGGACAGGAGGTCATTGAGGGGAAAGTCCTTCATCAGGGGACTGTAGTTGGCAACTGTGGCAAGAGCTTGCTTCAGGCCTGGTGGTGGGAGAGAAATAAAGGTAATTACATCAAATCATACAATTTAATTAATTGAATACATGAAAACAACGATAAATTAAAGATGACAGAACCTCCATGAGGCCAAGCGTAAGTTGATAATGTTGATGATTATGACGATGATTATGATGGTAGCAACAGTGATGATGGTAGTTGTGTGGGTGACGATGATGATTATGGCAAAGACTGTGATGTTGGTGATGTAATATAACTCAACAGAACAACTTCCCCATAAATTGCCACAATGGCAAATATTCATTTCAATGCAGTCAGATTTTGAAGCAAATAGAAGCAAAAATCATAATTTTATGTCATGATGAGAGGATAACTTACCAGTGTCTGTGTCAAAACTGACAGTAGCGTGGAAGCGCTTGCCATGCTTTAGGATGTCTAAGGTCAGGGCCACTTCTGGACTCTCTCTTTTCTCCTGGATCTTGAGCAGGGCACGCTCCAGGTTGAGCCAGAAGCTGATCTCCTGCAGGGCAGTGCCTGAGGCTGGGTCTCTGTCCAATTTAGTGACCTGTGCAATGTAATAAGGGTGATAATGTTCTTTGGATGCCATTCAACAAGACATGATGAAATTATTTTTCTATAATGGAATCCTTCTGTAGGGCCATAGTCGATTATACATTTTGTTCATAAATGCCTATTAAGCTTCAAGCAGATCCATCTTGATACCAAATGTTATTTGCATCCACTATTATGTTCTTGGTAGCTTGATTGTGCTTATTTCATGTGACTGTTGACTATGCAAGCATATACCTGGAGGTAAGTTTGAGAGTACCTAAATCTTGGTCCTATTTGACTGACCTAACCTAAGGATAGAAAGACACTGACTCGGTATCAGCCCAGGGCTGTCAGTCTCCAAGTCACATTGCTTCCTCAATTTATTTTTATTAACACAATACAAACACTAAAATCACTATATACATATACAAACATTCAAGTAAAATGTTACAGCAATATTTGTCTCCTGCTGCATGGATAAACTTTATTCAGCATGTCACCTTCTGTATTTCCCTGATCCATCGGTTGACTCCATGCTGTAGGGTGTTGAGGAAGGTGGAATCCTCGGCCTTGTCAGCAAAGTCGATGACCTTTGGCTTGCGACCCTCATCTCCACACTTCCTGATCATGGTAGAAACTACCGGATTGATGGGTAGGGTGACATCGGGAATGTCAATGTTCTGCTGGAGATGGAGGAGACCCATCTCGAGCTCGGCGATCTTTTTCTCCACAGAGGGAGCCATCTTATCTCCATCCCTATCATTTAAAATGGACATGAAAGATGCAATGCATGAATTCACTGTATTCTTCATTTTTTTAACTTTAAATTATTTCAAACAGATGGATACAATTACAAGATTTAAATTTCATATAGTAATAGATTTGATCTCTTAGGAGATTTATTGAATGTTTAAGTGATTAATCATTTAATTATTTATCCACGTGGAAAGTACTATATAAATGTAATTATTATTCATCATATTAGGATCATTCAACCTGCCATATTATATGTTTGCAAAATGTTCAATTTTTTTTAATGATGGATATGTAAAAAAAATGTTGATCTACACTTGACAGGTTCAGATCTTTCAAGATCTTTCAAAATCTTTATTTACACAAATTACTGTTTGTTGTGACCAACCTGTCAACTTTTCCAGATGCTCTCACATAGGACTTGAAGTAGGGTGCAACTGCTGTGCTGACATAGGCGTGGAGTGTCTCAAAGGGAGAGCCCTCACTCAGGTTGATGACACGGAGCTGGCTTGAGATACACTTGTCTGCATCAATGATGAGCCCCTTCTTCAGGAACACCAAACTAAACACATATAGACAAAATATGGTCAGATGTATTTGAACATCAAAGCATCAACATGGAAATAAACAAATCTTTTGACAATTTCCTATACATTGATGAAGAGCATTTCTAGATTTTTCTATTTTAACAAATCAAATTATTCTCCATTTATTGCATACTATACATCAATACATGTACATACACTATCTTTCGCTTGGCGGTGTTTAATGTCATAATCTGAAATCTTGGCAAGCCCATGTAAGAGATACTGACCCTTCAATAAAAAATCTCATCAGAAAAGCTGTACTTGCATTCTACTTACGAAAATACATTGTTAAACTTATCTCTGCTTTTTGTTTAAATACTACCTAAATGGTGGAAGTAAACAGACAATCTTTGGCATATATATTCAATGTATTACTGAAGGAATCTTTGCCTTCATGAACTAATCACAAAGCTTGTCACCTTCTTGCATTCCTACATGACATGTTTACCTTGCCATCTTGCTGTTGTAGAATTGAACCTCAACACCAACAGTGTAGGTGACCTCTGGTTCGTCTCCTGGAGCATCAGGAGAGTCTGTGTTCTCCTCTTCCTCTTCATCTGTAATAGCAAATATCAGAAAATTGATTTAAATAGAAGAAATTTGTGGTTTTGTGAAGATGGAAAAAAAAAATTACTTTTTTTTTTCACACTAACAGTGTTTACACACAGCTTTGAAATTATGTGGTTGATGCACAAGTCATATTTCATTCTTAAAACCACAATTAAAAATCACATTTAATAGGGGCTAACATTCACTTTTTATTTTTCAATAAACATTAAGTAATTTACTGATTTTTATTTACAAGAAATTTTTTATTAAGTTTTAACCTAGATCGTACATTTAATAATTCAGGAATAACATATTTATATTCAGGTGTTCTCCTTATTTCAATCAACATATGTCATGAAGATATAGTGGAAACAAGGGAAACGCTCTCGGCGGTCTCGCCTGCATAACACAATTCAATATAATAAATCAGAACGTCATTGACGTAGCGCTCATCCGCATCTCGCAACAACAAATATTGTAAATTTTATGTGGTACACTTTTGAACTGGTCAAAAAATAAAAATTTGATGCCCTGGAAGGGACATAATTTCATTTCATTTGCATAAAGTACCATAAATAATCAATCGAGCAAAATCTCACAATTCTGGGTAGAAGTTTAGTGTTCCAAATTTAGCTCTACCAGATAAGGCAAACCAAATCAAAATCGGTCAAGAAATGAGGGAAAAGAAGCAATTTTTGTTATTTTTGGAATAAATTTGCATAAATTACCATAATTAATTAATGGAGAACAATTTCAAAATTCTGTGCAGAAGTTTAGGGTACCAAAGTTAGCTCTAAGATATAAAGCAAACCAAATCAAAATCGGTCGAGAAATGAAGGAGAAGAAGCCTTTTTTGTGATTTCGAATAAATTTGCATAAATTAGCATAGATAATGAATTTCACGATTCTGTGTAGAAAATATAAATCCCCCTCCTAGCCCTATCATATGAAACAATCAGAATCAAAATCGGTTGAAAAATAACGAAGAAGAAGCATTTTGAAAATCTTGATGTTGATGCCACAACAAAGTCTAAGTTTGTTGACCTTAAATGACCTTTGACCTTAACTTAGTGACCTGAAATTCTACTCACATGATTGGGGAGACTTGATAACCCTATAGTCCAAGTTTCATTGACTAAGAACTTATACTTTCAAAATTATATCAAAAATTCAAAAACTTAACCTTAGGTTAAGTTTTCGATAATGATGCTACAACAAAAAGCGGCACCTATGTCTCGCGTTTTGCTACGCAGGCGAGATAAAAATGGTTCCCAACTGAAAAAATAATTAAGGAGATCTACATTTTGTTTAGAGCTTGAATTGCTATAATTCCCTAATGAAACGTAAAGTGAATCTAACACAAATAAACTAAACCACCCCAAAGATTATGACTGTAATTGAAACGTGTGGGAATAGAGGGAGAGGAGTAGTACTACACCTACATGTATCATACATGTTAACTAGCGTCATGGACCAACCATGAGTCATAACAAAAGGAAACAGTCCATTAAATATTGATCTACTTCATTAGCAATTTTCCATGATCAGTACAACCGCTATACATGAACATTATGTGAAGTAGGGTTTTACATGTTCCATTCTTATCATTTAATTACATTTTCAATATTACTGTAGATTTATTCATTTCATATGTCAACAAAGAGAGAGGGGTACATGTATGTTACTTAGGCCATTATAAGCTCGATAGACTGCCACTGTGTCTACATTTAGTTAACAGTCATGAACTTTTGAAAAGTGAATAATCATTGTGGTTAGCCGGTTAAATTGTGTGTTTGGTTCATGTCCAATAATTCAGTGTTCAGTTCGAAAGACATGTAGCAAGTGAATAATATGCTGCATACATTGAATCCCTTTTAACAAAAAGCAAATTATTTAATGAAGGATTTAGGATTTAGCCACAAAGGACAAATACAGAAAATTAGCTTGTCAGACGTTTTTTCTTTCAAATGCATTATGATTTCAAAGAAGTAGGGGATTTGCATTATGTAGTAAACAAGAAGTTTGCATATTTTCAGCAAAATTTTGCAATTTACTTACTCAGCATCTACTCAGCAATATCAATTTATAAACATAGCATTACACAAATCATGGGTGTCTTTAGAGATAATAAAACAAGCCACTCTGATGAATGTAATTATACTTAGTTTTCATGAAATAAACTTTCATAAACTTCTGAATCACAATTACATGTACAAATATGAATATAATGGTTATTGTGCATTGTTGGGTGTTCATGTAGATATTTATCAGGGCTTTTTCATTCACTGGATTAATGATTCTTTGGTTCTTTTATTGAAATTACATCTTGTTTAAAAAGGATTAGTTTCTTGCAATTAAGCGTTATAATCTATCAGAACTAAAGTTACAATACATGTAAGAGAGGTCTATTCTTTTGTCAATAATTAAACTAGATAAATTTGACAATCAAATTACATGTATATCAGAGTATGAAACCTAAAAGTTATTGAGGCTCTATTTTCTTTTTTATCATCTTTTTATGTATCTTTCCCTTTTCAATTTCTCTTTATTTAACAAACTATTAGTTGTAATTATACATTTTGTTATATAAATGTATCAATTGTTAAAGATGATCTTATAAATCTTAGCAACACACATAAACACAGCATCATTTTACACTGCCATCCCCACTGATGTTGTGTCCGAACATCAATCTTTCATAACATATAGGGTGACATCAATCTTTCAAAACACATGTTGACAATAATCAATCATTATGGAAAATATTAATAAAAGAAGCTTTTGCAACAGTACTCCCCTTTTTTTGGTAAAATCAAAATACAAGGGTGCCCCACCACTAACCCTGTATATGGCTGTAACCAATGATCAGGGGCCAATCGTTGGCCAATCAGCAGAAATCAGATTTAAAAATTTGATCACCGATCAATGGAAATGATTGAAAAATTGGCTTTAAAAAATATTTTTTTAATGCTGAAAATTTTCAAGTTCAAGTTTTGGGCTACCAAAAGATGGCGGATAGCATGTTTTGCCTCCTCTCTTAGACTAATATTATCAATTTCAAAATCATGAAAAGGCGCTTCATATCAACAAACATGGTAGTCAACAACTCCAAATGACAAAATACTCCCAAGCTTTGCATGTTTTGGATGGCCCAAAACTTGAACAATTTCAGTTTTTTTTTTCTTCTGATCATTTTTTCAATTTTTGATATTTAATGGCATGAAAATAGTTTTAAACATGGACTTTGTACTTCAATTGAGAAAATTATTCAAGGTATGAGTGAATTAAGGTATTAGAGTGCTCAAAATTTCAAGTATGGTGGTGTGACCATAGTTCGCGCGTGACCTAAGTTCGCTATCTCAAAAAATCGGTAAGATTTCGAAAAATTTGATATCATGAATGGAAAGAGGAACACAAAATTACCCAGGGACAAAGTTATGAAAATATTGAGAAAAGATCAGCAAATTTTGCAGTCATTTGCATCCGTTATTAACTTACAGATAAAGCCGGTCTGGGAATCTTCATTTTGAGAGCAGATATCCTCAAAATTGCAAGTAAAAAGTGGTACCAATTGATTGTATAATATATTTTGCCTTGCAAATCATGATATTACCTTATTTTTGATGGATCACATTTTTCGATAAATCAGCTATAAACCCCCGTGCGCGAAGTAATGTCTTGTTGTTTTTATGACTATTTAAGTTGCAGCGTTCACGCGGATCTGACATCAAATTATTAGATTGCGATATCTCTGGGATCCTTTGACAATAATTTTTCTAGTTGAACCAATTTTTAGACAAAAACTTTGCCTTCCATTTGGTAATAATTGAACTTAATAAAATTGTTTAGAATATGAGAAATTATAGATCGAATATCACACTCTTTAAAATCTCTGCGAACTTTGGTCACCCCTTCAGCTTCGTACAACAGTAAAAAAAAAAAAAAAATTAAAATGCCGAAAAATGTTGAACCGATACTCTTTGCCGATACCGATCAAAGGTGCGAGGGTGATGCTCCCATCTTCCGATACGATCAAGCCCCAACCACAACCCCCATGTTGCAAATCAGACTAGACTCCATATTCACTCCACTGTCGGACTGCACAGCCACAGCACAATGTCTCAACACAATTTTTCATTGTCACAAAAACAAAGCCCAATCTGATCTAAAGTTCGAATATATTTTTTAGCTGAATAGTTTTAAAATTTGATAAGATTAAAGAAGACTTTATCACATTATTAACTGACTTTATTTGTTTATATTTTACCTTTTGTTACACTTCTCGCAATCAGTAGACTTGGAGACTGAACATCTGACAGGAACTTTTTCATGTATTCCTGGTGCACTCTGTGCGCAAGGGCGTTGTCCAAAGCAGCAGACGGCTCTCCATCTTCCAACAACAAAGGTACGATTTTACGCAAATAATCAATCAAAACTGTCACATCCGCGACAGCCTGAGAGCTTTGACTTTCTGTGTCGCTGTTATCAGCCATGATGCCGAAGCATCTGTTATAATAACAGCTAAAACATCAATTTAATGAGAAGATGTCGATTTCTAGTTGTTCCCTTCCACATAGGCAACACACAGAAAGACCGATCAATGAATTATACATGTAGAAGACTAGCCGACGAATTTCCCCCAAAATCAATGAGAAACGGAAGCTATGGTGTCTCTAAAACATGAACACTGCAAACTTTTTTCGCATATTTTTTGTCATCTCGCTGTAATTTATGAAGTAAATACTAGACCTACACAATTATCTCATCAATAATCGAAATTTCAACCCAAAAAATGGAGGCAAAATAATAATGAGATAAAAAGCAATAAATGCGAACACACCAACCCAAGTATTTATCATAATAGGTTTTTAGGGGTATAATGCCATTAATAATACTGTGGAAGAAATTGATCCTCTTTTGAGTGATAGAATCTTCTAGTGCTTGTAAATATTTTCAGGCCACTAGGGCAGGTGATGCTAATGTGCAGCACCCTCAATTTCCAAAAGATTTAACATACAACACGGAGACGTCATAATGAAATTCTTTAATTGCATAATTGGAAGAAACACTTTTTCACTAACCACATGATATGTAATTTCAAAATGCATCGACGAAGAGTACTTACCGATATTGTATCAACATGCCGAGGTCACAATCATGCCCCAACTCACCATCGAATAGCTGTAAAGCTTTTTGTTGCTAAAGCAGGCAGCTAGTGAAAACGAATGTGTTTAATAAAATTATGAAAATGCAAGCCTTAGTTTACAGAATGTTGTTTTTTCTTGCTTATTTTTCATGATTGAGGTGTCATATGAATGGGCAAAAACTGAACTTTCTAGCAATGTGATTTTCTCTTTGAAATTCAAATACCGACGTCCGCCAAATGACTTTTTGGTTCCCTCTCTTCAAATTGGTTTTAATCTTAAGCTTAAAAAATATGTGTCATTTATTAATTATAATTGTAATTAAGCTATGATAAAACATCGATAATTCTTAGTTTCGTTTTTTTCTGGGACGCATTGTATAATATAATTCAAATATTTGGGTATATTTCATCTGAAATAATGTTTCATCCTATCAACAATAAACAAATTCTATCTGTTGAATTTACATAATTAGGATAAAATTATGAAAGTAGGTACTAGGTTTATATCATAATCTAAAATGAACATAACTTGCAGAAACATGAAGCTCAACTTTCAGGCACTGCTTCTAGTTCAGCCTATTGCAATGCTGCTCCAACGTCACCCTCGTTATTAACACCGTCGCCGTGTTTGTCATCGTGGCTGTCATCGTGTGGCGTAGTCAAATTAGTGATCTCCATCCCCTCTCCTTTCTTTCACCTATATAAAATGAGAACTCTCGCAAAAAATGCAACACATTTAATAGATATTTGTCTTCACAATGATTCGAGTGAAACTTTTTTTTTTTTACATACCTGATATACTTACCTATAGATAACGGATACTAATATTTTCCGACAAGTACTGCATCATGTCCAACTTACAGAGAAAAAAATACAATTACAAAATAGATACAAGGGAGATGGCATAATTAAACTGAGTCTTAAATCTTTGAGCTCGTTTCGGAGTTGCTGACGATGTACAAATATGTACACATATCAGAGTGGTGGGCCAGATCTTGAAAATGATCGACTTCCTCCTTGGTGCCGTGAATGTGGGATGTGAAGAAGGCGAACGCAGTCGATGGACGATAGCTGAACGAAGTCGACGCGGTGGTTCGTAGAGGTGAATGAAGTCCTGGATGCATGTAGATGTAATGCATTGCAGAACCTGAAAGACATGAAGAGAGCGTGTTCAAGCTATTTTGTCATATCTAAGATGTATCAACACATCTTATCACTTTATAAAGTCCCTATTCGTAGCTCTTCAGAATGAATCACAAGAGATATAGAGTAAATGACACTTCTGATGCCAATTTAAGGTCATAATTCCATAATACTCGGTAAAGCATGGAACACAAAATTATTAAAGATTTGACCAGGAATAGGTGCTAAAGGAAACTAGTGCAGTGAATGAAGTATGTGATAGATATGACTCCTGCCTTCACGACATATATCTCTAGAAATACCTTCTATTTAGTCTTTTCTTCTTTGCCGTATTTTCTCATATGTTTATGAATAGACCTAGTTTAATTGCTATGCTAAGAGAGTACCAATACGACACATATCTCTAAAAACATCTTCTCTTTCTTCTCTTATTCATTTTGTCGATTTCTCATCACATCGATATGTAGTTACTATTATAGGATACGATTTGAATATTTTAATGTGGGGATATTACCAATACGTCATTAATGCATTTATTCTCTAAAAGACCATTAATTCTATTACAGTATTTGGTGAGGAATGATTTCCACACTGACTGTAAACATGAGAGCACGTTTTTTTGAATTTCCCATTCAAATTAATAATGTAAATTAATGCTACAATATTAAATCATATCTTGATAATATTAGGTCTAACTGGTTATAAAAAGCTAGTTAACATGGGAATATTACCATAAAGATGTAAGTATATCTTACCACAGATAGTGTCGTTACGTGACGAGAGGTGACGAGAGGTGACGAGAGGTGACGAGAGGTGACGAGAGGTAACGAGAGGTAACGAGACTTGATGAGATGTGACGTGGTGTATCAAAATAATAATGAATATTCAAATTGCCCCCTGAGTTTTAGAACGCAGGTCTTCCAAAAATGGAACTCTAATTTTTCTGAGATGGGTTAGCTAGAGCAAGATCAAATTAGACCCTTACGCTACATTTATGTAAATTAGTCATTATGCTCAACTTCTGCCATCGGTGCCATGAACGTGGGATGTGAAGAGGCTTAACGTAGTCTATGGACGATAGCTTAACGAAGTCGACAAGATCAAAGAAGTCATGGATGTATGCAGGAACACCGCAACGAAATCCTGAAAGACAAAAAGAGAGCGAATCCAAGCTACTTTGTCGCATCAACGATGTATCAACTATACATCTTGTTACTTTATTAAATCTTTAATACTAAGCCTAAAGCTCGAATCAAACGAACAATGAAGGGAATGACAATTCCGATGTCTATTAATGTTCATAATTCCACAATACTTGGTAAAAAGAAAAAAGACTAAAAACTTGCTTGAGACTCGTCAAAGTTTATAATGTGATACAAGAAACTAGTGCTATGCATGAAGGATAGGAGAGATGTGAGTTCTGCACTGAGTGAGTTTTACGACACATATTATCTCTATTTTCTCAACGCATCGGTTTATAGAATGTTCGCAGTTTAAATTTAAGGGTGTTATAGATAGTCCCATATCTACATATATACCTAAACCTATCTTCCTAATATTTTCACGTTAGTCGCAATTTTAATCACATCGGTAGATGAATATATACAAAATGTATGCAGATAGATCTAATCAATTGCCTGGGCAAGATAATACAAATATTGCTAATGAGACTATAGGTACATGTCCTACTCATATTCGTCTTATTTTCTTATTCTAATAAAAAAAAATTGTCAAATTCCATTTCGAGTATAGCAAGCCTACCCATACGACACCTCTTCCTTTTCTTCTTATCTTCATTTTCTTCTCATCTTCTTTGTCGTATGCGATAGGAACGATCTCTGTCCAATAATCATTATTATTAATATAGTATTATTGTTATCGTCATCTTTTCTACAGTTTACCAAGCTAATTAACATAGCAATCACAGACTAAACATATATCAAATATAACGGCAATAATCTATCATATATTCGCCAACAAAATAATAATTCATACTATATCTTACCGAAAAATTGTCGTTACGTGAAGAAACGAGACAAGACGCAACGTGACGCAACGCAACGAAACGAAATGCAACGAGAGGCAACGAGGCATGCCGAGCTGCGAGGATTCGGTACGAAACGTGTCAAATTCGAAAAGTTGGACACTTCATAGATTTTCTACAACGCAACAATCTTCCTGATATAGAGCTCAACATTTTCTGAGATGGGTTAGGGTCAGATTCAAATTAGGCCCTTACACTACATTTATATTAATTAAGCCTATGTGTAATAAATGTTATAGTTTTTTTAATTTTAAACTTAACTCAAACTCAACTTTGACACATCTCAGTAAATCTCAGAGCTCCATTAAGATCAGAAGTGATATTGTTGTATTGTTTACAGGCTAACCTTCACTTGCCCCGACATCTCACGGTTCAGTCTCTGCATTCTCCCCTTCAATCCTGTGATCCAGCGGGAATATGATCCAAACAGTAATTCATGAACATTCCATTTGATCCAAAAAATTGATTATCCAAAAGTCCGTCACTCTCCAATATTGTTCCATTTGCAAAATGATCAGCACCGGTATTATTCCATATCTTAGGTCGTTGTGTAGATCGAGTATCATAACAATCATAAAGTTTGTCTTTATCTTGTATGTTTTCCGGCACAGTCCGATCAACAAACCTCTTGCAAGGTTCGAATCAGTCAGGCCGAATAGGCTAGTTCTCTTCAAGATTCTGACATCAGATACTTCTCAGTTGAATTGTCCTCAGTTTATGACCGTCCGATTTGACGGAATAGTAAAACCTGCTTAGAATCAGCTATGTAGGGTCGAATTCTCTTGCAAGCCCTTTTTCTCCGACACAGGCCCATCAACAAACCTCTTGCCAGGTTCATATCAGTCAGGTTAACATTTTTCTCTGGTAAGTTGTGTACACGATTCTGACAGGTGATTCTCGATAGTGTTGCTTTTAGTTAATAATATTTGAGAGAATAGTTTAGTAGTTCAATGTTGTTTTATTCCATCGTTTACATATCTGGAGATTCTGCTTCCGAAGCAGACATAGCCGTGTTCATTTGGAGATAACCATGATTGCAAATTTATGAGACAATTTAGAATGCTTGCTTGCTTGCTTGCTAAATGAGAAAACCTGATGAAACATGATTGTGTTTCTTTCAGAATATAGAAAGTCGGACGGCAATATGTTTAGGCATCATCGTACGTAGTATGTCCATCGATGAATGAGGATTCCAAGGAAGATTTAATCAGATAAATTTACAGGTTTCTGGTGGAATGAAATCAAGCCTCCTCGATTATTATACAGAGTAGAGTGTCTTTGTATAATTCTTTGCAAATTACCAATAGACAAAGAGATGAATCGTTATGTTCTCATCTCCTGAAAATAAGTTTCATGTCCATTCAAGTTATTGTCCAGTATAGAAGTTCTTGTCCACTGGAGAGGTTAAGAGGTACACTGAATGTGTCTTGGTAAGGTCGATGAACCTGGCTAGATACTGCAACCCCGATTTAGAGTAGTCCGGTGAACATCGCAGACAGCCCTGGAAAACAAAAAGTATATAGAACTGATTATTGTTTATGTTTTGTTTTTCGAAACTGAAGCATTGTAAATATATGAAGAATACTCGTTCTTTTTATTTTTCTTCTTTCCCTAGTCTCTCTTATCGTAGAATTCCCAGACACATAATTTAAACTAATCTTTTTCATATAAGAACTGATTTCATGAAAATATTCTTTTGCCGATTTGGGGGATGAATTCATTGCCACTGTTATTGATTGAAATCAAACTTCATCAAATCGAGCAAGTTATCACTGACAGGTGCCAAGAAAATAAACACCAAAATCGGCGAAAAAATATCGTTATGAATGCAGTTTTCCACATGAAATGACTTGCAACAAAAGCAAAGAATAATTCTAATATCAATTTTTACGGTCCTAAAAAAAGTTAATATGTGGTATAATTTTAAACATTGACCGATTCCTACCTGGTTGTAATCCTGGTCGTCGTCATCAGTTTGGGAGTTGCCCTGGTAGTGACTCTGGTAGTCGTCCAGTTCGTCGTCGTCGTCTTCTCCACGCTGCAATATAAATGAATCTATTTATTTAATCAATCTAATCTGCCAGTAATGCTTCGCTCGATCACAGAAACCGCTATTCCGTACTTCATTGATGAAACGCCAATTCCAAGAATGTAAATTGTAAATCGCAATGAGAGAGCATACCGTCATGATCTTTAATGTATTGATGTGGTAAAATGATTTAACTATGTCATTGCTGTTTACCTGTTCTTCTTCATGGACGTCACCATAGTCATTATCCTGGCCGTCACCGCCCTGCTCGTCTCCTTTGTCGATATCAACCTGGTAGGTCGACATCATCCTCGTTGTTGCTGCTGGTCGTCACCCTGCAACATAAATGAATAGATAATTTTATACTCTTCTTTAATTCCCTGGCAAGGCCAGAAATGGTCAGTTACGAGTTACGACACAAGTTCTGTCCAGTGCACGATGTAGGACCTGAAGTTGTCATTTTAAATTCCTCATGGTCTTTGAGAATACAGGTGTTTCATTGTCTCTATTCTGTTTCTATGACTAAAAGGGGATGAATATACATGTAACATCATGGCTAACATCAATGTTTCTCTTCAGGATCTTCGATAAAGTTATGTGGTAAAACGGTTCATATAATTTAACTACTATGTACCTGATCGTCACCTTTCGTCCTCCTGGTCACTATCCTAGTCATCATCAACCTGACAGTCGCCCTATCCGCCGTCATCCTGGTAGTCATCCTCTTTGCCGTCACCCCGATAGTAACCCTATCAGCCGTTACCCTGGTAGTCATCCTTCTCGCCGTCAACCTGAAAGTAACCCTTCCCGCCGTCACCCTGGTAGTCATCCTTCTCGCCGTCAACCTGAAAATAACCCTACCCGCCGTCATCCTGGTAGTCATCCTTCTCGCCATCAACCTGAAAGTAACCCTACCCGCCGTCATCCTGGTAGTCATCCTTCTCGTCATCAACCTGAAAGTAACCCTTCCCGCCGTCACCCTTGTAGTCATCCTTCTCGCCATCAACCTGAAAATAACCCTACCCGCCATCAACCTGATAGTCATCCTTCTCGCCATCAACCTGAAAGTTAATCTACCCGCCGTCACCCTTGTAGTCATCCTTCTCGCCATCAACCTGAAAGTAACCCTACTCGCCGTCACCCTGGTGGTCATCCTTCTCGCCATCAACCTGAAAGTAACCCTACCCGCCGTCACCCTTGTAGCCATCCTTCTCGCCATCAACCTGAAAGTAACCCTACCCGCCGTCACCCTTGTAGTCATCCTTCTCGCCATCAACCCGAAAGTAACCCTACCCGCCGTCATCCTGGTAGTCATCCTTCTCGCCATCAACCTGAAAGTAACCCTACCCACCGTCAACCTTGTAGTCATCCTTCTCACCTTAACCTGAAAGTAACCCTACCCGCCGTCAACCTTGTAGTCATCCTTCTCGCCATCAACCTGAAAGTAACCCTACCCGCCGTCACCCTTGTAGTCATCCTTCTTGCCATCAACCTGAAAGTAACCCTACCCGCCATCAACCTTGGTAGTCATCCTTCTCGCCATCAACCTGAAAGTAACCCTACCCGCCGTCACCCTTGTAGTCATCCTTCTCGCCATCAACCTGAAAGTAACCCTACCCGCCGTCACCTTTGTAGTCATCCTTCTCGCTATCAACCTGAAAGTAACCCTACCCGCCGTCACCTTTGTAGTCATCCTTCTCGCCATCAACCTGAAAGTAACCCTACCCGCCATCAACCTGATAGTCATCCTTCTCGCCATCAACCTGAAAGTAACCCTACCCGCCGTCACCCTTGTAGTAATCCTTCTCACCATCAACCTGAAAGTAACCCTTCCCGCCGTCACCCTTGTAGTCATCCTTCTCGCCATCAACCTGAAAGTAACCCTACCCGCTGTCACCCAGGTAGTCATCCTTCTCGCAGTCAACCTGAAAGTAACCCTACTCGCCATCAACCTGATAGTCATCCTTCTCTCCATCAACCTGAAAGTAACACTACCCGCCGTCACCCTGGTAGTCATCCTTCTCGCCATCAACCTGAAAGTAACCCTACTCGCCATCACCCTGGTAGTCATCCTTCTCGCCATCAACCTGAAAGTAACCCTACTCGTCGTCACCCTGGTAGTCATCCTTCTCGCCATCAACCTGAAAGTAACCCTACTCGCCATCACCCTGGTAGTCATCCTTCTCGCCATCAACCTGAAAGTAACCCTGCCTGCCGTCACCCTGATGGTCATCCTCCTCGCCATCAACCTGAAAGTAACCCTACCCGTCGTCACCCTGGTAGTCATCCTTCTCGCCATCAACCTGAAAGTAACCCTACCCGCTGTCACCCTGGTAGTCATCCTTCTCGCCATCAACCTGAAAGTAACCCTAACCGCCGTCACCCTGGTAGTCATTCTTCTCGCCATCAACCTGAAAGTAACTCTGCTCGCCGTCACCCTGATAGTCATCCTTTTTGCCATCAACCTGAAAGTAACCATACTCGCCGTCACCTTGGTAGTCAACTATCTCGCCATCAACCTGAAAGTAACCCTACTCGCCGTCACCTTGGTAGTCATCCTTCTCGCCATCAACCTGAAAGTAACCCTACTCGCCTTCATCCTGGTAGACATCCTTCTCGCCGTCACCCTGGTTTTCATCCTTCTCGCCGTCACCCTGGTAGTAACCCTACCCGCCGTCACCCCGTTAGTCATCGTTCTCGCCGTCACCCTGGTAGTCATCCTAACCGCCGTCACCCTGGTAGTCGCCTTCATTTGCGTCACCCTGGAAGTCGTTCTTTTTCCATTTTTGTATTGTAAAAGAATAGAAAATGTTACATTCCTGTATAAATGACGGGCAAGACAAGGAAATTTCAAAGGAAATTTCAAAGGAAATTTCAAAATGTCAACAACAACAACTTGAAGATGATGACGTCATAACTGCACTTCATGCCTATCTTCGAACTGTATTTAACCTGGTCATCATCCTATTCGTCACTCTGGTCGTTTTCATACTTGCCATCACCTGAGTAGTCTTTTGCACCCTGGATGTTGCTCTGGTCTTCATCATGGTAGTCACCATCGTTATCTTCTTTGTGCTGCAATACAAATTAGAAGACTCTATACTCTAGTATAAATAACAGGCAAGACCAGATATTAGAGAAAGACGATGACATGATGCCAATCTTGGATAAAGTTATTTGGTTAGATACAAGGGGAGAGGAGAATGGAAAGGCATGCCATCATGGCTTCACCTATGCCATTCTTCAAGTCAAATATGTAGTAAATTAATTTCAATAATTCAAGTGAATTGTGCATGGTCGTCATCGTAGTTATCATCCTAGACACCACCCTTCTGACAGTCATACCTAATCGCCATTTCGTAAAAATGTAGATACATTGCCCCGTTTTAAAATTCATTCGCTTATATTTTTTTTCCTCTCGTAACGCTTGAGTGTTGTACATATTTTCTTTTATATAACCTGTGCATTCCTGTCGAAGTATACTATTGCAAAATAGAATTATCACGTGGGTTGTTGCAGTACAATATCTGTTTCAAAAACGTTTATATCACGAGAAATATATACTCGGTTTTCATTCCGCTTTGATTTAATAGATACTAAACTACATCCTAGATGTCAAACATTTGGATATTCCATCTCAAATCATATGTTGTCCTATCAACAATAATCTAATTCTATCTCCACGAGTGTGGAATTTACCTAACTGAAATAAACTTACTGAAAATGATGTATTGGGTTTATGTAGTTATCTAAAATGAACACATCTTACTGAACGCTTGCAGAAACGCGAAGCCTATCCACTGCTGCTCCTATGTCACCCTCGCTGTCACCGTAGTCATTACCGTGGTCGTCATCGTGTGGCGTAGTCAAATCAGTGATCTTCGTCCCCTCTCCTTTCTTTCACCTGTACAATGAGAACTCTTGCCAAAATCGCATCATATATTGAATAAATATTTGTCTTCACAATAATTCGAGTGAATATTTTTCTTCTTTTTGTTTGCATTCATCCTTTAAAAAATATTTCTTTGCATTTCATAATTACACTTAATTTAACCCCGTTTTATTACCCATTTATTAACGATTCTTCTTCTCCTGAGGCTCTTTAATGTTGTGCATCCCCCTTCATATTATGAATTCATATCAGTCGGATGGTAATTATGAGACTTACAATCGTCAAGTGCCTTCTTCTAACAGTACAACATCTGTTCCAAAAAGGTTTTCACCACGAGAAATATACTCGGTTTTCATTCCGCTTTGATTTAATAGATGATAAACTATACCCTAGATTTCAAACATTTGGATTTTCCATCTCAAATCATCTTTTGTCCTATCAACAATAATCTAATTCTATCTCCACGAGTGTGGAATTTACCTAACTGAAATAAACTTACTGACAATAATGCATTAGGTTTATGTCATTATCTAAAATGAACACATCTTACTGAACGCTTGCAGAAACACGAAGCATATCCCCTGCTGCTCCTATGTCACCCTCGCTGTCACCGTAGTCATCACCGTTGTCGTCATCCTGTGGAGTAGTCAAATCAGTGATCGTCGTCCGCTTTTCTTTCTTTCACCTGTACAATGAGAACTCTTGCCAAAATCGCAACATATATTGAATAGATACTTGTCTTCACCATAATTCGAATGAATTATTTTCTTCTTTTTGTTTGCATTCATACCTTTAAAAATATGTCTTTGCATTTCATAATCACAATGCATTTTGCCCCGTTTTATTACCCATTTATTAACGATTCTTCTTCTCCTGAGGCTCTTTAATGTTGTGCATCTCCCTTCATAATGCATTCATATCAGTCGAATGGTAATTATGAGACATCGAATGGTATTATGAGACTTATAATTGGCACGTGCCTTGTAACAGTACAACACCTGTTTCAACGTAAACTTTGTCATTAGAATTATACTCGTGTTCATTCTGCCTTGATATAATAGATGATAAAATCTTAAACAAACTTTTGAATACATACCTGATAATACTTGCCTACGTAGATCAATGACACGTATATTTTCCGAGGTATTGCATCAGGTTCCACTTACAGATGAAGAAAACACAATAACAAAATAGATACAATGGAGATGGCATAATTAAACTGAGTCTTAATCTTTGATCTCGTTTCAGAGTTGCTGACGATGTACACATATATCAGAGTGGTGGGCCAGATCTTGAAAATGATCGACTTCCTCATTGGTGCCGTGAATGTGGAATGTGGGATGTAAAAAAGGTGAACACAGTCGATGGACAATAGCTGAACGAAGTCGACGCGGTTGTTCGTAGAGGTGAATGAAGTCCTGGATGCATGTAAATATACTGCATTGTAGAACCTGAAAGACATGAAGAGAGCGAGTCCAAGCTATTTTGTCATATCCAAGATGTATCAAAACATCTTATCACTTCATTAAGTCCCTAGTCGTAGTTCTTAAGCTTGAATCACAAGAGATATAGAGTAAATGACACTTCTGATGCCAATTTAAGGTCATAATTCCATAATACTTGGTAAAGCATGGAACACAAAATCACTAAAGATTTGCCCAGGAATAGGTGCAAAAGGAAACTAGTGCAGTGAATGAAGTATGTGATAGATGTGAGTCCTGCTTTCAATGAGTGTATAACATGTATCTCTAGACAGACCTTTGATTTAGGCTCTTCTTCTTTGTCGTATTTTCTCATATTTTTATGAATAGACCTAGTTTAATTGCTATGCTAAGAGAGTACCAATACGACACATATCTCTAAAAACATCTTATCTTTCTTCTCTTATTCATTTTGTCGATTTCTCATCACATCGATATGTAGTTACTATATAGGATACGAT